TGATGCTGGTGGACATTAAACTCTAACTAATCATTACATACAGTATATCATAAACTTGTGTTTTAAATTTCAATACATTTTTCAATCACTTGAGATATTTTTTTGAAAAATCTAAAAATTTTTGGTCTGGGTAGAAATCCTTTTATCAAAAGTGCAGCTGAACGGCAGCAAGCAGACAAATGCTATTGTAAGAGCGTTCAAAGAAAGGTGAGAAACTACTTCTCAGATTTTTCATTCACATCAAGCACATTTATTTTTATTGTCAATTAAAATGACAATATTTGCAATCCTTACAGTATCCATTTATATTTCTTCCTAGATAATTATTTTTAGAGTTTGATTTGATTTTTTAGAAGTCCCCTCTAATAAACTTCCACCAAAAAAGTAAAAGCTATATTAACCCCCATTTTTATGTCCCTTTTTTCAAGCAACTCTCTGAAGAGTCCTCCATCCTTTCCCCTGGTAAGCTTTTTATCATTTAATTTTATAAAATTTGTATAAATATATGCTTTTTATAAGACTTTTTATAAGTTTCTGTTAATCTAGCTGGAACAAACCAGTTTTGAAAAGAATATGTGCTTAGGATTTATAAATCCATATCTTTTTTGTAGCTTGAAAAATTGTTGAAAACAACTGGTCTTCCTGCTGTCTTGTTGACCTACAATAAAGTTAAAGAAGCTTCATGTTATGCATTTAGGTAAATTTTTTTTGATGTCATTCATGCTTTAATAAACTGTGATTCTTCTAATGTATAACATCATGTGCACCATATTACCTTTTTAGGTTATCCTGGTTTTGCAGAATTTGCACGGAATCAGACTGCGAAAACTGAATTTCAAAGAGTGGCTCTTGATGTCATGAAAAGAAACTCTTTTCAACAGATTAATGGAAAAGGGGTTTGTGATATTAATAAAAGAATTTGGCTCAGCAGGTCTGGCCATAAGAGTTTTGATATGAAAGCAGTAAGCAGCTCTCTCGTTAATTCTTTTAATAACTATAGATAAGGAAATAATTGAAACGAAAGAAAAATGAATTTCGAGGAGAGCAATTTACTTTTTAGAGCAATTTAGGAGAGCAATCTGTAGCTCCCATCCAACATTTGAGAAGAGTCTGGAGGGGAGCGAGAGCTATGGCTCTCATTGAATGGCCAGGCCTGCCTCAAGTTGTTCCTGTTTCTATGTCATTATTGTAATTTTTCTGAGGTTTTCTGGAAGGGACACTTTAAAACAGACCTAGCTTTGTATTTATTGTATTTTTATGACAATAGCAATCTTTATTTCATTAATCAATAGTAATCAATATGACATTAGTAATCAATCAATTCATCGTTGAGACGATTGGAAAAAAGCCCCCATTCACTCCAAAATGAATTTGCAATTAATGATAAGAGAAAATTGATTAAACAGGCAGTTCTTGGAACTTGTAAGTATGATGTTTATTTTTAATTTTTTTCATTTTGCTAAAGAATGGTCAGTATCACTTTATACTGTTTATGCATTTTTTGGGAAGATGATAGGTCTCTGTAACAGCCAGACTGTTTATAAAAAAGACTAGATTTGGTAGAAGTAGAAGTGCTCAAGTGTTCACTAAAATTTGAAAACTTCAATCATAAATACATCATTTGTATGCTTGTGAATTACTGTTTTCTTAACAAAAAGAAAATACATCAATCAAGTTCTATTTCAAATAGCAAGATACCAAATGTACCAAATTTTTGGGTATGTGGCTTTTTTTGTATTTTTGCAGGTGAAATGGAAAAACACATGTGGAAGGAGAAGCACAAACCAGTTTGGTGGCCAGAACATGTTTCATTTGTGTCCCGAATTCTGGTTCCAGAGAAACTAACAGACCGATTGTGGCAGTTTTAGATATTATCCTGGAATCGTTATTATCATATGTCAGGAAAAGTGAAGTTTCAGCCAGGGAAGACTGTAATGAGGAGGTGAATGTGAGAGAGGAAATAAACGACAACATTTCATGAGAGTGACAAGTAAATTGATGAAAAAGCAGAGAATTAAATCAGAGGAAGCAGAGGAACAGACAAAGTCCGATGAAGCAGCTAGCCGAGCGAAACAACAGGAGAGACCTTTATGTGATGGTGAAGCATGCCAAGAAGGCGATAAAGAAATTGGTGCTGCGGGGGAAGAATGTGGGCGAAATAGGAAAAGGGAGGACAAAACAAGTTTATCAATAAAGGAAAATTACAAGAAAATTGTTAAATTTCAATGCGTCCCTTTCTTGTAGATCTGTCATCCCTCATTTAAAAGCCAAGGTAAAATAAAATGCTTTATTTAATTTTTGTTTGATAACTCGAGGTGAAAAATGTAGTGTATTTAACACAATTTCTGGAGTTTTTCTCCTTGCGTCTGCGTAGCAAACATGGTAATATTGATCCTTTATTTACTCTCTTTCAGAATTACAGTTAGAGTCTGGAAAATTGTGAAGATTTTCTAGAGCAATTCAAGGGGTCTTTAAAGTTGCTGCTGCGCTAGTTTGTACGACTTCTTCCATTAGAGCATGCTAAGCCAATGGAATCGCATGTCAGTCGCAAGCAAATAGAACAATGGTAACTGTTATGGACTCCCTATGGACACTATTGTTCTATTATTCATTATTATATACTGGACTAGCCGAAGTGAAGGTTCATGTTATGTTCAGATATTCAAGAGTTTCGTTCCTGATTTTCAAAACTCTTGCACTGCGTTCATCTTTAAAAACCTAATTTGTCGTTCATCTCTCAGATATATTTGTATATCAATCTTCTCACCCTCACAAAACAACTTGTTGACAGACTATGTTAGTTCATTTTCTAACTATTTCACTGACTTTAAAGGGTTTTCTTCAGGATAGTTTTTTTGATGCTTTGTTTCACTTGACTGGAGAAATTGTTAAGGAGCTTGTCCTTGAGGTTCATTAAGATATAGTTGATACGTACAGATCTGCCGGTTTTTGGATCGCCCTAGACAATTGCAACAAGCAATTTTCTGGTTTTGGGTACTTTCATGCTTTGTCAATGGTGTCATGCTTGTTACCTTTTTCTAATTATGTTTTGAAGGTATCGCAATAGTGTCCCCCCTCAACGCCTTGAAACTGGAAGGAAACCAATTAAGGTTAAAGCTGATGGTAAATAATTGATGTTTGATAAAGCTCTCTGCTCTGCGATATGGTTTGCTGCATGAGCAAGAGGTTATGCAAAAAGTAAGTGTAGTTGCCGTCATCCATTACAATCATCCATCAGTTTTCCTGCCAGCTATTGTTGGAAAATTCTAACTACATTGATGCCAGAGTTAACACCACACGAACCATGTATCAAATACAGACAGAAGTTCTACTCTTCTGTATCATGACTGATTTACATCGGTTCTTGCCTTCTGCAGCTTTTGGATTTGCAAATTGATGTCAGCCTGTTGAGCTACCTAATCACAACCAATGACATTGGCAACAAATATACGCGCAAAGAGGATGAAAATGAGAGGCTCCTGAACTGTGTAAGAGGAGAGACACTTTCGCACTGATGAGAAGTATAGATATGCAAGGAGGAGAGAGAAAATTGTTAGCACTTCTTATTTGCAATTAAGCGATTATATTATTTCCATTACGGCCAGCAGCTGCAAAGACAGTTCATCATTCACAAGGTGATACTTTTTCCAAGGTAGCCATTGATTTTCCAAGTAATACAAGAGAACCTATGCACTATGTCGGACTAAGTAGAGTAACAAGTCTTCAAAATCTTGACATCTTTAACTCAAATAAAAGTAAAATTGCAGCAATGGAAAAAGTAAAATCAGAAATGAGACCGTTGAGAGAAGAAGCTTCTGTAAAGATTCCTTTCCAGCTTTTTGATATTGAAGACCAACATGTGTTTGAAGTTGTTTTCCAGAATGCAAGATCACTTCACCTACATATCAAAGGTATGGCTTGTGATTATAGCATTCAATCTGCTGTTATAACCAACATTGCATAAACAGCTTCAATTCCACATGACCAAAAAACATTTGCATTACACCATTCTCAAGACAAAGAATATTCAGTAATAATTATAGGCGATTTTAATGGTAATCTTTTGACCTTCTCTTCAGAAGCACATCACCCCACTTCCTACATGGTCAATACAAAAGGATATACTCAGTTGATCAACAAATACACAACTGGTACCTGCTCATTAATTGACAATATGTATACAAATAATCCTGAAATGATAAAAAACTGTGGTGTCATCGAATTATACTACACTGACCACAAGGCAGTTTATGTTCCAAAGTATTAAGTAATTAGTTCTAAAAGATACAATTATAAAGAAATCAACCACCAGTCAACTCGAAATGAGCAAATGCTGTTGAATTACCAGTGAGCAATTCACCAACAATGGTAACAATTTGCCTCTGTCATTGAAAAATGTCTACTCTTTCAAGGACAAAATCACAAAGGCCTTAGAATATTTATAAACAGTGTTCTCGAAAACACTGAATATTTAATAAGCATTCAACTTGGTCTTGATGCTTCACTTTTAGCCAAGTTCAGAAATTCTTACATCACTGATTATACAGTATATACCTAGATACCTATAGTTGCCTATTTTTCATCACATTGATTACTCATAAATATTCCTATGTGACACATATACAGTCTCATTCATCTTCATTCTTATTGATCTGAAGATTCATATCCAAACCAAAATTCGAAAAGTTCTAACCAAAAGTAAGTAGGGTATAAACTGTAAATTTACAAGAACTTTTTATCATCTTATCAGATACGGCAAGGTAATGAAATAAGAGCCTAGAAATTAGATATTCCTTCAGCATGGAGATCGTGAGTTACCATATTTTCAATCCTTATCTTATTATAGATATAGATAAATTATAGATAACGGTAGCATTTTTTAAAAGGAAGTCTGAAAATTTCACTACAAAATTACATCAATTCAAAATTCATTCTATTTACTACAACCAAGGATAATTGGTCTAAACAATTAGTTATAGATTGTTTCTCTCAATTTACAGGTTATTCAGGATATATAACTAATGTCTCCGAAGAAAAGGACACAACTCCAGGAGATCCCTATTTTACAATTCAATTAAAAGTTTCCGCAACAGAACAGATAGCATGGAGAGTAAAGAAGAAATGGAACAAAGATGTAAGCCAGGATATCTTCATCCAAAAACAAAACGAAGGTGAACCTGTCACTTTATGAAATATAACTACTGGCAGACAGGGCATCTCCTTCTTCAATTCCTTTCAGCGAAGTGACCTCCTTAAATGTTCTTCCAAACAAAACTTTAATCGTTCCAAACAGTTACCACTAACTGTCCAAAAAATGAAAAAACAAACTTCCGGCCTCCATTCTGTCCAGGGAGAGATACAGTAGATTGAGAAAAAAAGGTTAATTCCCCTGAATGAACCATCTCCACCAAAATATGTGAGGGATGCGGTTCTTTTAGACAACTCTGGCCATGTTCAAAATTCGTTTTGGAATGAACAAATAGAGCAAATAGAGGAGCTTCATACTTTAAACATCAGCCACGTTGCTGTTAAACAGTACCATGGCATTAAATTATCAACAAGAAGCACAACAATCATAACAAAAATTGACAGCGAAGAAACCTTCAATTGGGAATTTGTTGATATGGAAACATACTTGTCAGATGCCGTAGTTCAAAAGAAGGTCTTTTGCCCAGAGATAATATCTACTAAAATTTCCCTTATCAATACATGCGTAAACAAAAACTGCACAAGAAAATTAGCAACTACAAGGACCGAAAAGTTCATAACGTGCCCATTTTCCACTCGCCGCATGCCAATTGCAAAAAGCCCCCTCATCTTAACATGTGAGATAACCATTTCAACAAACAATCACCAAATCTCTTTAAATGCTACAGCTGATGTCTTGGCAAGCTTTTTGGAGACAGATGTTGCCTAAATATACAAAGAATTTCCTTGGGAGCTTGAAGATGAAATTCTGGAGCTTGAACAAATTGATATCGACTTTAACAGTAAAAACAACCAAATTACCCGAATTTCTCATCATCAAAGCTTCAATGAACAAGTGTTTATACAAAGTTATTTCACAATTGTCAGTCAAGTCTGGTGATGTTTGCTCTGCTGCATGTACTTGTCCTGCTGGCATTGGTCTTCGTGGTTTTGGCAACTGTAACCATGTTGGAGGTGTTCTCTTTGCTCTTGAAGACTTCAACACACGTGGTTTACGAGAGTATTCATCTGCTGTATCATGCACTTCAAAGCTGTCTTCTTAGAATGTTCCAAATGCATCTGCTCTTAAATCAAACAATTCCTCTCCAAAAGATGAAGTGATAATACAAAAATCAAGTTTTGAAAGGACAATGATAAAAGTAATTTGTCTCGCTATAAATTCTTTGATCCACATCTGATAAAGCTATCAATGATGAAAGACTTGAAGCCCTTCAAACGAAATTAGCAGAAGCTTTAACAAACAGTGGTTTTTTGGCTTTCATGAAATTTCTGAACCTGCAGATTCTCACACATTTGCTTCAACTGAGGCTTCTGCATCCAATCTTGAACATCTTTTCTTCTATGAATCCATCTCCTTCAATGAATATTACGATATTTCAACTACCTCCTTCAGAGAAATGATTGGCAATTATTGCTATAATACAACATTGTCCCAAGAAGAAATTTCAATATTGAGAAATCAACACATGATCAAGCGTCAAATGATGATTGGAAAAAGCATCGTATGTATCGAATCACTACATCCAACTTTTACTTTGCTGCTGTAAACTCTGCTGAATCTTCTTCCAAGCTTAAATCTATGTTTAATAAATCTTTCACAATGGCTGCAACTTGCCATTACCAGAAACACGAAGCACATGTTGAAGAGCCTTATAATGCTACTGAAAGATAAAGGTATTGATGCTCCTCAAGTTTCTAAAGATGGTCGACAATTGTCTTCCTCATCTTGGTGCTTCATTAGATGGTGAAGTCACTTACAAAAATGAAACCTGGAGATTTGAAATCAAATGTCCATTTTCTGAGTTCAACATGTCTCTTCAAGAAGCTCTGAAGAATAAGAAGTTCTCTCTTGTTGAAGTTGGAGCAAGTCCATCCATTGACGAGGAGCAGGAAGAAGCAAGATCAACAAAAGAGCCTGTTAAATTAAAACCAAAAAGGAAGAGGCAAAGCTGAAGAAGAATATAAATTGATACAAGGTTTGGCACAATCCATTGCTGAAAGAAAAGCAAAGGCACAGAAAACCAGCAAAGAAGCAGCTAACCCCCTTGATGCATTTGGACAATATGTGACACAAACATTATCTGAACTTGACACTAGAGTTCAACATTTGGCTCAACATAAAATGAATCAAATCCTTTTCCAGGCACAAACTGGTTTATTAGCTCAAGAAAGCCCATATGAATCTATTGTGCCTCTACCACCACAACCACATTTTTTCCAACGAGATAATTCCAGTTATAGTATGACAGGCATAACCAATCAGGCTGTAAGCACTCATTCCCAGTTTAACAGTAAGGAGCCATGTCCATCATCTCACTCTTCATGCCAGACCTTTAGTGCCCCCGAAGACATCTGGAGGTTTCAAAATATTCAAAGTGGTGACATGCAAGCCGATAAACTTAAAAACTTTAAACAACTTTGATTAAAAATACTGTCCATTGAATGATCATTGCAATAAACATAGAAATAATATGATTTGCTTGTTTTATTTACAATTTGATTCCCTTCCAATAATTGTTAATGTTGTGTTATATAGATTACACACCTTTATTCATCTTTCAGTTTCATGTACAATGCTTTACAAGTTTCCTCCACAATTGATGAAATTTCCGTTCTCCCTCCCGATACTGAAAGAACAGACTCCTGAATGTCTCACCTAAATTGAATTGACAGGCCATCAGTAATTTTTTATATTAATTTGTTAATTTTGTGCAATAGGACCAAGTTTGCACCGGAAGGCAACTTTAGACAAAATATTGGGTACACTGACAGGAGTGGGTGCTAAAAAATGGCCAAATTTTTTTCAGGTTTCCATGGCTAACTACCTTTGAAAACCAAATGTGAACTTTTTGTGATCGCTTCTTTTTGAATTAAGTGCTCCAATGTCATGACTTTTAAAGTGGATTAAGCCATTCAGCAGTGGGATAGATTTTAAGAGTTATTGGAAGGAGAACTTCCCTCATAATGAACACTGTACTTCCAAATAAACTTGATATTTGCTTAATCGTGTACCCAACCTCCTGTCTAGGGGGGTGGAATCACTTTATGATGGTAATGAAAAGGGTACCTGGGGTCATCAACAAGGGTAAACATATGTAGTCATATGCTTCAGACAGAAGGGGAAATTCCCCTGGCTACTGAGCTTCAGTTAGCTGAATTTAATGCTTAGGACATATACAGAGCTTTACAAGATTATTGTTTACAAAAGTTGCTTAAATTTAAAAAATAAAAGCCAGGCTCTAATTTCTTCTTGGATGCAAAATGTTGCTAGGCTCAAATGCTTTAGTAAAGGTTGGCAAATTGCAACTCAAATATCAACAACCTGACTGAAGAGATACCTGTAGCAAGGAACTGCAGAGTTATTGATAAGCGCTCAGATGGCTTTATTGTACTTCTTTTATGGGTTTCTTTCTTTGAAATTAATGGACTAACTTTAACCAATATTACATTAAATTCTTCTCTATTTACACGATGATATTTACGAAACAGTTCGGAATCTTCACTGTTCAATTCTCCAATTATATTTGCATGGGCTTCTCTTATTTCTCTCCTTATAACCCAGGGCCTTGACCATTCCTGCCGATTTGCCACTCGCAAACGCCTACGATATCGTCTCATAAGCAACATAAAAACAGAACCTCTTCCCTTTCACAATTTTCATCAGTATATCCTGCCATTTTGTTTTAGTTTTTCCCAGGAAACGAATGCGTTTTGTTGAGTTATTGCAAGCTTGCTACTTCTGGTTCAGCGCACACAGGAGAAAGTCACTCGTGGCGAAAATTATTCAACATGTTGAATTTTCATGAGATGAGTCACAAGTGACGAAAAAGCTCATTAAAGTCCACCGCACACTAGTCTTTCCTGCTTAAATGATAAATGAAATGATAAAAAACTGTGGTGTCATCGAATTATATTACACTGACCACAAGGCAGTTTATGTTCCAAAGTATTAAGTAATTAGTTCTAAAAGATACAATTATAAAGAAATCAACCACCAGTCAACTCGAAATGAGCAAATGCTGTTGAATTACCAGTGAGCAATTCACCAACAATGGTAACAATTTGCCTCTGTCATTGAAAAATGTCTACTCTTTCAAGGACAAAATCACAAAGGCCTTAGAATATTTATAAACAGTGTTCTCGAAAACACTGAATATTTAATAAGCATTCAACTTGGTCTTGATGCTTCACTTTTAGCCAAGTTCAGAAATTCTTACATCACTGATTATACAGTATATACCTAGATACCTATAGTTGCCTATTTTTCATCACATTGATTACTCATAAATATTCCTATGTGACACATATACAGTCTCATTCATCTTCATTCTTATTGATCTGAAGATTCATATCCAAACCAAAATTCGAAAAGTTCTAACCAAAAGTAAGTAGGGTATAAACTGTAAATTTACAAGAACTTTTTATCATCTTATCAGATACGGCAAGGTAATGAAATAAGAGCCTAGAAATTAGATATTCCTTCAGCATGGAGATCGTGAGTTCCCATATTTTCAATCCTTATCTTATTATAGATATAGATAAATTATAGATAACGGTAGCATTTTTTAAAAGGAAGTCTGAAAATTTCACTACAAAATTACATCAATTCAAAATTCTTCAACCAAGGATAATTGGTCTAAACAATTAGTTATAGATTGTTTCTCTCAATTTACAGGTTATTCAGGATATATAACTAATGTCTCCGAAGAAAAGGACACAACTCCAGGAGATCCCTATTTTACAATTCAATTAAAAGTTTCCGCAACAGAACAGATAGCATGGAGAGTAAAGAAGAAATGGAAAAAAGATGTAAGCCAGGATATCTTCATCCAAAAACAAAACGAAGGTGAACCTGTCACTTTATGAAATATAACTACTGGCAGACAGGGCATCTCCTTCTTCAATTCCTTTCAGCGAAGTGACCTCCTTAAATGTTCTTCCAAACAAAACTTTAATCGTTCCAAACAGTTACCACTAACTGTCCAAAAAATGAAAAAACAAACTTCCGGCCTCCATTCTGTCCAGGGAGAGATACAGTAGATTGAGAAAAAAAGGTTAATTCCCCTGAATGAACCATCTCCACCAAAATATGCGAGGGATGCGGTTCTTTTAGACAACTCTGGCCATGTTCAAAATTCGTTTTGGAATGAACAAATAGAGCAAATAGAGGAGCTTCATACTTTAAACATCAGCCACGTTGCTGTTAAACAGTACCATGGCATTAAATTATCAACAAGAAGCACAACAATCATAACAAAAATTGACAGCGAAGAAACCTTCAATTGGGAATTTGTTGATATGGAAACATACTTGTCAGATGCCGTAGTTCAAAAGAAGGTCTTTTGCCCAGAGATAATATCTACTAAAATTTCCCTTATCAATACATGCGTAAACAAAAACTGCACAAGAAAATTAGCAACTACAAGGACCGAAAAGTTCATAACGTGCCCATTTTCCACTCGCCGCATGCCAATTGCAAAAAGCCCCCTCACCTTAACATGTGAGATAACCATTTCAACAAACAATCACCAAATCTCTTTAAATGCTACAGCTGATGTCTTGGCAAGCTTTTTGGAGACAGATGTTGCCTAAATATACAAAGAATTTCCTTGGGAGCTTGAAGATGAAATTCTGGAGCTTGAACAAATTGATATCGACTTTAACAGTAAAAACAACCAAATTACCCGAATTTCTCATCATCAAAGCTTCAATGAACAAGTGTTTATACAAAGTTATTTCACAATTGTCAGTCAAGTCTGGTGATGTTTGCTCTGCTGCATGTACTTGTCCTGCTGGCATTGGTCTTCGTGGTTTTGGCAACTGTAACCATGTTGGAGGTGTTCTCTTTGCTCTTGAAGACTTCAACACACGTGGTTTACGAGAGTATTCATCTGCTGTATCATGCACTTCAAAGCTGTCTTCTTAGAATGTTCCAAATGCATCTGCTCTTAAATCAAACAATTCCTCTCCAAAAGATGAAGTGATAATACAAAAATCAAGTTTTGAAAGGACAATGATAAAAGTAATTTGTCTCGCTATAAATTCTTTGATCCACATCTGATAAAGCTATCAATGATAAAAGACTTGAAACCCTTCAAACGAAATTGGCAGAAGCTTTAACAAACAGTGGTTTTTTGGCTTTCATGAAATTTCTGAACCTGCAGATTCTCACACATTTGCTTCAACTGAGGCTTCTGCATCCAATCTTGAACATCTTTTCTTCTATGAATCCATCTCCTTCAATGAATATTACGACATTTCAACTTCCTCCTTCAGAGAAATGATGGGCAATTATTGCTATAATACAACATTGTCCCAAGAAGAAATTTCCAATATTGAGAAATCAACACATGGTCAAGCTTCAAATGATGATTGGAAAAAGCATCGTATGTATCAAATCACTGCACCCAACTTTTACTTTGCTGCTGTAAACTCTGCTGAACCTTCTTCCAAGCTTAAATCTATATTTTATAAATCTTTCACAATGGCTGCAACTTGCAATGACCAGAAACACGAAGCACATGTTGAAGAGCCTTATATAATGCTACTGAAAAATAAAGGTATTGATGCTCCTCAAGTTTCTGAAGTTGGTCGGCAATTGTCTTCCTCATCTTGGTGCTTCATTAGATGGTGAAGTCACTTACAAAAATGAAACCTGGAGATTTGAAATCAAATGTCCATTTTCTGAGTTCAACATGTCTCTTCAAGAAGCTCTGAAGAATAAGAAGTTCTTTCTTGTTGAAGTTGGAGCAAGTCCATCCATTGACGAAGAGCAGGAGGAAGCAAGATCAACAAAAGAGCCTGTTAAATTAAAACCAAACAGGAAGAGGCAAAGCTGAAGAACAATATAAATTGATACAAGGTTTGGCACAATCCATTGCTGAGAGAAAAGCAAAGGCACAGAAAACCAGCAAACAGGCAGCTTGATGCATTTGGACAATATGTGACACAAACATTATCTGAACTTGACACTAGAGTTCAACATTTGGCTCAACATAAAATCAATCAAATCCTTTCCAGGCACAAACTGGTTTATTAGCTCAAGAAAACCCATATAGATCTATTGTGCCTCTACCACCACAACCACATTTTTTCCAACGAGATAATTCCAGTTATAGTATGACAGGCATAACCAATCAGGCTGTAAGCACTCATTCCCAGTTTAACAGTAAGGAGCCATGTCCATCATCCCACTCTTCATGCCAGACCTTTAGTGCCCCCGAAGACATCTGGAGGTTTCAAAATATAAAAAGTGGTGACATGCAAGCCGATAAACAACTTTGATTAAAAATACTGTCCATTGAATGATCATTGCAATAAAAATAGAAATAATACGATTTGCTTGTTTTATTTAGAATTTGATTCCCTTCCAATAATCGTTAACGTTGTGTTATATAGATTACACACCTTTAGATATTCATCTTTCAGTTTCATGTACAATGCTTTACAAGTTTCCTCCACAATTGATGAAATTGTCCGTTCTCCCACCCGATACTGAAAGAACAGACTCCTGAATGTCTCACCTAAATTGAATTGACAGGCCATCAGTACTTTTTTATATTAATTTGTTAATTTTGTGCAATAGGACCAAGTTTGCACCGGAAGGCGACTTTAGACAAAATCTTGGGTACACTGACAGGAGTGGGTGCTAAAAAATGGCCAAATTTTTTCAGGTTTCCATGGCTAACTACCTTTGAAAACCAAATGTGAACTTTTTGTGATAGCTTCTTTTTGAATTAAGTGCTCCAATGTCATGACTTTTAAAGTGGATTAAGCCATTCAGCAGTGGGATAGATTTTAAGAGTTATTGGAAGGAGAACTTCCCTCATGAAAACTTTACTTCCAAATAAACTTGATATGTGCTTAATTGTGTACCCAACGTCCTGTCTAGGGGTGTGGAATCACCTTATGATGGTAATGGACAGAGAACCTGGGGTCATAAACAAGGGTAAACATATGTAACCGTATGCTTCAGACAGAAGGGCAAATTCCTCTGGCTACTGAGCTTCAGTTAGCTGAATTTAATGCTTAGGACATATACACAACTTTACAAGATTCTAGTTTAAAAAAGTTGCTTCTCAAGTTGCTTAAATTTAAAAAATAATAGCCAGGCTCTAATTTCTTCTTAGATGCAAAATGTTGCAAGGCTCAAATGGTTTAGTAAAGGTTGGCAAATTGCAACTCAAATATCCATAACCTGACTGAAACATCTGAAGAGATACCTGTAGCAAGGAACTGCAGAGTCACTGATAAGCGCTCAGACGGCTTTATTTTACTTCTTAAATGGGTTTCTTTCTTTGAAATTAATGGACTAACTATAACCAATATTTCGTTAAATTCTTCTCTATTTACACGATGATTTTTATGAAACAGTTCGGAATCTTCACCGTTCAATTCTCCAATTATATTTGCATGGGCTTCTCTTTTTTCTCTCCTCAAAACCCAGGGCCTTGACCATTCCTGCCGATTTGCCACTCGCAAACGCCTACGATATCGTCTCATAAGCAACATAAAAACAGAACCTCTTCCCTTTCACAATTTTCATCAGAATATCCTGCTATTTTGTTGTAGTTTTTCCCAGGAAACGCATGCGTTTTGTTGAGTTATTCCAAGCTTGCTACTTCTGGTTCAGCGCACATAGGAGAAAGTCACTCGTGGCGAAAATTATTCAACATGTTGAATATTCATGAGATGACTCACAAGTGACGAAAACTCATTAAAGTCCACCGCACACTAGTCCTTCCTGCTTAGCACGCAGTCATGAATGACTTTTTGCTCAGCCGAAAGCTCTAGTGTGCGCCAGGCTTAAGAGCATTCAAAGAAAGGTGAGAAACTACTTCACAGATTTTTCATTCACATCAAGCACATTAATTTTTATTGTCAATTAAAATGACAATATTTGTAATCCTTATAGTATTCACTTGTATTTCTTCCTAGATAATTCAGAAGTAACAAAGCCAGATCACAATACACAATGATGTTATTCAATTTGTTAGAGGTTTTTATGCCAGTGCTGAAGTGATCAGTAGTAGTAGTAGTAAATCAATGTTTGGTAAAAAAAATTGTATATCGATTAGGGTACATGGTGTGAAGGAAACGGTTCAAAAGAGGTTGATCTTGTGCACTTTAGAAGAAGCATATTTGAAATTCAAAGAAGAAAATCAAGTATCGATTGGATTTTCAAATTTCTGTGAATTGCGACCAAAGAATGTTGTTTCAACAGGGGATAGTGGAGCACATAGTGTTTGTGTCTGTACCATTCACCAAAACCATAGCTGATGCTGATCAACCGACTTGATGATTTTTCAAATGCCTGAATTTATAAGTTTGGTTGGTGACTGATTTAATAGAAGGTCAGCTACCAGCACTTGCTTTCTTGGGAACTGCAAAAACTGTTGAAAAACAGAACTGGCAGAAATTTTTGAGCGATTAGATGCTGAGGAAATAACTTTCAACTCATGGATAGGTGTTGATCGAACAAGCCTTGAAACTTTGAAACTTCAACAAAATCTACTTGTGATTTCACAAATTATCTTCTTGAAAGTCTTTTAAAACTGAAGCGTCATGATTTTATCACTAGAGTTCAAAGAAGCAAAAGAGAAATTCAAGCCACATGAAGCTATAATTCTTGGAGACATCGCAGAAAAGTGTTCTTATATTATGCAGGATGCTGTACAAGGCTTCCATTGGAAAAATAGACAAGCCTCCATTCATCCTTTTGTTATCTACTATCGACAGAATCCTGATAGTCAGATGGAAATTTTTGTAGTTATTTCTGACTGTCTCAGTCATGACACAGCTGCAGTGCATGCATTTCAGCAGAAATGAATAAAACACTTAAATGAAAAAATGGAGTTGGACAAAGTTATAAAACAGAAAAAATAGAAAAGTTGTGAACACAGAAAAAAACTTATTAATCTGATTTTCCATGAAAAAGATTTGGGCATGCCTGCTGAATGACACTTTTTTGCCAACATCTCATGGCAAAAGTCTCTGTGAAGGAATAGGTGGTACTGTCAAACGACTTGCAGCACAGAAAAGTTTAAGCCGACCTTATTCAAACCCGATCCAGACTCCTCAACAACTTTATGAATGGGTGCATCATAGCATTACAGACAGTTTTTGTATATGTTACTGAAGAGGAAATAAAAGAAAATGAAGGAAAAAAATTGGAACACTAAAGCTTCATTTTCTTATTCCGGTCAATGGAAGTACTACAGAAGTATTGACAAAAGTGACAAAAAGCAACCTTGTCAGATTTGGTTGAAAGATAAGTTATGTCTTGGCAGTTATCCATAGCTTGTGTTTCTGGTGAAAAGTGGTGGTTGACGTATTTGTTAGATAAAGTGTATTATATCAATGAAGTAAAGGTCATATTTCTCCACCCGGCAAGTCCTGTTCCGCCATTTATTTACCAGAGACTTTAAGTGACGGTGAAGCATGCCAAGACCATGATGAAGAAATCAATGCTGCACAGAAAGAATGTGGGCCACAAAGGAAAAGGGAAGAAAAGACAAGTTTATCAATAAGGGAAAAAGCACCCTTGCAATATTACAAGGAAGTTGTTAAGGTGTGATACTTTCTTTTTAAATTTCAATGCGTCCCATTCTTGTAGATCTGTTATTGCTCATATAAAAGCCAAGGTAAAATGAAACATTCTATTTTATTTTTGTTTGGTAACTCGAGGTGGAAAAATGTTGCCTCTGCGAAGGAAATATGGTAATCTTGATCCTTTATTTACTCTCTTTCAGAATTACAGCTGGAGTCCAGAAAATTGTGAAGATTTTCTCAAGCAATTCAAGTGGTCTTCGAAGTTGCTGCTGCGCAAGTTTGTACGACTTCTTCCTACAGAGCATGCTAAGCCAATGGAATCACATGTCAGTCGCAAGCAAATAGAACAATGGTAACTATAGTTAGAAACTTCAAATATGCATATCAAGGAGGGAGAAATCGTCTTGTAGGACCTCATTCGTAGTACATCTCTCAGATATACTTGTATATCAATCTTCCAATTGTCACAAAAGCAACTTGTTGACAGACTGTGTTAGTTCATTTTCCAACTATTTCACTGACTTTAAAGAATGGTCTTCAGGATAGTTTTTTTGATGCTTTGTTTCACTTGACTGGAGAAATTGTTAAGGAGCTAGTCCTCAAGGTTTTTTAAGATATAGTGGATATGTACGGATTTCCTGTTTTTGGATTGCCCTAGACAATTGCAATAGGCAAATTGCTGGTTTTGGGTACTTTCATGCTTTGTTAATAGTGTCATGCTTGTTGCCCTTTTCTAATTATGTTCTGAAGGTATCGCTAAAATGTCCCACCCCAACTCCTTAAAACTGGAAGGGAACCACTTCAGGTTAAAGCTGATGGTACCTGCTTGTATCTATCCTGTCAGCGTCATTATTTGGCGATGAAAATAATTGGTGTTGGATAAAGCTCTCCGCTTTGCGATGTGGACAGAGACTTGATATCTTTAACTCAAATAAAGGTAAAATTGCAGCAGTGGAAAAAGTAAAACCAGAAATGAGACCGTTGAGAGAAAAGGCTTCTGTAAAGATTCCTTTCCAGCTTTTTGATATTGAAGACCAACATGTGTTTGAAGTTGTTTTCCAGAATGCAAGATCACTTCAACTACATATCAAAGATATTTCTTGTGATTATAACATTCAATCTGCTGTGTTATAACCAACATTGCAGAAACAGCTTCAATTCCACATGACCAAAAAATCAATACAACTTTGCCAAGTTCATAATATATCGAAATGACCACTACTCAACAACAAACCAAAGAAGACCATATGGGTTAGCAGTTTCTGTTAAAGAAAGCCTGCCTGCATCAATTTCTCCTTTCAACAGAAATTGCATTGAATTATCAGTCATTCATTTAACTGATGAAGGTAAGAATTTCTACATTATCTGTCTTCATCGTTCAACAATGCATGCATCAGTTACACAATTGACAGAAGCCATGGAACATTTGCATAACACCATTCTCAAGACAAAGAATATCCACTTATAATTCTAGGCGATTTTAATGTTAATCTTTTGACACTCTCTTCAGAAGCATGTCACCTCACTTACTACATCGTAGATACACAAGGATATACTCAGTTGATCAACAAATACACAACTGATAGCTGCTCAATAATTGACAATATGTATACAGATAATCCTGAAATGATAACAAACTGTGGTGTCATCGAATTATACTACACTGACCACAAGGCAGTTTATGTTCCAAAGTATTAAGTATTAGTTCCAAAAGCTACAATTATAAAGAAATCAACCACCAGTCAACTCAAAATGAGCAAATGCTGTTGAATTACCAGTAAACAATTCACCAATCATGGTAACAATTTTTAAACTATTTGCCTCTGTCATTGAAAAATGTCCACTCTTTCAAGTACAAAATCACAAAGGCCTTAGAATGTTTATAAACAGTGTTCTCAAAAATACTGACTATTTAATAAGCATTCAACTTGGTCTTGATACTTCACTTTTAGTTATGTTCAGAAATTCTTACATCACTGATTAAACAGTATATACCAAGATACCTTTAGTTGCCTATATTTTATCACTTCGATTACTCATAAATATACCTATGTGGCAAGTTTATATAGTCTCATTCATCTTCATTCTAATTGGTCTGAAAATTTAAGTAAGTAGGGTATAAACTGTAAATTTACAAAAACTTTTTATCATCTTATCAGATATGGCAAGGTAATGAAATAAGAGCCTAGAAATTAGATATTCCTTCAGCATGGGGATCGTGAGTTCTCATATTAGCAATCCTTGTTCCTTCGTTTTATAAAACAAGATACTTGGGTTTCAATTAAAATTAACATTAAAGCTGCCACTTAAATTTAGATCTTCCACACATGATAATTAATATCTATGCACAGTACATTAATTACTGGACAATCAAAACATAATAATGGTTTACAAGTGTATCTTGACAGTCCATTATCAAAATTAGATATTTATTACCAGCTTAATTTTTAATATGATTGATCTTAACTAAAAATACATTTCCTTAAAATTCCCTAATACATTAGCCTAAATATAGATTATAAACACCAAAAGCATCTTTATCAATTATAGAATATCCAATCTCATTAGACTGTCTAAAAATAATCTGAAAATATCTCCATCTAGAGCGAAAAGTACCGTAAACTTTTTCCTGATGTTGCAATGTTCAATACGATTTATAACATCATCAAAAACCCAATTATAATTACTCATACCACCTATCTCTATATAAACTGCGATCTTTCCAACCCAAACAATCATAGGCATCCTTTCAAGTCTCAGGAAGAGGTCGCCATTAACGAAAAACAGTTCAAGCTCAATTGGCCCGGGGTAAGTGTGCGAGACCATATTTTACTACCATTTTATATCAAACTTTGACCTTTCTCCATCAATGACTTTGCTCCTGCGAAGTAACTGTCACTTATCCTCGTCTTGCACTGCTCTCGGCTCTGTCAAATCCATTGACTGAGAACTTATACTCCATTTTTTAACAATTAAAATCATTCTGTACGGTTTCTAAATTTTAATACAAATTGATTTACATATTTTTAATACAAACGGCACTCACAATTTTATTAAAGTTTCAGATCCTAAATTATGATAACATAGTTACTAGCAATGGTGTAGTGCTATCAAAGTAACAAGAAGAGCTCATGCACATAATGTTCTCAAAAACAATAACAAAAGTAAAATTTTGGCAAATTTCAGGCTTTAACAAGGGAACTCAGCACCCCTGCAATACACTCTTTATTACAACACCTTTCAAAAATCACTTATAACAAATACTTGTCTTCTCTCTTTGATTATCAAATTTTTATATTTCTAGTCAACATGAGTTCAGCACAGCAAAAGAAAAAGTTTCTTCCAAGCAGTAATACAAGCCCATTCCAGTTTCCTCCCAGCCAAAGTAAGTGCTCTACGCTTTTTCTGACATTTTCACTTATCACAGTCAATAATAGGTTTCTTTGAAATTGTCTACCTCAAACATTGCTGTACATTCTAAACAATCAACAGTTACAATCAAAATATCTACCTTCAACCAGGGTCCACGCCACAAATTTGTCAGTGGGGGGCAATGCTAGCAAAAGTGGGGAGGCAAAGGCCTCTTTCAACTTTCACTGCACCTTCGAAATTACTTGCTCTGTGAAAAATCTCGGGCTATGGCCCCTATTTCCGACCCTGGTGACCTGAGCCCTGTCATAGTAACATTTTTGTGTATAAAATTTTTTACCAAATTAATCACAGCCAGTCTCGTTACTATTTCATTCTATTTACTTCAACCAAGAATAATTGCTCTAAACAATACAAACGTTCACTAACTCTACCGCTGCTTGCCTTAGAACAACTAACCAGTCTAAGAGACAAGGCAGGTAGCGCTATTTTAAAAACTATTTGATGATTTCAAGAACTGGTCAAAGAAGAAAATGTTTATGATAAGAAAGTCTTGCTTTTCCTATAACGCTTTGTTAATCTAAAACAGGGAATCTCGAGCACCATAACTCCATAACTGCAAAAGGAAATGGGTTTAATCTACTTAAACACTTTTAATCTAAAATAAGTTTTGATTATGCAAAGCTTCTGTATTAGTATCAATACAGGTTGTGAAACAACTAAACATCATATTAGAATGTTGAACAAGAAGGCCAGACCAAGTTCAAGGGGTTTTAAAACAGCTTACAAATCTGATCTCAAAAACGTACAGTTTTTTGTCAGTCACTTTTAAAACCTGTCCATAAATAATGGTTGGCTCACTGGTTTTATTTGCAAATTTAACTTTACATCTTTTCTTGGGCACAATAACTACTGATTTCACTACTCATCACCAAATATTTCCAGAACAAATTACAAGCAATGTGGTCACAGTTTTTTAGAATATCAAGACTAACAAGCCTGTACTTCAATTTACTGGTTCTTATAAAAACAAAGATTATACATCACATACTTTGCCAAATATTGAGAGGCATCACCTGTCTACAACGTAAAATCAGTTTTAGATTGTTTCTCTCAATTTACAGGTTATTCAGGATATATAACTAATGTCTCCGAAGAAATGGTCACAACTCCAGGAAATCCCTATTTTACAATTCAATTAAAAGTTTCCGCAACGGAACAGATAGCAGTGAGAGAAATGAAGAAATGGAACAAAGATGTAAGCTGGGACATCTTCATCCAAAAACAAAATGAAGGTGACTCTGTCACTTCATCAAATATCTCCTTCTTCAATTCCTCTCAGGGAAGTGACCTCCTCAAATATTCCTCAAAACTAAACTTTAATCGTTCTTATCAGTTACCACCAACTGTCCAAGAAATGAAAAAACAAACTTCAGGCCTCCATTCTGTCCAGGGACAGTTACAGTGGATCGGGGAAAACAAGTTAATGAACTATCCCAACCAAAATACATAAGGGATGCGGTTCTTTCAGACCGCTCTGGCCACGTTCAGATTTCGTTTTGGAATGCACAAATAGAGCAAATAGAGGAGCTTCATACTTTAAACATCAGCCACGTTGCTGTTAAGCAGTACCGTGGCATAAAATTATCAACAGCAAACGTGACAATCATAACAAAAATTGACAGCGAAGAAACCTTCATTTGGGAATTTGTGGATATGGAAACATACTTGTCAGATGCCGTAGTTGAAAAGAAGATGTTTTGCCCAGCTACTTAAGTTTCCCTTACCAATATATGTGTAAACAAAAATTGCACAAGAAAATTAGCAACTACAAGTACCGAAAAGTTCATAACGTGCCCATTTTCCACTCACTGCATGCCAATTGCAAAAAGCCCCCTGACCTTAACGTGTGAGATAACCATTTTAACAAACAATCATCAAATCTCTTTAAATGCTACAGCTGATGTCTTGGCAAGATTTTTGGAAACAGATGTTGCCCAAACATACAAAGAATTTCTTCGGAGCTCAAAGATAAAATTCTAGAGCTTGAACAAATCGATATAAACTATAACAGTAAAAACAACCAAATTAACCGAATTTCTCATCATCAATGCTGAATTGCTCCATTTACTTGACACCATATTTTTTTGCCAGATAATGTCTTTAGTTATATAATTACAACTCCTGTAACGATAAATGTTGCATTTTTTCTTAAAACCATGTTATCCAATCAGCTTATTGACTGAACTAAACTGGAGAATTGTTTCCTTCTTTCTGATTACCATGACTTCTCCTAAACAAATACTTGCCCACTAACCAAAAACACCCATAGATAACAACAAGAATTTGATAAACGTTAACAATAGCAGGGAAGAGCCAGACCATAAAGCAGACCATAAAGCGATAAGGATAAACAATGAAATATTTTTCTCTATATGCCGTAAACAACCAAACAACGTCGATGTGATTGGTTGCGAACAAAAACTTTGCTACTCGCATTAATGTCTATGTAAAGACAATTGTTTTCCGAACCATGTAATACTCGCAAATTGAATTTGGTTATGGCATAAAATACATATGATCATTTCACAATAAGAACAAAACAACTACGACCTACAATAATGAACCGTATTCGATCTTTTTTTTTTTGAATAACTAGATCAACCTCGACCTATCCAAAAACATAACAGATTTTTACGAAATTAACATTTCAAGTAAACTTTTACTTTGCTAGAGAACTATCAAGAAAATTTCCCTTCTAAATGAAATAATTACACTTCCTGTAATTTTAACTTATTCTCTCCATCTAATACATTTCCAAACAGCTCAAATTGTTAAATTAATTGTCTTTTTAGTAATTTCCGTAATGCCGTCTTTTTTTGATTTTTTTTTAAATTTGTGCTTTTTTATGTAGATTCGATTTATTTGTAGTACTCATTATCAATTAATAAATGCGTTATTTCTTTCTAATTGGAAGGTATTCTTTGGATTTGAGTTTACATTAAAGACTAAAACAGTTTATATATCAATTTTGAGAAAAAGCTATTTTGTGTTTAATAAACTCCCTTTTTGTCTTCCCTGCTGTTCTTTCACAGATGAGCTCGACTGCTATCCTCATTTTAGAATTATGATCATTATAATCAACCACAAACATCATCAAAAATAATAATAATGCTGCACTAGAATGCTATCCATCTTTTGTCGTCGTCTTTATCTTCGTTTGCGTCATCAAAATCATGGAAACATTTTCATTTTGAATTCTCAAACATTACAGTTACAAAGCTCACAAGATAAGGTACTTTGTATATGGCTTGCCTTCAGCTGTTACACTAAGACATAACAACAGAAAGATAAACTGACAATAGAGAATAACAAAACATTATGTATGTATGTATAATTTTATTACATTTATTACAATTTAAAATTAATGAAAACGAAAAAAGATCTAATTACAGATATATAAAATTTAGAGATAGAAGTCAAAAACGTAGACTAAAAACACCCCAGGTTAAAAATCGCAGGGATAGCATTAAAAAGGTCAGTACGAACTTGTTTCCATCATGCAGAGGTATTTTAAAAAGGAAATGTGTTCATGAAAAATTGGTTGTATCCAAAACTAGAAAAAAGTAATTCTGGAAAATTGTTAACTAGAACGTTGGCTGAATTTGGGTTATCAATAAATTATGTAGAGGCTATCCTCCTCACCTTGTAGATCATCAAAGAATTCATCTTCGATCTTGTGTTTGAAACTATTGACATTTTTTGGAGATTTTAGTTTTGACGGTAGATTGTTCCAAATTTTGGGACCTAGATATGAGAGGCAACTTTTCCCTGAGTTTTTCTTTCGGAAAGGTTGATTCAGTTTGTTTTTAGATCTTCGAGTGATTTTGTTCTGGTCAACTGGTAAGAACATCTCTGACATGTATGTAGGGTGGGGCTGAATTATCAAAAATTTGAAAACCTTCCCAGTCATACATTCGTTTAAAAGATAGAAGCTCTGGGTTGTCCCATGTTTGGTTACGCCGGCAAAAGATGTAGTAGGTAATAATAAAAATAAAAATGATAATGGTTGATAATGATAATAATTTTTTTTTAAACATCTCATTTTCATTGAATACATTTTAAATTTACAATTATACGACTCGCTTTTACAGGCATCATATAATTGGCTTATCTGCATTACAATATTTAAAAGTCAATTAGTTCGGGCCTTAGCCATGGTTTGTTTCGACGACAGAAGATATAGTAGGTGCAGCGGATAGAAATTAATTATAATAATAATAATAATAGAAGAAGGAAAAGGAAGAAAAAGTTGATGCCTACACAGATCTTAAAGTTTGAAATTCGAAAATTCTTAAAGTTTGGAGAGAGGAAGTGAAGAAAGTCGTTATAGTTCCAGTTATAATTGGTGCATTAGAATCTGTAACAGGAAGACTCCAGAAGGAATTGGAAAAACTTGATTACAGAAAAGGTCTTGAAATCATCCAGGAAGCATGTTTATTGGGATCTGCAAGAATAATCAGGAAAGTGCTGGACACTCCAGGAAAAGACTGAAAAGAAATAAGGATGAAACTCAGATGGAGCACTCACTATCTCAGGATCTGAAACAGAACTTGATAGTGTTTAAATCCAGTATCTAATGCTGTGTACATTTGCAATAATAACAATTATAATAAGACAAGTGGTATGAGCACAAACCCGAGAAAGTGACTGAAAAAGAAACTGCCACTATATTATGGGAGATGCCTGTAAACACAGACAAAGAGATAAAAGCCAACAGATTTGACATAAATATCAAAGATAAAAAGAAAAGACATGCATTATGATTGACAGGAGTATACCATCTGAAAGAAATGTTTCAATTAAAGAAGTAGAGAACCTATCCAAGTATAAAGACCTTGAAATTGAAGTGACAAAAATGTGGGAAATGAAGACATCCACAGTTCTAATTGTAGTGGGAGCACTTGGGCTTGCAAAGAGAGGCCTTGAGAAGTACGCAAGTCAAATCCCTGGCCACATACAGATTGAAGAATTGCAGAAGATTGCTCTCCTCGGAAGCGCCCACATCCTGAGAAGAACAATGTCTATCAAGTGAACACTGCTGTTTCCTTAGAGTCATGGAGTGACCTTGGCACAGTGGTGACAACTGTACAGCATTATAAGCAAAGAAAAAGTAATAATAATAAACATTATCATCGTCATAATCAACATCATCATCATCATCAGTTTTGTCATCATGATATTGCAAAGTTCAAGCACATTATTCTGAAAAGTACATCATACAAGAAATTGAAAGCTTTCCAGTTCTTTCAAGAAGGGTTTATAAAGAAGATTGAAGTTGCAACAGATAACAACTTTTCTTATTTTGATTCAAAGCTTCAATGAAGAAGTGTTTATACAAAATTATTTTACAATTGTCAGTCAAGTCTAGCATGTTTGCTCTCCTGCATGTACTTGTCTTGCTGGTATTGGTCTTCGTGGTTTTTGCAACTGTAACCATGTTGGAGGTGTTCTCTTTGCTCTTGAAGACTTCAACAGACGTGGTTTACGAGAGTATCCATCTGCTCTAACATGGACTTCAAAGCTGTCTTTTTGGAATGTTTCAAATTCATCTGCTCTTAAATCCATCAATCCCTTTCCAATAGATGAAGTGATAATCAAGTTCAAGTTTGGAAATACAAACAATCAAGTTTAGAAAGGACAATGATAAAAGTAATTTGTCTCGCTATAAATTCTTTGATCCACATGCTCCATTTGATAAAGCTATCGATGATAAATAACTTGAAGCACTTAAAACGTAATTGGCAGAAGCTTTAACAAACAGTGGTTTCTTTGGCTTTCATGAAATTTCTGAACCTGCAGATTTGAATATCCAGTCTTTTCTTCTATGAATCCATCTCCTTAAATGAATATTCTGATATTTCAAATTCCTCTTTCAAAGAAATGATGGACATTTATTGCTTAAATACAACATTCTCCCAAGAAGAAAATTCCAATATTGAGAAATCAACACATAGTCAATCGACAAAACTTTTACTCTGCTGCTGTAAACACTGTTGAACCTTTTTTAAAGCTGAACTCTATGTTTTATAAATCTTTCCCAATGGCTGCAACTTGCCATGGCCAGAAACACAAAGCACATGTTACAGAGCTTTATATAATGCTACTGAAAGATAAAAGTATTGATGCTCAAGTTTCTGAAGTTGGTCTGCAATTGTCTTCCTCATTTTCTTATCTTGGTGCTTCATTAGATGGTGAAGTCACTTACAAAAATTAAACATGGAGATGCGAAATCAAGAAGCTCTAATGATGAGAAGTTATTTTTTGTTGAAGATGGTGGTAGTTTTAAGCTGAAGCGCAAGCATGCATACATCCACCAAGTTCAAGGCCAATTTTTGGAGGTGTAGATCGTTGTGACATGTTGTTGGCACTTTATAGAAGAACACTTGGAACCAAAAAGTGGTATATGCATGAATTATATCACTGCATTGGCCTCAGCATTGTGAATTCGTGGCTGTGTTACCACTGTCACTGTGATCAAAAGAGGGTCCCGAGGAAAAAAATTATGTTGCACTTTCAGACAAGAGTTGCCAATGGCCTGCTGTTTGTAAACAAATAGATAGATAGATAAACTTTATTTACAGAGGATAAACCTGGTTAGCCTTATAACTAATCTTCCCCAGGGTCCTCTCTTCTAACTACGCAATAAAATATAATACTTTAATTTTAAAAGAAAGTGTCCTTTAAGTTTCTAAAAAGCCTAGTAACAATTTTGTTTAAAGTAAAGTTTAAGTATTTAAATCTGAAACGTTGAGGTAATGCTGATACGCTTTTCTCTTGAAAATTCTCAGTGATGTTGACTGTCTAATGTTGAGTGGAAGTTCATTCCATATTTTACTTCCTTTTATTGATATTGACTGATCAACCTTTTTCAGTTTTGATCTGGGCACATACAAGTTTTTGTGTGATGAACTTCTCGTCAATCGCTGTTTAATTAAAGAAGTAGAGAACCTATCCAAGTATAAAGACCTTGAAATTGAAGTGACAAAAATGTGGGAAATGAAGACATCCACAGTTCTAATTGTAGTGGGAGCACTTGGGCTTGCAAAGAGAGGCCTTGAGAAGTACGCAAGTCAAATCCCTGGCCACATACAGATTGAAGAATTGCAGAAGATTGCTCTCCTCGGAAGCGCCCACATCCTGAGAAGAACAATGTCTATCAAGTGAACACTGCTGTTTCCTTAGAGTCATGGAGTGACCTTGGCACAGTGGTGACAACTGTACAGCATTATAAGCAAAGAAAAAGTAATAATAATAAACATTATCATCGTCATAATCAACATCATCATCATCATCAGTTTTGTCATCATGATATTGCAAAGTTCAAGCACATTATTCTGAAAAGTACATCATACAAGAAATTGAAAGCTTTCCAGTTCTTTCAAGAAGGGTTTATAAAGAAGATTGAAGTTGCAACAGATAACAACTTTTCTTATTTTGATTCAAAGCTTCAATGAAGAAGTGTTTATACAAAATTATTTTACAATTGTCAGTCAAGTCTAGCATGTTTGCTCTCCTGCATGTACTTGTCTTGCTGGTATTGGTCTTCGTGGTTTTTGCAACTGTAACCATGTTGGAGGTGTTCTCTTTGCTCTTGAAGACTTCAACAGACGTGGTTTACGAGAGTATCCATCTGCTCTAACATGGACTTCAAAGCTGTCTTTTTGGAATGTTTCAAATTCATCTGCTCTTAAATCCATCAATCCCTTTCCAATAGATGAAGTGATAATCAAGTTCAAGTTTGGAAATACAAACAATCAAGTTTAGAAAGGACAATGATAAAAGTAATTTGTCTCGCTATAAATTCTTTGATCCACATGCTCCATTTGATAAAGCTATCGATGATAAATAACTTGAAGCACTTAAAACGTAATTGGCAGAAGCTTTAACAAACAGTGGTTTCTTTGGCTTTCATGAAATTTCTGAACCTGCAGATTTGAATATCCAGTCTTTTCTTCTATGAATCCATCTCCTTAAATGAATATTCTGATATTTCAAATTCCTCTTTCAAAGAAATGATGGACATTTATTGCTTAAATACAACATTCTCCCAAGAAGAAAATTCCAATATTGACACATACAAGTTTTTGTGTGATGAACTTCTCGTCAATCGCTGTTTAATCTGATTTCGATGAGTAAACAAATCAGTCATATATTTTGGTGACGAAACCCCGAAAGCAAACGAAACCCCCACTCAAGATCAACCTAAAAGTTGCTGATCTGATGGTAATGTGGAAGTTGCCACAAAAAGGTCAAACCCTGTCCCCCATTCAAAGATAAGAGGATATGATGTTGGCCATTCTCCAGTTTTTGAGGAAACACAAGGAAGATGTAAGAACTGCAAAGGTGGATTCTCAAGAATCAAATGTTGCAAATGCAATGTAAAGCTTGTGAAAAATAAGAACTGTTTTTATGACTTCCACCACTAAAACTCAAAGACTGCCCTCTGATGTTGTAAAAAGAAATATATTGTTGCATTGTGTCTGATGACTTTCTTGAGGAATGACTCCAGTGACTCCAATTATTACTCCAGTTTTTTGTCAGGCATGAAAAAATTCAAGATTTTGGGTTTATTTTTACTCTAAACATTTTGGTTACTATATGGTAATAACTAGGATACAAATAATAAAAAAGGATACAAATAATAATAAATGTTTTTCAATTTTCTTAATATTTCATTGCAAATTATTTTCTAACACACAAGTACTGTTTGAGCATAAATTATTAGTTTTCCTATGGCAGTGAATTTTACCCGCATCTTAATAAAGTTGTTGTCCAACAACAATTTGGAAATACCAAAGAAAACGAGAAAAAATTTTTTTTTTGTTTTTTGGCCTAAATAAGAGTGAAATAAAGCCATTTCACCAAAAAAATATTTTTTTACCCAAGAAACAAAATTCATGAAGGAAAGGGCTAGGCCTATTTTTCACTAGCGCTTTGAATTGAAAGACGAACTTTCAGACTTATGTAGGATTAATTCCAATCATATTTTAAATTAAATTCAAGTGGAAGGGTTTTGAATAATCAATCTTTCAACAATTTATTTTTTCTCTCTGACACATAAGGAACATTCTATTTGCCGGGGATTCCAATCACAATTTGATACTACGATAAGTTTTGTGCATTTCTGGATAATTCAATATAGATATTTACTTGTCGGATAAATGATTCTTTATTATTTGAGAGAGCTGTAATAAAACGTTTCCAACCTATTGGGCCTTTAGGTAGAAATACAACGTGAAAGTGTTGGATGTACACTTTTTCTTTAGCTTTATAATTTAATAGTCGTACTACCAAGAAAGCCTTTAACAAAGCCCTTAATTCTGGGGCGAAATATTAGTATTTATGTAATATAATGTATTTTGAAATTCTATTTCAATACATTGGATTTTCGTTGTAGTGTTGCTTTGTTGTTCCTAACTATTATTAATAGTATTACTCATTGCAAGATTCACAGAATATGGCAGACAATATATCCTGCATTTCTTCTTTCGTACACACTATAAGAAAGACTAGGGTATATTCAAATTGCAACTGAGGCTGTAAAATAATTTGAGTTTGCTCTTACGGTACTATGTTATATGTTTACGCTGAATGTTGTCAGCATGGGTTGAGACCTATAACCTGTTGACCTCCAGGTTATATAATCGAATATTTTGAAATTTGCACAGAGTAGATGAAAATGAAGGGGAATTGAGTGTTACCCATCGCAGTGTAGAGCGAAATGAAATGTAATCTTGTTTGTAGTATATTTTCCACAGCTTTCCGTTATCAAAAAAAGAATTGATGGGTAAATGGCTTGTCATGAGAAGAAAAAATTGGCACCCAACATCATCGCAAAGAATTTGTGAAAAACATTTACCTCCCAGTGATTACAGCTATCATTCTTGTTTATCAAACTATCAGCCATTAGGGAAAAAAACATTTGAAAAATGATGCAGATCCATGTTTTTCATTTTCCGGCCCATATCCAAAAAAGGAAACAAAAGAGCGAAAACCAAGGAAAAGGCCTAGTGCTTCTCGTAATAGACCCACAACCTCAACTGAGAAGAAACCTAAGCTTGCTGATGACCATAGTTATGTTTTAAAGATTTCCCCTAGAACAGTTGCAGAAAAATATAAGAGGAAACTTAAAGAAAAAAATAAGATCATCAAAAGGTTGAGAATAAGTAACGTGAGAAAGGAAAAAAACTATCAAAGGCTAAAAAGGCTCAAACGCTAAAAATGCACTTGTAGCTGGACTCCATGGTATGTCCCAATATGCACTTTTTGACCTATGCACTAGATGGTGATATACTAGCTAGAATAATAACTGAAGCCATAACTATGGTCACACAAAAGGTGCTGAAGTGCATCAGTGATATTTGATGGTGCCCCCTAAAAATATCACCATGGCAGAAAAACTAAGGGCTAACAAAAAAAGCTGGATGTTTCTTTCCGCACCTGGTAAAAAATTTTTTATCATTCTAGATGTCTGTCATATGGAATGCTTTAGCAGACATTAAAATATTTTGTACTCCTACTGGGGAAAGTATATAATGGAAGTATGTGTTGGCATTATATAGAGCATAGAAAAAAGCTGTGTTAAATTTAGCCAACAAACTTAAGACCCAGCATATTCAATGGCAGAACTACAAAATGAAAGTGGGTACTGCTGCACAGACACTGAGTCATTCTGTTGCAGCTGCCATTACTTTTATAAGAAGCCTCAAACTTGCAGAGTTTAGAGACAGCAAGGCCACAAGTGAGTTGAAAAACATCTTTGACATTTTAAACTCGAAAAGCAAATTTGGTAAGCACACAAAGCAGCCAATCACACCTGATCATATCCTTGAGCTTCAAGGTTACCTGAATAATGGGATTGAGTATCTGAAGTCTCTTAAGGATACAGCAGGCTTTCCAATAATCAATGGGTAAGTCGATAGTCATAGTCTAGATACTCTATAGTCACACACTGCTTGCATGTTAATTGAAAAATATCTTTTTATAGCAATGAAAACCTGTGCATTTTCAACAGGCTTTTTTAGTGGAATGTGTGTACCATCAATGCAACCAAATGCTTGAATTGTTCCAAATCTGGTATCAAACTCTGCTACTTTATTTCTCATCTCCTTTTCAGTTTTTTGGTACAAAAATATATCTAGGGCCAAGGATTCTTGAAATTGCATTGCATACATTAAAAATGACAGATGAAGCAGTATTGATACCAATACCAAAAGTGTTGGCAGTCATGTTAAAAGTGCCAGTTTCTTTGAGAATTTTTTTAAGCACTTATGAACAAGCCCTAACTACCAGTGTTTTCTAGAGACTCTTCGTCTTCAGAAATAAATAATTAATAAAGATTTGTAAATTAATAGATTCTTATCAATTTTGATATGCTGATTTGAAGCTTGAACTCACATGGCGTAATTCTGAATGTATTGGTCATGCTGAAATTGTGCATTTATCGTTTTTATGATTGCTAGAGAAAAATCTGTGCCACACCTAGATTTGCTTTTAAAAGCTAAAAAAGTTAATGCCATAAGGCAATATAACATGGATAATCTACCTTTTAAGTTATTCGGCACAATATTCTAGTTTCCGTCTAGAGCATTGTTATTTTCATCCTCAGAGCAATGGTGATTCATCGAGTCAATATTTGCAAAATCGACACCCATGGTCACCGATTTTATTTTTTCTTTTGTAGGAACAAACAACAACCTGAGAAAGACAAAATTTGAAAATTTCAGTCAAATATCTCATTTGGTTTGTAAAATAAAGCTATTTGAAATTCTGTGTTTTTTGTGCCTTAATTTCTTCAGTCCGCAATTTGATTTTAATAATCTATGACATTCCTTAACGTTTGTAATTTTGCCATAAACATACCATACCCTGTAAACAACATTAAATCCAAAAATGGCCTTAAAACTAAAATAACATTAATGTTGCGTATTCCATTTTTAGAGAAAGAAGTGAAGAAAGTTGCTGAAGCAGCAAGTGTTCCACCTTTTGGCTCAAAATTAATCACGTTGGCAAAATATCCCAAAGTTGGTTTTTTGTAAGTTTGTTATATACACAAGCAAATTAAGGTTGAGCAATCTTTACTTACTTACTCAATAATTGGATTGATGGACTTCTAGAAATTAATTTTAAAATATTTTCAAGCCCAATTCAAAACCTTTAATCATTCATGAATTGCTTGTTATTAAGGGTGTACGTTAGGGCTAATTTGGGTGGACTCTGAAAAAAATGTTCTAATAATTAGGGATGATATCTTTGAACATACAACAGAGTTTGAAAATCGTCATAATGTTTAGAGAATCAATTACCAGAAAACTATGACCAATAGGTTACTTAAATATAAGAACTCAAATGCTCTGTTGCATTTATTTTAGTTGGTAATATTATCAGTACTCTTGCGAAAGTTTTGAATTTTGGGAATTTCACAAACTGATTCAGGGATAGTTTAACAAATAAACTGATTTTATATTGAGAAATACAAATACCTATCAAATTTTTTTATGATTTCAATCTGCAACTTCTAATTTATGTATTAAAAATTAAGAAATGTTACATTTTATTCTTTCTTTGATTTTTGCAATGTCATTAGGATTCAAAGAATACTGCCTGTTGTCGGTGCACTTTGACATTTTGATTCTTTACTAAACATAGACTTACTTCTTGAGCCCCTGTTTCACTACTGCCTCGCTTGACAGATGCTACAACAGAGACTGATAATCCAAAGTACTCAAAAACTGGTGCTCACGACAACTTCTTGTCCTACCAATTACAGAGCAGCTTTTTAAATACGGCTTTCTGATTGGCTGGAACCTCAATCTCTTCCATTATGAGGTATCATTTTTAAAACACCCTAACCTTCTTGTTGTTAGCATTACAAAATATCACAGTCGAGAAATGGCAGATAACTGTTTTTGAAAGTTGGCTGCTTTTGAAGATTAAAGTGAATTCTATTGCAAAGCGTATAATGAAAAACACATTTTTGTGTTCACCCTGAAAACGGAGACACTTTGTATCCATTTTTGAATGAACTTTTTGTCCTGAGGATATGCCTTAGTACACTCAACTCACAAAAGTATCACCCCGGTTTGACAAAACAAATAAAATAACGACAGTGTTTAAACAACCTGACCAGCGAAATTTGAAATTTGCCTTTCTGAACCCGTCAGGCGCTAGTTAATGGTCAAGAACCAATTTTAAACAAAACTTTAAAAAATTGGCAACAATTTTTACCGAATATTTGATAAAATACTTTCAAAAGATTAAAGTGTCAATTTTTTTATTGATGAGCCACAGGTTTGTTGCCAGCCACAGGGAACAATAATTCACACAACAAAGTTGTTAGAATGTGGAGAATGCAAGGTATAGAAAGATGAGAAGACCTAATTTTTATGACTTCTCTTTACCAAAACATAACAAAAACTCCTATTTACACGAGTAACTAACAAATACCACAACCCAAGCTAAATAACATAAGAATAAGCACTTGAAATGCTCACAGATGTATCTAAAAACATTTTTGTTAATAGTGCTATACGTTTAACAACGTCTACACAGATTTTTTCAAGGTTGACTACAAAAACAAAAAAAATTAGAGTAATATTTAAAATCGCATTTGTGTAGACGGGACCTTCAATTAAAAGTGCTATCAAATTGCAGCTGTGAATAAAATTGTGCAATTTCAAGTAAAAGAATAAACAAGGATGACTAAAATTGAAGAGCCAAAAAATATTTTATCACTGACAGGGAAATGATGTTATCTAAAATTATCTCAAATTCTGCAAATATCTCACAGTAGAGCTAAAGCAAACCGCTGCCTACCATCCTCAAACCAACGGCTTGGATGAAAAAACGAGCCAAACTGTAAAGAGGTAGGTAATAACTTTATATTATCATTATAAACAGCTAAATAGCTGAATAGAATCGAATCAAATAGAGTAACATGAATAGCAGAAAAGTTTAAATGTAGCGAAAATTGATGTTTGATTATGACTTTTCTACTGTATTCTTAATCAAGGTATTCATAAATTAATCATCAGTGAAGTTATTTTCAGGTCACTCGGAAAAATGGTAAACTAGAAGCAAAATGACTGAGACCTGCACCTTGACCTTGTTCTTTTGCAATTAGGACAAGTGTGCCTTGTTCAACAAAATTTTTGCCTTTCCAATTACTATGTAATCGAGAGGCTAGAAAACCAGTCCAGTTGGAAACTAATGGTGAAGATTGGTCCAATGTAAGTGTTCTCAGAAATAAAAATGTATCCAATGAAAAATGTTGATTTATCACCATTCCAGTGGTTTCGGAGACTATTAAGGCACTTAATATCTCTTCATGTCGCTCTTTTATTCTTAGGTTATTAATGGAATTAATCTATATTGAAAAATCTGTCTTACAGGTTACGATTAACTTGCCTTCTGCTGAAGAGTATAAGACCTGGGTACAGAATCTAGAGATGGAAGTAATTGATCTGCTTGAAAAAGTATCTCAAAACATTGACGAGGCACCAGCGAGACAAACAAAATATTATAGAGCTAGAAACAAGATAGGCGGAAAGCCAGTTTTATTCGAAGAAGGGCAGCTGGTGCTTCTTTTTAATTTACAGAAGGCGTCAAAAAGGATGACTCCTTAAAAGAGTCATGGAAAGGACCCTTCGAAATCATTTCTATAAAAAATAACAAAAATGTACAACTAAAAGGATGCAAAAGGCTTGTCAGTGTGCAGCACCAGAAACCTTATACTTTTGGTTGGAGAAGATACTTGCAGCTACCGGCAGACTTTTCCAGTATGTAAAATTTATCCTCAAGCTCTTAAATGAAAGGCTAGTTATCTTAAATGGATGTGTTTGGAAGGGGGGTATGATTGGAGATATGAAGTGTCAACATTACCTTCCTTCTTTTGCTATCTATGTTGGAAAAATCCCTGTCATTGAAGAACTAACTGTACAAATTTTTTTTCTCCAAGGAAGTTATTCTTTGCGCCTTAAATTAAAACTATGGATTATGGAAAAGCTTGTAACTATGTGACACAAATTGCAAAAAAATTATCTGAATAACACAATTAAACCAGAATTTTCAAAGTCAACTGCGTCCAATTTGTAGGATGGTTCGAAGGTGAAACAAACCCAAATGAAGCAAGAGACACCAAAAACAGATGATCAGGTAGTTAGAAACATCATATTGTTGCGATTTTCATTCTAAATGCATTTTTCAATTGCTTTTGTGTTAGTGTCAGACGAGACCCAACTCAAAATCAAATGCTTTTTCATTTGTAGGATGTTTCAAAGTTGAAACAAGCCGAATGGAACAAGGGACACCAAAAACAGTTGACTAGGTACTTAGAAACATTTGTTTCCTGTTGACACGGGCTATTTCATTAGACAGATTTAAAGAAATCATAATTGTGATTCACATTGTCTTTGGCTTTTTTGCCAGGATTTGTTGACACCTGGAGTGGGTATAAATAGTGGGTCAGGAGATATTCAATTTATGTCTCCTTATCTGTCCCCAATTTTTCGACAGCCAAGTGCAGGATCCACCTTGTCTTTTGTTGCTTATGAAGATATGTTTCGCTCTGCAGATAAATTCAAAAACTTTACATATCAGTCCATCAGAATGTAAGTTATTTATTGACAATTATAATTTTAAAACGTGTTCTGTTTGTATCAAAAATACAATATCCTTTCTAATCTCACGTATCTAATCTAATCTCAAGTTTTGCATGCAATGAGAGTTTTTCTTAATTGAACTAGAAACTCTTTTCTTTTTTTTTTTTCAGTCCTTTTCGGTATCTGGTCAAATGAACCTGTCGGTTTAACAGAAGCCAAATACGCAGAGTTCCATTTGAAGGACTACAGTTTTTCAAAACTAAACGATTGCTCAGAGATTGATGATGAGGTAGTGATTATTTTTCTTTAGTTTTAAAAATTTCACTTATCTTCTTTTTTTGTTTCCTATTTCGTTTCAAATTTACTAATACAAAGATTAACTGGTTTAAAAATGTTGTAAACTAAGCGATAATTTGTCAACTTATGCATATGTTCCTATACAGTTTGTCTTGGAAATCAAAATAATTTTAATTGCATTTGAGCATCAAACTCTGATTACATTATTCTATAAACTTGTTTTCAGGTCATAGATGCTTACTTACAGCTGCTTGTGAGAAAAGCATACAATGACAAAAGGGTAATGCTTCTCAGTCACTACTGATATTTTCTTTGTACCCTTCAGCTCTGTGCATTTGCTACAATTTGCTAAGTCTTTTTATTTTTAGATTTGTGATATTCTGCAGGTTTGAACGCCAGTTGTATAGACGTTTCTGTTATAACAACAGATCTTCTGATTATTTGCAGCTGAATGTACTGACAATCAATTCAGTCACAACGACCTACATTTGTGCTGGGCGTTATTACAGAAGTCGTTTGAAGAGGTAAGTATACAAGATATATTTTGACTAATTTTTGAGAAAATATGGTAATTCACAGCAACTGCTGTTTTCTTATGTGTGCTTGATTCATTCAATGTACCACCTCTTTAAACAGGTTGATATATAAATCTCGTCTAGATACTTTGGGCATGGTAATAATCACCTAGCTTAATTTTTGGCACGGCAATAATCACCTTGCTGTTTGAAGAAGTAATGAGAAATCTTTTTGCTTTCTCGAAAGGCTGCTTGACCAAAATCTGGAATGATCTTATATCTTAACCCTCTGGGAGAGTCTGTGTCGCATCTTGAGAAAATCAAGAGAAACTGGAGGTGGGTTTGCGCTTAAATAAATCTAAAAAATAAAAAAACAGACGTGGCCCATCTATTTCTACCAACCTCTTGATTGCATTTTCTGATAGAAATTATATTCATAGAAACTTCTGCTATCAAAGAGCGATGAGCTGGAAGACAAGCATGCCAAGAGAATGGTTCAATTGTTACCCAAAACCACCCAGATTAACATGACTCATACAATTGTGGTGTCTTCTGTATGAAGGTTTGTGTTTCATAGATGCATTTGGCGTTGATCAGATAAAATAACGATTTGACAATGTATTGTAATTTAATAATGACAATGATAATTATGACAATGATGATAACAGACAACAACATCGCTACGAATATGGTTAACAAAAATTTATGGAGATTTATTAAGGAATTACGTTTGAAAGGGTCATATTTGTTGGAAAATGTGAAATATTGTGGGGTGAAAATTTTTTTGTGTAAGGATGCAAACCATCAAATCATTTTTACATTCTTTATCAGAGCTTTCAGCATATTTAAAACTTTCCTTGCAGCTTTCAAGAACAGGAGTGTTGCAGTTGATTAATGTTAATTATGCTCGTTCATCCTTGTCGTTTCAAATTTTTAGAGCTAGCTCTAAACGTATCATTTCAGTTTGCTGAGGTTTTGCTGAGAGACCAGCGTTGGCAATTCAAAATGAAGCCAGAAGATTTAATTGCATATCACAAGATTATTGGTCAACTGCTGCTCTCTGACTCAGGTTATTAGAATTTCACTAAAATTTTTAATAGTATGGTATCAATATAAAGAAAAAATTTCTTCATAGTGTTCATATCGAAGAAAGCAAAACTTTGCTCTTGCCAATTCAAAATAAGGTTTTCATAGAAGTGCAACTACAGTGTTAAAGATGATGTGAAAAATGAAAAAATGTTCAAACAAATTTTTTTAAGTTTACCTGACAAAGAAAAATGCTCTTTTAATAGATGAACTCGATAATGGGTGATGCATTTGTGGAACATTTGCTGGTGACACTCAACAGGTATGTAAAAGCTATTTTGTAGAATTTTAGATAAAAAGTATCGAAATTTTATTGTGGGCAGTTTTTATCTTTTAAAAATTAAATTTTGTTTAATATTTACTTTTCCATATTTAAACAGATGGCGCGCAGCTGCTCTTGATGGTTTCACTTGCCTTTTGTTCAAAAATCAAATGAGCATCAAATTAAAAAAGGAAAAGGACAGAGTGAGCTGCCAAAAAGAATGTATGAATTTCATCTCCTTTTGTCCAATAACAAAGCGAAAAGAAAGTACGAGAAGGAGCAGCCAGGAAAGTTAATGGTCGGAAAATACAGCACATTCCAGGCTCCAACCAAGAAAAGACTACGGAAGTCTACCAGAAATTACTACATTTGCGTCAATTTGATTGCATAAAGGAAGAGTTTGATGACTTTTTGTAGGACAAATTAACAACTGAAGACGAAATTAAAGAAAAATTAATGGCGAACAAAAGTCAAATGGTTTGAAACATTAGGTATTGACTGGTCTAGTTAGAAAATGTATCTTTCCCCCCCCCCCCCCCCCCCTAAAATACTATTGAAACTTTTCAAAGCAGTACTAGCAACAGAGGAAGAAAACTCTAGTAGCTTCGATCCAATCACCTCTTGTACTTGTACAAAAAAGAATGTACTTTAAACGTCCATTAGCAGTTTTCTCCTCCTATCCACAGAATTGAATTTTCAAGTACAATCGAAAAAAGTACAATCTTCTTTTAAAAAAAAATTCTATACATTTTGTGCAGCATCGATATTTTAAAGAAAAGTTTGGATTTATTCAGAACACATTCTTACAGTATTGTTATTATGCTCGCCCTGAAATGGAAACCATTTTCAAAAAAATGTATTCAGTAATCTCTGTTGTGTACACTGAACAACAGGCAACTACTGGAAAATGAAAAAGAAATATGCAAGCCGAGTCTGGGAAATAACCTTACAATATTTTTAGAACTTTTGTAACACTGAGCCTGAATATACTATCAACAATATTTTTAAAATAAAGTGTATTTCGAGATGTATTTCATCACATCACATATCGATAACAAATATGTATCAGCTTTGCGTAAAGTTAGAATTCTTTAAATTTTACATAGGAAATTAGAATGGGAAAAATTTAAAATCTACTCCTCCTTGAAAGAACTCCTTTTGTAAAAAAGTATGTTGATGATGGATTAGGACCTGAATAAAAGCAAAAACCTTTAGAAATGCAATATTTGTGAATAATTTTGTAATTTAACTAAGAAAATATATCAATCACAAATATACCGTTAGCAATTTATCTGCTAGAAAAGAGGACTATACATAACCAAAGCTTTGGTTTTCTCTGCCTATTTCGCTCCTGTTCCCAAATAAAGCAATTTTTACCAAAAACGTTGATAATGTGATAGTTGTGTCATCAATTTGAAGCATTAAGAACAGCGACAACTTCTAGACTTAGACAGGGGGGCCAATAAGATAAATTTAAAATTTCACATCTCCAATTTTTTGCGTGGGCTCATTATTTTGATTCTGTCCCAAAATAAAGCATTTTTTACCAAAAACGCTCACAAATTGTATGTCTCAACGGAAGGGGAACACAAAAAGATTGTAGACTAGTTGAAACATTTCATATTATTTTTGTTTTTGCGAATGCGTGGGTGTAATCCCATATTTGCCTCCTTAAAGTTTTGTTCATCTTATAAATAGATTTGAGAATGAGTTCATGTTGTTGTCATGTCAGGCAGTGTTTGGCATAATGCATCTTGCCCTGATGCAGTAGCCCATGCAGATTCCGGTAACCATGGAAAAAGTAAAACACTGGTATTAGGAATTTGTATTTTTGCAAAGTCACCAGGAATGATGTTTTCTCTCAGAAAAGCACTTTTAGGTCCTTTCAAGTAGGTTGCTTGAGACTTTGCAATACACGAATCAGACAATAGCAGTTTTTGATGCTTCTAGGTAATCATTTCTCAAAGCTCTTCATCATCGTCTGAGTTATCACCATTTTCATGTTCATTGTGCTCTTTGTTTCTAGTGAACACGCCAGTTTAATAAAAATGAAACTTTCAATACCAGGGCATTTCCTACATCGATGTACCATACATTTCTTTGAATTTGCATCACAAAGTGAATATGCCAATTAAATAAAAATTGAGACCTTCAATACCAGGGCATTTTGTACATTGATGTACCATTCATCCTTTTGAATTTGCATCGCAAACTATCATATCCACAAGTTCCTTATAATGGCTTTCAAATATGCAGCATCTAGCATCAATATATTCTCCAAATTTCAAGAGATCTTTTATTGGTTCCTAACAGAAAGTTTGACCATTTGCTGTGAATTGTAATAGCGCTTTATTCAATTGACGTCAGGTATTTTGACCCAATGTGTGATGGGATCGAAGATCGAACAAACAACACGCCAATCATATATGTTTCAGTGAATACTCGCTCACGAAATTTGTAAGCATTGATCCTTTCTGGTTACATTGGCTATGGAAGATGTTATTTTGGTTGAACAAAATGTTCCTGGTGCATGCTTTTCTAAAGATCCAGCAGAGTATTATGTGGTAGAGTTGAAACAATGGCTCGAATGTCATGGTGTAAAGCGGACGTGAAAGAAACAAGATTTGATAGACAAAGTGACGGGTGCTATTGAGACAAAGGCAGGAATAGACCCTTAGGTTGATGATGGAAAAAGGTACGATATTAAAAGATCAAGTTTACAAGTCGAAGATGCCCCAGCAGTTTGGAAAATTTCTGGTGAAGGTTGGAAAAGCTTTCCTTCTTGTGACATATGTCTAACTATGGCCACGTTTACCACTACCTAGTCGAGTCCATCTCACAGTTTGCCACAGGAAACAATGACAAAGACAGCAACGACAAAAGCAATACTGGTTATACAGCAACTGCAAAACCGCTTAGAAAAAGAATGAATTTGATGGAAAGGGATTTCAGGAGAAAGAAAGACCCAAAGACCATTAACGAGGAGAGCTATTCATCTGAGAAATTCTCCAAGAACAGAACTGTGATCCTAGACCTTTAAATTTTAGAGGAAGTTAATTCCTAAAAGTAAGTTAATTCCTTTCAATTCCTTTAAAAATTAACGAGGACAATTTGTTGTCAGTGCCGAATGCAGAGGAAGTAGGAGGCTCCTCAATGCCATTTGTACTTATCGTAGGTGACATATTTGTTGTGAAACCATGGCTAATGAAATCATATCCTGGTGGAGAATTAATTGAAGACCAAAGAATATACAACTATCAGCACTCTTGAGCACCTAGAACAAAATACCTTTTGTATAATGTCTGCCAAATGGAGAATTTTCCGTCGCCCAATAAGAGCAGGACAGAATACTATAGAGACAGAATACTACAGAATACTAAAGAATACTACAGAATACTAATATTAAAGCAGTTGTATGCCTTCATAACTATCTTCGGCTGACAGACACAGCTAATCACACCCCTGCTGGCTTCATTGATAATGAAGACAGCACAGGAAATATTCACCCAGGAGATTGGAGAGCTATTGTAGAAAATGATGGGAATGCCCTTCATCGTTTAAAGCACAGTCAAGGGAACAGGTACAAATTTGAAGCTAAAGAAATTAGGAACACATTCAAAACACATTTCAACAGTGAAGATGGCTATGAATTTGATGGAAATTGATTTCATAAGTGACATTTAAGACAACAAAATTTAGGATTCCTACTTTGTACATGCCCTTGTGCACCACTCAATGAAGAATGATGTGCCATTAAATGTTGTTATTGGTCTGTCAAGCATCAGTGGATCAGTTCAGCTCGCTAAATGCAATTGTAAAGCCTCAGCACTTGCAAGATGTGCCCATACTGCTGCACTTCTTTTAAAAATCACTGACTTTGCAAAGAATAATGGCTACACTGTGATTTCTCCTTCCACTTCTAAGTCATGTGTGTGGAAAACAGGGGAAAAGAGAAAGAAAAACCCAAAGACCATTCACGAGGAGAACTATTCATCTAAGAAATTCTTCAAGGACAGGATTATTAACTGGGTGCCTAGACCTGTAAATTTCAGAGAAAGGCCAAACGATCAGGACATAAATGAATTTGTTAAGGATCTACAGGTAATAAGCTGTAAAGAAAATGACCAGTCCATGTGGAAGATGACACTGAAAATAATTTATGAGGATTATGGTTTAATGATAGGCTGCTTTGAATTACAGCCTCCAAATGCAAGCTGCCATTCATATTTGGAGAACAAATTCTTGCTGGAAATGGGAATAAATATGCATGGTCTTTGCATAAATGGATTTCCAATAATCTATAGTTTTCAAAGCATATCGCAACCATGTATATGGAATATGGGGTAGAGGAAAAACCACAAGCAAGAAGAGCATATATGATGGCCACAAGAAGTAATGTTGTGGAAACAGAGATGTGGATCAATACTTAAGTTCCCTTCCTTGGTGCTAGTCCTGATGGCCTGTTAGCCCGTTTTGTAGCCAGTTATTGGTAACAACTACTGCTTTTGTTTTAGTGCAGACCATTCAAGTAGTGCCTTTTCAGTTGACTTTCATTCTTTAATTTCCCCCATTTGCTATGACATCAATCAATATGTCAGAATGTGGTGTCAATACAAGAGGGATAAATGCTTCTGACTCACATTTGGCAACATGGAATGCATCAAAGCTATTTTTTTGTAGAGTGCACCTCTCTGATATACTTTATAACACCGGCATGTCTGTCTGTCACAAGTGTCTCAAAGCTGACTCACAGTTTCTCAATATCAGCCAGTGCTCGTTTCAAACCACTTAACTCCATCTTGCATGAACAACCAACTTCATTGCTCTAAAAATAGAGATTTTTTATCAAAAATGAAGATTGATTATTGTAGTATTTAAATTTTGTCCTTTTTGTAATGGACATCTTATCAAAAAGGGCAACATTCAAGTCTAAAGTGGAAAAAAGCTGTAAATACAAAAACAAAAATTGGAGGTTTGAATGTCAGCACTTAATCAGGATCATCAGAATCACACAGCCTTTAACAAAAATATCATGCCATCATCATGTTGAGTTTTCATCTAAAAAGTAATCAGTAATCACAAAAATGCCCAAGAAGCTAGCATAATACAAGATGATGAAAAAGATCAAGAAAATATCTTTAACAATATATGAATTTAGATTATTTTCACAAATCTGAATTGTTTGAACACTGAATTGTTTGAAGATTAGTCCATTAATGAGTAGCTCCCATACTTTGTAGAGAAACCAGTAGAGTCCATCCTAGCATCACCTCCCAAAACTTTATTTTTTGACGAAATTTTTCAATGAAATTGAGCCTTTCTATAACCCAGTGTTCGAAAATTGATGGGACAAGATAGAAATGTTGTATTCTGTTGTATGTCCTTTCCGAAATACATGGAATCTGCAAATTGTGGAAAAAAGAAAAGATTTTGGCTGGCTAGCATCCAGAAAAAAAAGTGCAAGCAGCAACAAGAAAATTACCCATTGGTATGTCACTGAGAAAATGTTGACTGTTCCAGATCCTTTTATGCCCATTGATGCAAGTTGCATGTATCCTCAGCAATGTACCAGAAACAACTTTTTTGAGACTGTAACATGATGCAAGGCAGAACATACATACTGCAAAAAGTTTCATGAGACAACTTTCAAAGACAATGAATTTCCTGTCTTCATGTAATGGCAGTTCATCCTTGGTATCTGAATCATTCTAGCCACTGGAATTTTCTTCATCAGAAACATCTTGATACCATTCAGGACTGCTCCCATCGTACTCTTGGTCATATGGGAGTACAAGAGGGTCAGGATGTGATGTAGGTGCAAACTTGCGTTTGGTTTTAATTTGTGTTTGCACCCTTTTTGAGTTGGTATCTGGGAAACCAAAGCAGGACATACTTGGTTTGCCCCATAGTGAGGATGGATACCGAGAAGCCAAGCGGATTCTTGAACAGAATTAAGGCAGAGACATTAAGATTCACAAAGCTCTGATCAAAGAAATGGAGAACCTGCCTGCAATCTCCAATAACCACAAGATTAGAGAAGTTCACAGTTTTTTTAACAAGCTTTCCAGGATCGTAAGGGCATTGGTTACAGTGAAGAAACTTGAGACTGCACAAAGCTTCGTCTACACCCTGATGGATAAACTGGGTCCAATAGAGAATGCCCTGATGCAAAACGACAATAACTGGGAGGAGTGGGAATTGGAGGAGCTGGTGGAAAATCTCAGGCAGTACACCAATAGAAACCAATTACCAGAAGATGAAATAGGGGTCTCATCAGATCAAACCCAGCTCAAGAGAAGAAGTGAAGCTGATAATGACTGGAGAGCAAGGTGGGACAATTTGGCAACTGCTCAAAAACCATCAAGAAAAGCCAACAGTTGTGGATTGCAAAATCACAGAAGCTTTGACTGCTGCAATATTTTGGATGTGGCCAGCAGAAAAGAAGTTTTAAAGAAGAACAGGTTGTGCTTCAATTTTACTGGGTTTGGCCATGTTGCTTCAAGGTGTTGATCAAAGGGATGCAACTAATGCAGTGGAAAACACCATACATAAATCTTTGATGTGACATCACGAGCAAGAATCCAGGAGCAAGCTACAACTCGTCCAACTGCAGAACAAGGGAAACGAGCAATACAGGCAAATACAGCGATCCATGCAACGCTATTAGCAAGAGTGAATGGACTACTTGCTAAAGTCAGATTTTTCGTACCTAAATTCTGTTGTTACAAGAATTAAATAATTTACAGACAACAGGATTTATTAATTAAATAATTGTAATTATTTCCCTTCTACATATAATTATTATACGCTTATATTCAAATGAGCTCCACTATCAAAATTGGTCCAATATCCCACGGATTTATGATCCTAGGTTTCTTGCCCGAATGAGTTGGAACTTTTCCCAGACCTTCCATCCACCCTTACTTCTTAGATAAGGTTGGAAATCTCGGTTACCTAGCCCCTTCACTTCAAAATAACAGCAATGAGTACTCTTATTTTCTCCCTTAATGGCATTTGTCTAGCTGAACTCTTTCAAAGTCTTAAATAAGCAGATCAATAGATTGTTTGAAATGATTTCAACCCTACCAGCCCTCTGATAAAGAACTGGATGTAAAACTGAAAGATAATTCTTTTGAATTGCTTTCCACCCTACTGCCCCTCTGATGAAAATTTGGGCCTAAAACTCCCTAAGATTGGCTTCGCTACCAGATTTAGGTGCTTTTCTGGGCTTCTATCAAATCTTCTCATATTTTATTTTTGAGGTTTTCCAAAGATTCCTTATCTTCTGAACCCATTTAGCGCTCTTTTGAAGGTACTGAACGTAAAGTTCTCTAACAATGTTGCTAGATTTATTTTTTGTTCAACCCATTATTAAGATCATGACAATGGTGTGTGGCTCACTTGTGAGAACTTTGTGCTGTTCACAGATTTGGTTTTCCAATGTATTTTTTTATATTTTAAAACATTGAATTAAATAGACAAGGCCTACAGAAGTTTTTTTCAAAAACTTTGTCTGGGGTTTAGAAGAAGCAAAAAACCTTGGGTATAACTGTTGAGAGGTTATTGATGAGGGCACTTTATTATCAGGGGCTAACAGAAATGTATTTGCACAACTTTTCTTGGGGGTTCAGAATGAACAAAATATCTTAGGTGTATTTGTATCCAAAACTATTTAGAATCATGACCGTTACCCCTATTGTTTTGGGGAAATAAGAACAGCCAATATTTGGCCATTAAACAAACCGCAACACGCAACTTTCGAAAATTGAGTAATTTTCAAAACTCAGTATAAAATCATAGAATTATTGCAAAAGATCACAGATGCTTTTAAAAGAAAGATAAACCTCTGTTTATTTTTATCGTTTATTTGTTGTTTGCTGAATTTTATCTAGTTTCAGGGAAAATTTTTTAAAAGATCATCATTTTTTATCTTTTCTGACACGATGGTGATCTTAGGCCAAAGTGTTCTTCAATCTTTTCTCAGGCACTTCCAAACTATAGACAATAAATACTTTTTTGCATGAATAAGATTAAGAATGAGCATAAGGAACAAGTTAAGAGAGTTTTTCGTTAAAAAATCAATGTGAGAGAAGTGCAAGCAGGTTTTCAACTACTTGGTCTGGCCTGAAAAGTCTTTTCTCTCATCTTCTCGTTGATGCTGGGCAATTGTTACGCATCACACGATTTCATAGAATGAATGCGGCAGTAGACTACATAATAAAGGTAGGTCTTACTGAAGATTGTTTCGTTGATTTAACTAAGGTTAAGAGATTAGAGGATGTTGATCTCATATAAAATGGACTAATCTTACAACTTACGAATAAACTAACATTGAGAGGTGCATAGATAAAGGTTCACCTTGCACCTTTATCTGTAAAGCCCCCTACTCATAGTACGTTTCAAAAAAGAGTTTAACGGAGAAACTGCGTAAATTAATTATTTCTTAGAGGCATATTTTTACTTCCAAAAAAAGAGGTATATTTTTAGGTTGAGATTAGATTGGTTGAAATGCCACACAAAAAAAGCTTTGCAAAAAAAAGGCATAAAAGAGGAATATGATAAGTCACCAGTGGCAAAGCTAGCGGTCATGCTGGTCATGCTTAGCATGACTAAGAATTTTCAGAGATAAGGTTATTTAACATAACGAATAAAACTTTCCTTTATTGGCAAAAAAATTACAAACCTTTTCAATTTTCATTCTCATTATACTACTGCCGTCCCCCACCTTGGTCCTTTGTGGTAAGTCATTCTCATTCTGGAGAGCATGACCTGCCACAGGGTTTCTCAACGAAAATGTGCAACTCTCATGAGTTCTTCCAATAACTTTTCAATCGGTATCCCTGTGGTAAGTCATGCTTATTTGGAATAGCATGACCTCGTCATTATAATCATAAACATAGCAATGATTTGATTGGCTGAATTGATCTTTCTAATGCCTTATTTAGCCCGTTCGGGACGCCAGGTCATGCTCATTTTTTTAGCATGACCAACCTAAATCTGCCTTAAGTCTGCCTTGTGAACCAAGATATCTTGTGAAACGTCGCTACAATGGAGTGGGAAAATTCAGTTGAATCTAATTCTGAGAGAGATATTTTTGATCAACTCTTGCAGAAATCATTTGCATCAAGACATGTGGCCGAGCAAAAGTTAATCGTTAACCAAAGGCAGACCCCGAAATTTGGTATCAAGACAAGAGACCGTATGTTTCAAGAAGTTTTGTATGAGAAGAAAGATTGGCTGTGTGGAAGTAAATGTAAAAAACGCCTTTTCTGTTGGCCTTGTTTGCTTTTTCAGTCCAAATTGTCCAAAATATGGACTGAAACAGGTTATAATAACATGCAAGGATTCTTCTCGGACTGCAAGAAGCACGAGAAAGCCAAGTCTCATTTGGAGGCCTATAAGACATGGAAGACATTCGATGTTGCGAAGAGAGTTGACGTGCTACTTTGGAGGGCCAGAAGGCAGGAAATTGACCGACACAACGAAGAGGTAAGGCAAAACAGGGAAATGCTAAAAATCCTAAGTGAAGCTACTCTCTTTTTGGGTAAGCAAGAGCTTTCTTTCCGAGGCCACAATGAATCAGAAGGTAGCCTTAATAAAGGTAATTATCTAGAGCTTCTTGAGTGCCTTGCGAATTTTGACTCCATTCTTGAACATCGTTTGCATGGGAGGTTAGCCGATCCCAAAAGGGCATCTTCAGGTGGGGTTTTCAAGGGTGTTTCTTCTGATGTCCAGAATGATCTTATTGAGTGTACAGACTCTGTGATCCAGGACCAGATTGACAAGGAGATCCAACACTGCACTTTCTTGTCCATGCAAGTTGATGAAACAACAGATGTTTCAACAAAGGAGCAGCTGAATATTATTGTATGTCTTGATCGTAAAGGAGAAATAGTTGAAAAGCTATTGAAATTTGTTAATGTAAGTCAGGATAGGTCAGCACCAGCAATAACTGCTATTGTAAAGAATATTTTAAGTAAATATGGAGAGTCTTTGAAGGAAAAAATTGTTATGCAAACATATCATGGTGCAACTGTCATGTCCTGGCACATTGGTGGTGTTCAAACTCTTCTTCGTCAAGACTATCCTTTTGCATATTTTTTTCATTGTCCATTTGTCAAGGTATTTTTTGCCAGCAAAAGTGCTTTCTGTAACTTAACAAGCCTTAGCTCAAAAAGGAAAACTGCTCTAACCACAAAAGGCATTGATATTCCAAGCCCAGGAGAAACAAGATAGTATTACCGGCCACAGACCATAGGTGTCATTTTTGAGAAATATGAATTGCTTGTTACTGCTTTAGGGGAGATAGTCGAGGAGCCGCCAAGCTGGGATGACAGTACTTTGATGCAAGCAAGTGGTCTATTACAGTACCTTAGTAGTTTTAAATTTTGCTTTTTGTTATGTTTTTTTGACAAGATTCTTAAGCAATCATCTATATTGTTTAGCCTTCTGCAAAACAGGTCAACTAAGTTCTCTTTTGGTGTGAGCAAGATTAAGATTTTTGCAGATTTTTTGTCTGATTGTCGCACAGATGTTGCATTTGATGATGTATATGAATTAACAGTTAATTTGGTTGGATTGCCTACTTCAAGGTCTGACAGAAGGCCAAATTACAAGCAGCTTTTCTTTGAAATCATTGACAGTACACTAGCTATGCTGAATGATAGATTTGCAGACTGTCAAAGTTTTGAATTTCTTGATTTGGTAAACCCAGTGTTTTTTAAGAATTGGAAGGAGAGTGTCCCAAATAGCAAACTGTTGTGTTTGACCTCTCTTTGTGGACCTCTCTTTGATATGTCTTCTTTAGAAAGCCTGTGGGGTTCCTTCTGCTAAAAAATGGAAAATCAAGCAGTAGGCAAACCCTTGACGTGGGGCTTGAGCTTAATTCAATGGTATTCTAGGCACGCCTTAAGTTTCAATACAGGGAGCAAAATCTTTTGTAAAGCCTAAATTATATTGCCCTTAATATCTTTGACTAGATTTGTATAAAGTCAGTTTATAAACTAAAGTCAGTATGAAATTTTAGGAAACTTAAGTCCCTGAAATCCCTGTACTGTAAACAGAGAAGTGCCTACCAATCATTGAGGACTAATCTTGCCTGGCAACTTATATCTAAATTCAGAAGCATCATCAAAAGTGTCAATTATTGATAATACTAATTATTGATAAAAATTTAAGTATCATGAATATTTGTAGATATAGTTTTTCTCCAAGCATCATCTTTAAGATTTGTCAAAAAATGCTTAGCAGTTGGAGATGGGAGTATAGAAGTCCTTTACAAGTTAACGTCATTGACAGATAGTTGATTGCAAAAATATTTTGATTCATACATACTAAAAAGGGCGTTTCCCTCCTTTTCCAAGAGTCTATGGGGCGTGGCCCTTAAAAAATGTTCCTTTGGGCTACGCCCCCAGACCCCAAACTCTCTCTCCTTTTTTGAGGAGCATGACCATCAAAATTCGGTCAGCTTCGTCACTATAAGTCGCTTGGGGTAGTAAAGAAACTCAACACAGACCTTGATGAGCTGGAATTATGGAATCGCGTGCAGGAAATTTGGATGGATATCGAAATGGAGACCTTGCCAGAAGAAGTTGGAGAGGACAGAGTTTTGGCATTGAACAAAAGAGTTGGTGAGGCAGCAAAATAAATATCAACCAAGAGGCAGGAATTGGAAAAGAAGGAGAAGGAGCTGACTTGATCCCGATTCCTCTGTCTGTCAGAAGTCTCTAAGGGCAAGAGCCTGGACTCTTTTTAACATTATAGGTTCTTTCTGGTAATTCTAATGATTAAAATGCAAAGCATTTGCAATCAGAAGCATTGTAAAACTAATTGGAGTGCATAAATTGCTTTTTCACAGAGCAACTGAGGAAGCTGGGCTGTATGCAGAGAGGAAAATTTCAGTGTCAGATGCCATCATCATAAAAGCATTGGCACGGCTCAGCACAAATAAGATAAGGGATTTAAGATCTTGTTTGTCTAAGTTTGACTGTAATTTCTGGCCTTCAGAGGGCAAAATGGCTTCCTCTGAAAATGACAAATCTGTGCATGTAGCAGAGGAGCGTGTTGAGAGTGGATTAATGTCAAAGGATAGCCACTTCTGAACACACTGAGATGCTTCCATTCATTAAAATTTATGATTTGCAACACTTTCTTGTTGACATTTTCAATGCTTTGCCTGGAGAAAAGGACCCTGCAATGTTTAACAATGAAATATGGGTTGTTTTGCAGGGGACAAAGGTGGTGGCTATGTTACGTTTCCTGTGGAGGTTGTTAATAGCATCAATTCTGGTTCTGTGGACAATGTTAATCTTTACACCAAGTTTGAAGGTACTCTAGAATAGTACTTTACAACTGATTCTCTAGAATATATGTGGAAGGTAACGGGCTTTTGGGAGCTAGCATTAGAAATTATTGATAGCTATTCTTATCTTTCCTATCTAGAGGGATACAGCAGAGTGATTTGTTGGAAACTTTGAAAGAAAAGATCACAAAGAGACTTATCTATCTAGAGGGATACAGCAGAGTGATTTGTTGGAAACTTTGAAAGAAAAGATCACAAAGAGCCTTGCCAAAAAGGAAACATTAATAATGGAGATTGACAGGAGGAGATAGCAACTTTAGACGAACTTTGTAATAGATTTGGAGAGGTCTTCCCAGTATTTTTCCCAAACCTTAATATTACATTTTAAATGCATGAATTGATATTCAATGTACCAAATTTTGCTTTCAGATTTGAAACCATTGGGATGATCTCTGAGGTGGAGGGAGAAAGTCTGCATGCATCGGTGAACAGGGAGCTGAAAAACCTTTTTTTCTTTACGCGATCCCATAAAAATGTTGTCTTTTGTTTTGAAGTGCCAAGAACTGCACGCAAGGGCACCAAAATTGCTTATAAGCTAAACTGTACCCCTTTATATAGCATGTAAGGAAACGGTCCAAAAAGGGTATTTTTACGCGCAGGGAAAGATGAGAAAGGTTATTGTCCCGTTATTAACAAAAACAGAGACAAAGAGACAGCAAATTGCAAAGGAGATGCAGAAAATGCTTTAGCCAGCCCTTGGAGCAGTCCAGTTCTACTGTTAGAGAAACCAAATGTGGACTACCGTGGACTGAACGAAGCGACAAAGAAAGAGGCATATAATCTGCCTTGAATAGACAAAATGCCGCTGATGTGAGAAGTTTTTTAGGCCTAGCTTCTTATTACCATGCCAGACGATCAAAGGTACTTGCAAAATAAACGAAAAAGATGGGGATTTTCAATTGGACAGATAAGGAACAGAGATCGTTTGAAGACCTGAAGTCGGGTTTAGCAACAGCCCCTATCCTGAGGTGTCCAGATTTCAACCTGGCATTTAAATTGTATACAGACGCCTGTGATTATCGGTGCAGTGCTTGCTCAAGACACGTCTGATGGAGACGTTGTAGTTGCCTACGCCAGTTGCTTACTAAAATTATCAGAGCTCAAGTATGCTGTCCTACAGAAAGAAGCCTTAGGTATCGTCTGGAGTTCAAAACATTTTTATCCATAACTGTATGGTCAACATTTCACTGTTGTTACTGATCATAAACCCTTGAAGTGGCTGAAGACCATGAATGCTTCAAACAATTTATTTGCACATTGCATCAGCGAGATTCAGTCCTATGACTTCAACGTTGTTTATTGCCCTGGCAGACTCCATTCAAACACTGACACCCTCTTGAGGAACCCTCAAAAGGGAGAAGAGAATCTCTTTGAAATCTCATTACAGGACTTCAGTCGGAAGCAGAAAGAAAGCAACAGCTGGACAGTGGATCAGATCTCTGACCAACAATTTAAAACCTAAAGACAAAAATCTGGCGGCAAAATTTGAAAGGGAGAACGACCAACATTTTATCACAGAAAATGTGTGCCTTTTTCAGAGGTTTCAAGGGAAACAAGGGAAGAACAGAGAGCAGATCATCGTGCCAAAGACCATGGTTGAACAGTTGCTTGTAAATTTCCACCACGGCCCTCTTTCAGGGCATCCAGGCTTCTTCAGAACCTACAGAAAGGTACATATGTCCTATTTCTGGCCTACGATGAAGTCTGATATCTAACCCCACATTAGGCACTGCAAAGATTGTGCACGCTCCAAGTCTACAAAACCAGCCACAAAGACCCTTGTAAAATCAATCGAAACAGAAAGTCCTCTTCAGATTGTTGCTATGGATTTTGTCGGACCTTGCGGAAATCAGATCAAGGAAACCAGTACGCATTGGTGTTAGTAGATCATTTTACAAGGTGGACTTTGGTGTACCCTGTAGAAGACACAGAACCAGAGACAGTGGTACGTTCACTATGTGACGTCATTCATTGTTATGGGTGCCCAGAAGAACTTCCCTCGGTCCAAGGTAGTCAATTCACTTCAAATTAGTGAAGGCATTGTGCAAACAGCTTGGGGTTAAGGAAATTTTCACTTGTTCTTTCCGACCATCCTCAAATGGCTTGAACGAGCATCTTAACAGGGCGCTTTTCAACGCGGTGAAGATCTATGCTTCTAAGAAGCCTTGAACATGAATGAGATGAATACCTTGATGCAGTTACATTTGCTTTCAGGACCACTCCCCACTCAGTGACTATGCATACACAAACATTCTTGATGTACGGAAGAGAAGTAAATTCGCCAATAGACATGAAACCTCCAAAAGTTTGTTCTGCAAAGACATCAAGACAATGCAAAATGAATGACAGTAAGCATTCACCCTTGTGAAGGAATTGGTATCAAAAGAACAGCTGCGACAGAATATTCACCATGATCAACACATCAAAGAGCTGAAAGTCAAAGTTGGAGACAAAGTTTGGTTAGGAGATTTCATCGTGAAGAAACGCACTTCCACTAAATTCCATAATCCGTGGATTGGACTGTATGAAGTTGCAAAAGTGATTGTAGAGAACAACGTCAAAATAATAATGCCCAAGAAGAAGACAAGAAAACTCAAAAGAGTGATCATGGAACAGATCAAGATGGCTCAAGAAATTGATGGCAAACCTGAAAATATTGTGAAGGTTTATGACAAATTACGCTTGAGGCTTCTAGGCCAAAGACTGGTTACGGGCTATTTGGTTGAATTTTATGACGGACATACTCAAAGGGTCGATCCAGAGTTTGTTCCTGACAATCTTCTGGAAGAATTCAATGCAAGATAAGTTACCATAATCTTTGTGTATTGCTAACTTTAGATTCCATTCGTACATATATAGAAGTTGTTGTTTAAGTAGAGTCAGTTGGATGGAGACAGGGGAAGCTATTGGTGCGAAACTCTGTCATTTGTCGTAAGGCTTTAGAATAGGTTAGGGCCTAGTATGCTTCTTATGTTTTAGTTGTATTAAAGTGTCTGAGTTATAAACACAGGGTATTTCTGGTGTTTTACTTTCTGTGCGTGTGACAATGCAGGGCTGGCAGCAACTGTACCAGAAAAAGCAAAATTGCTTTATGTCTCTTTGTTTGTAATTTTCTGCTACAGAAACTGCAATAGACCTTTTTCACAATACATTTTCAAAACGAGGTCTTGTATCGAAAACAAAGCGAAGGTTGTTTGAAGCTTTGGTTGACTGTCTGTTTGATCACGCGAAGTTAAGTTTCTCCGATATTTCTGTTATTCTGACCCGTATTCTGGAAAATAATGGATCAATTTCAATCGCTTTTACCACATGGAAAGTCGGTTAACTGTCTCGATGACTTGGGATCACTAAGTGTCAAAAAATTGAAGAATATTCTTTTGAGTTACAGAGGGAAAGTATCTGGCGTGAAGGCCGATTTGATCCTTCGGGTCTTTGCGATCTATTCCCGTTTGGAACGACAAGAAAAGGGTATCCCAAGCTCAGCAGCGTCTTCTTCAATCGTAGATGGTGAAAGTTTCACATACCATGCCCTCTTTCAATCGCGTTGTGGCCATTTACCTTAGATTCCAGACCTTCGTAATACTCCCGTTTTCACCTTCGTTCAGCTGTATGATTATCTTGTTATCAGAACATTGAAGTTTAAGCATATTGCATTAAAGAGCACTGGTTACAAAAAGCTCAAGTCCTTTCAGTTCTTTTATGAAGGATATATCAAGAAGTTTTCTGTTGCCAAAGATAATAATTTTACATTCTTTGATGTCCGCATGAAAGCTGCCATGAAGAATACTTTGTATAAAGTTCTTGTTGTTCTTTCAAATTCAACCGGCGATGTTTGCAGTGCAGCATGTACATGTCCAGCTGGAATTGGTTTAGGTGGTTTTGGTAACTGTAATCATGTCGGTGGTGTTCTTTTTGCCCTAGAAGATTTTAATAGAGAAGGGTATCAAGAATGCCCAAAGCCTGTTTCCTGTACTTCCAAGTTATCTTCCTGGAATGTTCCTGCTTCAATGAAATCTATTTTGCCTCAATCTATTGATGAAATTGTTATTCAGAAGTTTAAATTTGGAAAAGATAATGTTAATCCAAGGAAACCAAAATGCTATGACCCAAGAGCACCGGAAGACCGAAAACTGAATGAGGAAGGACTTGAAAAATTGAAGTCAAAGCTTGCAAGTTGTTTGCCAAACAGTACTTTTTTTTCTTTCTACAAGCTGCCAGAGTCACCCTCTTCAATTTCGACTGAAATTGTATCATCTTTGAATTCCCCATTTGATAATTCTGATGTTAATTTGTGTATTCTTGAGGACTCAGTTCCATTCAATAATTTTTATGATATATCTTGTCCTGGTTTCAAAGAGATGATGGAATATTTTTGCAGCACAAAGAGTAACCTTGGTGAAAAAGAAATCAAGGAGATAGAAGAATCAATTCGTGGCCAAGCATCAAATGAAGCATGGAAATTCCATAGAATGTACCGCATAACTGCATCAAATTTCTATACTGCTGCAGTGAACTCTGTTGAACCATCAAGAAAGCTTCATTCCATGTACTACTCTTCTTTTTCCTCTGCCAGTACTCAACATGGAAAGACTTTTGAATCACATATTCGCTCTTTGTATTTACAACAACTGTCAAAGGAAGATGGCTGTAACATTTTAATCGAAGAGCCTGGCCTTATTATATCAAAAACTCATTCCTATCTTGGTGCATCTCTTGATGGAATTGTAAAATGCAATGGAAACGTTTGGGGGATTGAAATCAAAGCCCCATTTTCAAAATTTAATTCTCCTCTTTCTAAAGCATTGTTGGATAAGAGATTTTTTCTAATGAAAAATAATGAAGTTGTGACGCTCAAAAGTAACAGTAAATACTTTTTTCAAATCCAAGGCCAAATGTTTTGCAGTGGTTTGAAAAGGATAGATCTAGTTGTTTGGTTTGGTGATGACCACCCATTATTCATTGAAACCATAAAATACGATGAAAATTTCATGCAAACATCTATTCTGCCACAGTTGAAATTTTTTTACTGCAGAGCTGTTTTGCCAGAGTACCACACCAGGCGTGTTCAAAGAAGGGAAAAACTTTATTTACAGGGTGGCTGGGAGAATTTTTTAAAGAAAAAGAAGAATATAACAAAAGAGGCATAAACTTGTTTGTTTGTACAGATAAACAAGATATAATTTCGGACACTGACAGTTACAGGTGTAAGGCTGGCTCAGCTGTTAGAGGTACTGACTACAGATCCATGGGTCCATGGTTTCGAGTCCCTGACATTACCAAACTTTCACCCATAGTGGGGAGAGTCACCAGCTTTTGTAAATCCAGGCGTAGGAATCACAAGGTGTGGTCACAACGGAAGGAAGGACCAGGACACTGCTTGATAAGCATAGCTTCTCAGTGTTCTAAAAACTACCTTCGGAAGCTAGGTAGCAACAAATACAAATACAAAATACAAGCAGAACTCTAAAGAATTATACAACTTACTCCCATGGAAATCATGGTTTACCAGTTTGTCATAAAAAGCTTGGTGCCATTAAGACAAGAACTATACATGATTTGGTGTATAAAACAGGATGATTCTAATATTTGTAACTCTAAATACACATGTCCATTGATGATGATAAATCCTGTTCCTGTTTGTTTTAAAGTGCTAGAATTACAGAAATAGACATTGTTGTGCTAACTGAACTTATAGAACAAGTTTAAACTGTTGCTCTCAAGTATCCTGTTAACCATGATCAAAATGATGATTATATTAAGATAATATATGCAAAAATTTTATTTTGAATGAAGATATCAAGTGAAGATTGTGATATGTTATGTGCGGTGTTAATGGTATGAACTAAAAACTACAAGTAAATAGTGTAACTTGTCAACCCAACTGCAATAAACAGTGCAGTAAATACCATAGAAGCTAGCTAGGAAATGCTGAATACTTCACATGATTTGCACGCATTTACTTTCAAATGATTTGCAAATGGAAGCTAAATGTTCTTTTCTTGGAATTGTATTTGCTTTATATTGTAAATGTATTTAGTGTAAATCATTTTGACAGCCTAGGCCCCCTCCCCCTGTAAGTATCTTATTTTAGAAAATACCCCAGTGTCAGACAAATAGGCTTGCCTCTTACAATATACATTTAAAAAATAGCCCACTGCAAACATTTCAAAACATACTACTTAAAGCTTTCATTGGACACTCCTCAGAATAAGGGTCCAAAATAACACAATGGAAAATATATACCCAGGTGTGAATGAAAATAGGCCAATCAGAAAAACGCAAGCACATGACCATCAATCGGTGCTGCCTTCCTATAGGGAATTACATAGTCTCTCCCCCTTAGTGCATACATATATGGTCCTTTGTATTAACTATTCCTAACCAAAACTGGTGAAAAGTTAGTTAAGTAACAGCAAACTGTAAAAATTTGGTCAGAGATAGAGGATAAAGTTAAAGGCATAACACCATCAAGAATATGACAAGTTTTTACTCGTCCAATTGCTCTTTCAACATGGATTCGGACTGAAGCAATATGTGCAGTCTCCTCAACTTCCTCTGGAGTCAACTGGTCACGTGTCCCTTTGAAAGGGGGAATGTTCAGAGTAACACCAGGGGGTAAAATTTCTGCAATATCAAAGCCACGATCAGCCATAACATTGTCACCAGGATCCAAAAGAGATAAAAGTCCTGATTTCAAGGTTATTTCTTTGTCTGAAACTCGTCCAGACCACAGCTTAGATATAAAGGTAATTGCACCACTGGGGGCTATCCCAACAAGGGCTTTCCAAGTATTGTGGTGTTTATACTCAGACCACGTTTGTAACTGAGCAACAAGTGAAGAAGGGACTTCAATGAAGATTTCAGTACAATCAATTATGATCCTTGTAGATGGATACCTCTTGAACTGTTCAGGCATGTTCATTTTAACAAGATCTTTAGAAGGAAATGGAAAGAGGATGGGCAGTTCATGATAAAGAAAGTTAATCCAAGTTGTGAAGATTTTTGAAGCATGTCCTACAGAAATACCAAATCTGTCTGCAAGATCAACCAGAAACAAACCAACTTTGAGACGTATCAAAACAAAAATAAATTCTTGAAAATGTGACAACTTCCTTTTACGTCCACGCTTTGAGGACTTAATAGATTCTTCAGAAGGCTTGCTTGATGCTTTGTGTCCACGCCAGTATGAAAGTTTTTGAAGCTTTGGTTCAAAATATTCAAATACAGCACAAAGAGAAGAGTAATTTGCAAAGCCTGTGTAAAATCTTACTGCTGAGTCATCATCTTGAATTTTCTTAATAGAGAAAAGCTTCTTTTGAGTAGCAGCAAGCTCTTCATTTAAATCAGATATCTGCGTTGAAAGTTTCTCAACCTTCTCCTTCAGCTCTATAAAATTTAACAAATGTTGATCTTTTGGGATGCCTGGTGAATAGTCATGATCCCCTTCACTGGGCAGAAGACAGCTTTCAAGAAATGTAGGTGACTTGACAAATGAAAAGTCTGTTTGCGTTGCCACTGTCCTAATTGACAGAGCAGCAAGGCTATCTGTCATTTCTTCATCAACAGCAGGCAATGAAGAATTTGAAGAACAAGTAGGTAGCAGAACGGAAGTTGAAGACATAGAAGAAGATGGTTTCCCCAAAACATCGGTAGAACTGCGATCTCTTGGCTTCTTACGAACGGCTTGGCTTCTTTCGCCTGATACAGGAGGTGTATATAATTTCAAGGATGGGGCTGCACCAGGATTTAACTTCCATCTCATAGGGTTTCGCTTGATGTCTGAATCTTTAAAATGCTCTTGACATAAACGAGTACTCTCTGTTACTTTAAAACCGTCTAGACCATCCACTCGTTTAATCAAATTGCACCATAATCGTTTCTCTGGATTTCTTTGCGGGAACTTAAAAAAATGTAGGCCGGTCGGCGTGCCGTCAGGTCTGTACGAAAAATTATAGCACCCAAAAGCCGCACATTGCTTTCCTAATGACGATTTCTTTACGACTCCACTACTAGAGACTTCGCTATCCATAATAGTATTCTTCCTAAAGGTATAAAACCGCGTAAGTTTGAAAGAAACGTGAACCGAACTTGTGATCGCTATGGAAAGTCTTCATCCTCGTATGACTCAAACAACCATAGCTTCGCTTTCGATCACTGACCTCGCTTTCAATAGGAATTGTGAAAATGGTCTATTGACTGAAGTACTTGCATTTTGGCAATGTATGAGATTCTGCTCCTGATTTTGTCACATTGGCTCTTTTCGGTAAGCATAGTTTTAAATTGTCTCTTGCATTTTTCCACTGTGCATTCAAAAGTTTACTAAAAATTAAAAAAATAATATTTTTGATAGTCTTTTTATTTACATGCTCTCAATAGGATCAAAGAGAATTAGATTGTTATTTAGAATAATTCTTATCTCTATATTTCCTCTTGAAGCACAAATAAATTGATTCTTTACATTCATGGTGCAAAGTATGAAAAATCAGTTATGCTCTGTTTGAAAATTTTGATTATTTTAATCTTGCTGGTTTGAATGAGCTGTGCTATGTTCAGAAGGTAAAGCTTCCTAATTATTAATTTCAAACTGAGAAGAAATGATGAGTAAAAAACCACCAAATACAAATATATAAAATGGCTAACCTGGATTCCATTTTAACTACAGACTTGATACAACATGAAGTGCAATCAATACAAGTGCTGTTGGCAAGTTTTTTCAACCTAGAATTGGAAGAATATTGCCTCCTGGGAAAAAAGTAGGGACCTTGGGCCTTGACATTTCACACGTGCATCAAATCAACATTCATTTTCCCTAGGCAAAAAAGCAAAAAGGATTTCCTAATTTCTCTGTTAAATTGTAAACTAAATGTTTGTTTATTATTCACCTGGTTTTCCAAATTTCTTTGAGATATGTTCCCAAGCATTTGCTCTCATATTTTGATCATGATGAGATCTAGTGCTAGTATTCTACAAGCAAGGATAACCTTCTATTTCTATTATGAAGCTTTCCATATCATATACATAACTAGAAGCTGTCCCTTGACTTTCTCACCCTTTTCATCTCGCAGTCTTGCCTATGTGTCTATTGTTGTTGCCTCTGTTATATTTGCACAATTATAATGTTGTAAAATCCTGTGCAGTGACACTGAATTTTGAGCCTGTTCTTCATCAAAGATATCCACCATCTTCTTCTTCATTTGTAGCAATCTTGAAGTTATTAATTGATCAGGCTATTTGCATAACTTGTTGTTGCCTCTGTTGCATCGGCAGCCCTATCTTATTGCGCATGCCTCGTTAAAAAGCTCTCGAGCACTGATCTCTCCTGTGCTTTTTCTGCTCAAGGGATTAATGCAGCTGTGTGGAAACCGGCCTTTAGAGGAAGCGCCAACAGAGATCTGTCTACCCAAATTTTAAATCGGATTCAGAAAAAAGATAAGATCTCAAAGGCTCTCTTTGAGAAAAAATGTAGAGAAAGAACCAATAGAAACCTGTTTGCATCAGATTCATTCTTGGTTCAGAATACACATATAACTATCTTCCAGTCATCAAAAAATATTCAGAGGGTATGATTTTTGCATTTTATGATTGCTTTTTTTTTAAAGATAATGTAGGATTTTAGACTAAAACTTACGATTCAGTCTTTCCCATTTAGGTATAGAATGTCCCCCATGGATGTCAATAGACAGAAGGGCCAGTAGCATCACCACGGGGTGGACTGGGGTAGACTGGGGTGGACATGTCTAGTTTTCCGTGAGGTTGATTTTATTGTCCGAAAATCAATTGAACAACTTTCAGGGGAAGATTGGTTAGATTGATTTCGATCTTCGTTCTGGACAAAAAGCCCCTGACACAAAAAATTATGTTGGAGAAAGTTGCTTTTGAAAAAATTGCGAATTACATCAAAAATACTACATTAAAAGTTTGAAGGCTGTGGTTGAGAAAATTTTTTTGCCCACCCTAGTTTTCTCAGGCTGGGGACGCTACTGAGAAAAGCTTGAGAATTACCCTTAGAAGTACTTAGATGAGGGCATTGAATCAATGGTGAGTAAAAGAAATCTTACTACACCAATATTATCTTGGGTCCAAACAAACAAAGAGTTTCGGGATAGGCCTTGAAAATTTGTAAAAGGGGGGGGGACAATTTTTTTAAAGAACAGGGTCCAAAACTTCAGAAAGCCACTTGGCTAGTTCGTGTTGTGCTGAGCCAATCATAGACAAGATAGGTCCAAGTGGGACGGATGTTTGGCTTGTGTATTTAACATTGCATCAGTGTTTATGAATTTCGAACTTTTTCCATTTGTTTATGGCTCCGTTAATCTGACTTTCACATTTACCGCATTATTTTGTTCGATTTCTGTAATTTCAGAACATTTCACAAGAAGTGAAAATTGCAAGTCCTTCTAACTCAAGCTCCTGTGTACAAGTGTTTGTATCAAAAGACTGAGTTATTTAATTATTCTTTATTATGAATTTTATCAGAAAATAGAATTTAATCTGCAAAGAAATTTTAGCTTTAATGCCAATGATACTCGAAAATACCATTCTTTAGCTTATTTTTTATTTGAAAAATTATAACTCTTTTCGCCTACCTTGCTCCCATACCACATTGAATCTTTACCCTGTGTAAAATGTCGGTTTATTATCCATTTCTAAATCAACCTTCTTTCTACATGGTAAAATATTTAGTTTTGTTATTTCCTGCCACTCATATTTGATCAGACTAGATAACATCCTTACGTTAAGTTGTTGCAATTTCTATGAACATCACTTTGAAGTTTTCAGGAAATGATTCAACAAATAATGTTGGAAATTCTCCACAGCCATGTGCATTTTTCTGTTTTAAGTATCATGTGTTGCCTTGCTCTCTATTAATGTTTTATTCACCTGGCTCTTTCTATTTTTGATTTACTGTGTTTGTTGAAAATCTTAGTGCAAGTAATAGAAAATAATGTTTAGTGGTTGTATATATATTTGCTTAAGTAGGAAAATTATACAGATTTCTTGTATGTATTAGTTCTCATTTGAATAAATCAAAAGATGGAATGAAAAATTTCACAAACTTCTAATTACATGTGTCAATTTCCAACTTTTAGATTTAGTTTGTCTTTTAACCGGCCAAAAATGGTTTGGAGAAAAGAGCATGATTATCTGTTGGTGCTTGAAGTTTTGGTAACCCAACCATTAATTTTCAAGCATGGTTCTAGGAAAGTGGAAATGCTTGGGATAAAGTTGCAGAGTCTCTTAATGTAGTTGAGGAGCTAAGGTTTTATGTAGACCAGAAGGGCGTCAGGGAGCGATATGCAAAGCTTGAGAAGGCTTTTAAAAAGAATACAAGGGAGGAGCACAGAGCCAGCGGCATTAGTCCTGAAATAACAGAGCTTGATGAGGCATTAGAGGCAGTCATCCAATTTTCAGAGGTAGCTCAACAAGAAATGACAGAAGCTCAAGCTAAAAGAAAGAAACAAGTTGAAAAAGAGGTAGAAACAGCTGAGAATGAACTACTTCAATTACTTCAAAAAATTTGCCTGACCATAAATACTGCATTGAACCCCTTTCTCATTAGGGCGTTCTTCACTAAAAGACCCCTGTTTTTGAGTGCAGACAACAAAATTAGTCCCCATTTATCAATGTTTCTGTTTATTAACCTGTTTTCTTCTGGTTCATTCCTTGATTATTTATATCAAAGGCTTAGTTTTCATTTGAGATTGCCTTAAGGAGTCCTGGAACCACATGACCATCTTCTAAATACCTTTGACCAGTGGGTAAAACTCAAAGCAGTATATACTGAAACGAAGTCTGAAAGGCCCCCTCTTCAATGACTCTCCTTCAATGTTTGTAAAAACTATCTTACAGTGGCTCAAACATTGTAAACCCTCATTTCTTGTAATTGGGAAATCAGTGTATTGAAAAAACTGATTTTTTGATTGATTGATTTTTGTGTTATTTAGGAAAAACTAAGTTTGGCAAATTTGTCAAATGTCCAAACCTTATCCAGGCATTAGTTACCTAATCTTTCAAAGCTGAATTAAAAACTTCAAGCAATCTTACAACAATAGATTAGATACTTTTCAGTTCAAAAACAGGTTATACAAACCTGCCAGCCGAATGATAACGATACATTTTCATATTTCCATCATAAATTGCTGAAGGCTTGTAAACCTTACAAGGTGGGTCAAATAGGGAAACCAGGGTCATATAGGGAAATCGTTAATAATTCAAAAAATTGGACTGATATCTTAAAACAAACCCCAGAATCGGATTTGTCATGCTAGATGCCTTTTTAATTCAACAACAGCATTTTTGTTTACATATAACGTAGGTTTTGATAATCTACAATCAATCTTTGTCTGATAATCTACAATCAGAACACTTCAGGTCCTTATGATCAAAATTTCCAGTCTCACAGCTATTGTGTAACCATCCTTTACAGTCACCACATTCGGTCAAACTATTTCCTATATAAGGCAAGAGACAGTGACAGTAAGCGTCTGCTTTGAAATTATCCTTTACACTGACCGGAACTTGCAGTGACCTGTCAAATGTAATTCCATCAAAAGAGGCTTTCGATAAAGACAAAGCAAGTTTATAGCAAAGACTTCTATACCTAAAATATACAGAATGGGTGTTTTTTTTCTCAACAGGCAAATTGCAAAAAAATTGCAGCTATGCCACTGTAAGAATGTTTCAAAGCAGGCATAACATCAATTGCCAATTCATTCATTTTGTACCAACCGAATTGGAAAGCATAGTCCAACAAAGACATGTCATACCTTATTTCACTACCCTGAATATGCACTCTCTGCAAACAGAGATGCACTTTAGGTGAAAAGCCACATGCACTTTAGGTGAAAGTATGTTTGATATTGTTACCCAGTGCCATATAGATCCATATATAACCTGGATTATTTGCACAACTTGCCTACCATCTCCAACACAATGCTTAGCTGCATCGACTGTAACCAATCTGGCAAAAGTGTTACAAGATGACCAGGACAGTTAATCTTATTTGTATTTAGAGGTACTTCGAAGTTGTTCACGTGAATGTCTTCTCTATTCCTGTTGGCATGACTAGCCAAATCCTCAACGGCACCTCCACCCAGGTTTCTAACATCACTTTCATCTGACATTTCGTGCTCAAAATACTTGTGTTTCTAGCTGAATTTGTGGTGACAGACAGTGGGCTTGATGGTTGTAAAGGCAAAACTTGCCCCATTTTAAACTCTTTCGTATCATCCCAAGAAGAAAGAGAGTTTGATTGTGAAGCTACTGATCTTGATGACCTATCAGTGGCTCTTGACAATGGGCTATTTCCATTTATGGAGGGAATTGATGTAATGTGAGCATCTTCATTACGAGCACTTGCAGAAGATTGTCTGTCCATTACAACTGACTCTGACACCAAGGAAGAAGACTTCGTAGAAACTGCAGATGAGTTAACTAGAAAATCTTGTTTTAATGGCATCAGGCTAGAAGCAAGATATAGCTTGAACTATTTGACTCGCTTACTGGACTGTATTTATGACATTCTTTGTTTGTCAAATCACCAGCAAGGAGCTTCTCATTGAGTCTAAAGACCAGTTATGAAGATCGTCATGGGGACTAGGATTTTTAGAGACACCATAGCAATGATATTTCGAAAAGGAAAAACTAATAGAAGATGGAGCATTTGTAGCAGTGGAGGGATCATTAGATCTGTGAAGAAATGGTGACAAGGGAGTGTAATCTATGAAGAAAAGTACTCTAGTCATTGTCTAACGCATCAAATCAGTCATTAACCAAGCTATTTGTGTTCTCATAGTTTTCCGTCTTGGCATGCTGAGTAAAAACAGCCCTACCGTATTCATCAAAGTCAATGAATAATCCAGTGTCCACTTCCCACTTATCAACAAATTGTTTATTCTTACCTTGTTCTTGAGATCTATTATTGATCTTAAGGTTGACTAGTTTCACTATGATTGACTGGTTTCACTTGGTTCAAAAGATGTCTATTTTCATTAAAAGAGCCAGTTGCTATACTGTCTCACTATTTATCCTGCCAGACAACTCCTTCACAAGTTATTCGTTCTGACGACTTAGGAGCTAGTATTTGACCCATGTAATCTATCAAATAACACTAGGCAAACGTCACTCCTTGAGCTGTTTTCAAGGAATGGAAATGAAACCTCTAAGTTATCTTGCATTGCAAAAGCAATGTTTTCAGGTATTGCTGGAGCAACTCTGCCTTGGTTTGTCTTGAAGAAATCGCCATGATGAATATTGGAGTGCCGTGGTACAATGTGCGCCATGTCATTTATGAAAATGTTTGGTTTGTGTTTAGACATGCAAAATGTCTATATAAACTCTTGGGCTTTTGCCTCTAAGAAGGAATTTAACAACGTAGATTGATACATAGATTAACAGCACTGATAACAATTTAACAGCATAACACCATTTTGACAAGCCACCATCAGCCAACCACACGAGTATCCAAACATTTTTTTAAACATCTTGTTGAACTTTTTGTTAAGTTTTGAATAGGCTAGGATCACAAGTCAGATTATGGAAGAACCCTTTTCCCCAGATTGTTTAATAATACTGGTATCACAGTTCAGTTCAAATTGTCACTGTTAAACCCTGACATAGCATCACAACAAGTCTTATGTAGAGATTTTTACCACACAAGTTTCAAATCATACTTAAAGATATCTATTGTGAAGAGCTTATACAAAAGTACATTTTGGTATCACTTGCAACAGGGTATCAACTTTTTTACTAGGGTCAGCGCTGATGGAAGCTGACTTTATAATTCAGCATCAGTTGTTGTAAATGGAAGTGAAAATCTTTCCTTGACACTTCGAGCTTTGACATCAATAGAGTAATTTCCATATGCTGAATATTATGCGTCACATCCACATTTCGTGAGTCTCCTTATAGCTCATAAAACTTCTAGTCTTTGTGGGAGTTTTTTCATATTGCCAACACTTTTGAGGTTACTGATATCTTGGAAAATAAGTCAAAGATCTTTGTTGACTGTATTGAATTTGAGGCCTTCAACGACTGTCATAACAAGAGATGGTCTCCCTATTCTTGTCTGATGGCTTTGTCAAGTGTTTTGGGTTTAGACATCCACTCCTTTTACCCAGATATGGGGCGTGGTGTACCTACGAGTCATGCTCATAATGTATTCAAAGCTGTTATCAAGCCACAAATAGAACCAGAATGTACTTTGATTCCAGTTCGTCTCCTTTGGAAAAGGTTAGATACTCTTATGCAACGCTGCAGAAAATCATTTGTGCTAATCACATTGTGCCTTTGTTTTATGCTAATGTAGATGCAAAATTCTTTTCCTATGGTATAAAACAAGCTTTGGTTGATGACCTTTCATCTTTTGGTTCTTCTAAAGGACAAATGAAAATCCCCTTCTCTGCTGTATCCAAGAGTACCAGTGCATTAGTTGATGTTGCATCAAGTACAACAGCTTTGCCTAGTCAAAAGGAGTTGCCAAATGGGAAAGTACAGAAGAGGAATGTGTTGCAAGGTCATATATGTGACATTGGCTCTTTTTATGACAAAGTTAGTAGTTTGACAGACCCTCAGATATATGATCTTTTGAAAAATATTTGGAAACGAAGCCCTTAGTATGTTTACCCAATTCATTATTCTTATGGTAAGAACAGAATAATTAATTCAGCTTCAAAAATTCTCATGGCTGGCATACTCTGGTAACTTAGATGGTGCATTTTGCCTTCCTTGTGTATTGTTTGGTAGAAGAATAGGATTCAATTCAACAAAGCTGAACAAACTCATGATAAGTCCTTTCAATGACTGGTCAACTGCTATGAGAAAGTTCAATGATCATGACATAAAATCAAAGGTACATAAAACACGTTTGCTGAACCTTTGCTGACAATGCAAACATTTTTTGCAGTAATGGGAAATAAAATCAAGCCCATAAATATTATTCTGGACAATATACTTCAGAATACTATTTAAGCCTACAGAGAAAAATTGGTGTATATTGTGAAAACTTTTGTTCTATTAGGACAACATAATATGGCTTTTAGAAGACACAGAGATGATTCAAAATATTATGACACCAAAGACTGTGGCAATTTTCAGGCTCTCCTAGATTTTAAGATTGATAGTGGAGATGTTGTTCTAAAGAGACATTTTGAAGATGCACCAAGAAATGCAACCTATACATCTAAAAGAACTCAAAACAAGCTAATTTCTTGTGCTGATGTCATCAATGAGCAAATTTTGCATGAAGTAAAAAAAGCCTATTATTCTACCCAGATGAAGTGAACGACTGTTCCAACAAAGAACATATGCCTTTGGTTTTAAGCTACGTTGGAAAGGATCACAAAATTCATTCATTGTGATACAGAGTTATCTGGTGCAGCTTTAAAAGACAAAATAGTTTCATGATCACAGAAGACTTCAAATTAGGTATCAAAAACTGCAGAGGCCAGTGTTATGGTGCTGCTGGATACATGGCAGGTAGATTTTCTGGAGTTTCAGCTCAAATCCTTGGTCTTAATCCTCTCGCTTTATATACACATTGCTCTTCTCATCATCTCAACATAAGCATTGCTTCATCTGGCCAAATTCAAAGCATTCGTTACATGATGAAGAGTGTCACAAGTATTTCTAATTTTTTCAACAAATCTCCAAAGTGCCAGCTATTTTTAGAAGAAATGGTCAAAAAACATATTCCAAATTGTAAGCACATCAGATGTTTGCAAACAAGATGGGTTCTTCATACAGATGGACTAGAAAGGTTCATCAAAATGTATGAAGCAACTGCTGAAGCAATTTTTGCATTAAGGGAAAACGTAGATGGGAAGTGGTCTACAAGTGCTACAGAAGCTTATGCATTCTCTTCTTTCCATTTTTGATTTATTGTTACCCTGGTTGTTGTCAGAATGTGCCCTGGATATACAAGAGGGGGTGGGGAGTTGACAAATGTCCAACAGATCTTATAATAACCAATTTTGCTGATAGGCAAATGTCCAGGCCAAATCATAAATAAAGTCTCAGGTCTCTCTGCAGAAATATGTACCATATTTGTCCATTCCTGGCTCAAAGTAAGAAAGTGTTTGTGCTCCACATTTGTGTAATAGAATTTTATTTTTAATTTGCAAGAAATTTTCATAAATGTTACACTTTGAGCATTTTTATACGTAGAGTCAATCTCATTGAATAATCATAATACATTGGGTTATTTTAAAGCAAAATCTGATAAAAAGCTTCATCACAACAGCTTTTTCATAATTAAATTTTGTTGTAGATTTTATTCTGAAATTTTGTCCCTGTTTCCTCTCATTAGCACCACTGGTGATGGAAACTGCCTGTACAATGCATGCTCATTGGCTATGTATGGGCATGAAAATCTCAGTTTTCTTCTGAGGGCATTGACATCTGCTGAATTATTTCTTCATTCTCATTTTCATTCAACACTTTCTCAAGTCAATGATCTTTTCAATGAGCAACAATCTTCTCAAATCTTTCCTTCCTTGTTTGCAAAATACATAAGTTTAGAAGCACAAAACAATTTTAATAAGGAAATTAAGAACTTCGAACAGTGCATAAAGTTAGAGGCTGAGCTTAATTGCAGACTCTGTAGATTTAGTCCATTTGTCTGTATGATGGCATTGTCTACTGTTGTAAAAGCTCCAATTATGTCATGCTTTCTGGAGACTGGAACCAAACACACTGCTAAGCTGATGAATGTGTTACTAAATCCCCAAGCTGACTGCACACTAGGCAAGGAACCAATTCATCTTTTATGGACCGAATCTGGTGGGAAAAAAGAATCTATAAACCAATGGTTTCAAGCTGATCATATTATTCCATTGGCCATTGGTTATTTTGAGCAGTCAACATCCAGTGACTATTAAAGCAACAAAATCTCAAAAATGTTTGTCAACAAAATCAGTCAAGATTGGTGTTGTGAACTCATCCAAATTGGTCGAAGAGATTCCAAAAAAGCAAACAACAATTTCTTTTGCTCCAAAACACCTTTTTCCTGTGGTGAGAACAGAAAAACATTGATCTTCATTTGGAACCATCAAAATATGACATTGGCACATTCTACCTTAATGGAGACACTTCTTTGGATGAGCAGAAATATGATTATTTGTCAAATGTTTGGCAGCCTGATGGCAATTTCAAGTTTCCTATTGGCATATTATGCAATAAGAACAGGAAGTTTCTCCCTACTTGGCTGCAAAAATTTTCTTGGCTGAACTACTCTAGAATCTTGGATGGTGCTTTTTGTTTGCCATGTGTACATTTTGGTCGAAGACATAAGACATTACAATTTCAACCATTAGCATTTCAACCAACAAGAATTACAATTTAAGTTATGATTAATAAAGAAACGAGTACATGAATTGGACTAGGTTTACCATAAACTATGATACCAAGTCATTAAATAGATGAAACTGAAAATTTTAAAAAAGAACCAAATGGTTGGGAAGGGATCCTATAGCAGAGCTAATTCATAGACCCCTACCCGGACTTTTAGAAATGCTACCCGGAAGAGTTGGATCAAATGCTGCAAAGCTAGATAAATTAATGAGAAGCCCCTTTGTTGACTGGTCTTGTGCCTCTCGTAGATTCCATAATCATGAAACAAAGCCTGATATTCACAAAACATCGATGTTAATAATGCATCAATTTATCCTTGTTATGGAAAATAAAGTGAAGTCTGTCAGTCAAATACAGCACCATGTACAAAATAAAAATGTTGAAGAAAACAGACTCATTCTTGCATCCATAATCATGACAGTTCTTCTTTATGGCAGATACAACATACCTTTTCGTGGCAATAGAGATGATTCTGATTATTATGAAACAGTTTATTGTGGAATTTTTCAAGCTCTCTTGGATTTTCGTGTGGATAGTGGTGATAAGGTTCTTCAAGAGCATTTTGCAACTGCCCCAAGAAATGCTACATACAACGCAGAACGAGCTGATCATTTGCTGTGTTGAAGTCATAACCAAACAGATAATCAAAGAAATAAAAGAGTCTAAGTATTTTTCAATCCTGGCTGATGAAGTTACTGATTGTTCTAATAAAGAGCAAATGCCACTTGTTATACGTTATGTTGATCAATCTGGTTGCATCAAGGAAAGATTTCTTAAATACATACTTTGTAACACTGGGACTTCAGGACAAGCTTTAGCAGAAAAGATCGTTGACTGTATTAAAAATGACTTTGGCTTAGATTTGCAAGACTGTAGAGGGTAGTGTTACGATGGTGCAGCAAACATGTCAGACAAATATTCTGGTGTGTCTACTAGAATTTTAGAGCAGAATAAATTTGTGTTATATACACATTGCTCTTCCCATAGGTTGAATTTGTGTGTAGCGAGCTCATGTCAAATACAAACAGTGAGGAACATGATGGAGAATGTTGAGGTAATTTCAAAGTTTTTAACAATTCTCCAAAAAAACAGAATCTTTTAGAGAAGATGATAAAGAAGTTTCATCCTGATGTCAAAGAAACATAATTGGTAGATGTTTGTAACTCGATGGATAATACGCATTCATGGTCTTCAGCGTTTCATTAAGATTTTTAAACTGGCAACTGACAACACTGGCACAAATTGACACAATTTGTGACCTGGACGTCTTCTGCAGCAGAGTCTTAAGGGTTGGCAGCTATTGTGAAAAGCTTTGAATTTATCCAAACACTTGTTTTTTCTCAGTTTTTGACAAGCTGTGCTTGTCTTTTTTTATGGTTTCAAACAAACAACCGCTAATTCAGCCACCAAATTTTGACAGAGCAGAAATAAGTGATGAAAGAGACATCATTTTAGAAAGGGCCAAACAAAAAACTCATTGCATTATCAAAATTGCAAAATTGCATTATCTAAAAGAATCCAAACTTTGATATTTCATGTTTATGTATAACATATATGTATAACATGTTTATGTAATACCTTTATTAGGCACACTTTGTATTCTAACTTTGCACACATGAATATCATATAACAAGAAGAAAGTCTCATTTTAGACATGATTAAAGTCTCATTCAACCCATGATAGACAAACTGCAAAAAATGAATCAGCCTCTTGAAAGGAATGAGCACTTCCACTCAAATCAGTCCTCACCTAATATGCAAAAGTAGCCTCTGGAACACAGCTTTTTAACAGTGTTATTTGTATTTGATAATCTATGTATATGTTGTTTCATAATGATGTAATTTCAATAGCTTTTTTCAAGTTAGTATAGTTTTTGGGCGACAAATCGTGAATGTCAAATCATTTTTTTAAAGTGTATACACTGCATGTCAAATAAGCTCTTTTCCCTAAGAAGACGAGGCTTTGAATAAGCCATCTCTTTACCATCATCCTTATTGGACTTTGTGACAATTTTTACATAATCTGGAGGGGACCCAATGCTCTCCCAAGTATGTCTATAGGGTCTGCAGGGGTGAAATTTGTTGGTAGCTTGTGTTGAAAGAAGGCACATTTATGAAAAATGGAAAACAACCGACCAGTAGGCTATTGGCAAACAGTAGATCTATGTATGAATAGTCACAACATCAAAATAGGAAGATAAAACTTAAATAGGTAGAATCATATAAGTAGTTATTGACAAAACTGAGAATGAAAATTGCAAAATTTAAGTAATTTGCAAACAGAAATTCTATTTTTTACACACATCCACTACTTGATGGGATATATTATTATTAATAACGTTTACACTTTTTAGTTTATGATGTGAAGATTCCTGGTTCTTTTAATAGTTTTAATAAAGATATAATAAACTAAACTCTCTCGGATCACGGACCTTCTCTGCCAGTTTGTTTGTGTACAAAAGGCGCTGACATTTTGATTATGATCCATTTGCAACATGCCTTGTACCATATTTCTTGGGCGTCTCTTGTTCCCCTTGATATCACAAGTGAGGTCCCATTGTCGCAAATTGACATCTCCTCTTCTAATACATATATTGTGGAGGACAAAACAAGCAAGGGTCTTGGTCTTCATTGTATTTGCCGCACTTTCACATTTCTGTAGAGCACTCTCCAGCGACCTTTATGCTTGCCAAATGCCCCCTCTGTAACCACGCATGCTCTTCTAAGCCTATAGTTAAAGTAAATAACGAGCAATGTATATAAATAGGTAAAAAAAATTTCAAAATAATTATCAAGTCAAGTCAATATAATATCAAGTCATATCAAGTCAATAACGGCTATGGTCGAAACGTCGTTAATTATTTTAAAAATTTTTTCCTGGTAAAATTTACCTACATTTATCGTTATTTAAATTCATCATATTGTACCACACGCATTTTAGTATATAGTTAAAGCACTTCTGCTCATTGGAAAAGACAGCTTGGGAATATGGTTTCATCATCCAATTGTGAAAGGTAAATGCACCATCTCCAAGGAGAATAGGGGAGAAGAATAATTTATCTACATTTCCTCCTTTATGAGCAACATCCTTGAATATATCAATAATGTCCGTTGATTGGAAGATTATTGAGTCATGGGAATTGCCTGGGTAACCACAACTTTCCCAAGTAATCCTATACTTTGTATCCACAATTCTGCATTTTTCATAGGCCTAACTGCTCTAATGTGGAAATATTCAAAGCCTGTCTATTTCCTGAGTTGAATTCACGATGCAACTCTTGGAAAACCAGTAACAAGAAGCCTAAAGAAGAACGGCAAATAAAAAGAGATTCAAATAGCATGTCCAATTCTTGTCAGTGATTACAATAAAAATATGGCTGGTGTGGACAAAAGTGACCAACAATCTGTTGTGAAAAAGGATAAGATTTTGACTCGACTCTTTAACCTCTTTTAAAATTGTCTCTTTGATAAGAGAGCCAGATATCTTGATAAGCTCACTCTGAGTTGTCTTGGACTGATATGTGGCATAAGCTGGTGGAAATGCGAAATGCTGATTGAAGGTAGTGTTGTTACCACATTTTGCTAAAAATGCCAGAATAGCATGCAGTTACCAGGGTTATTACTTTCTACAAGACAATGCTTCGCATCATCTCAATTGTCTCTGAAACCAAGATTTTGTTGCCCACAAGAAATAACCCCTTCCAACATAATTTTCAGTATGTCCCTGTTAATGGCGATTTGCTTTGATATTAGAAAATTCAATTGGACATTTACTGGTTCTTGCTTGTTTTCCATACAGTTACAAAACTGTGAAAACCTGAGAGTAGCATTTAAATGGACAGGTGATTTGACATTGTGCTCATTAAATTTCTCTCTAGCCTTTTGCCATGTTTTAAATGGGCCTTTGAATAGATATACCAGTTTGTTGTCGTTATGGCCACTTTCACCCCCAAAAAGAACACAGTTAATGCAGAATGCACCATCAAGCAAGGGATAATATGTTAGCCATGGATAGAGGTCAAGCCATTTGTACTGAAAGCTAGGATGAAATTAATTCTTTGGAAAACAATGATTTGGTTGTGGTTCAGTGCAGATAATATCATACTTTTCATCATCAGTTAATGGTTCTCTCTTTTGAGCAACTATTCCAATGTCCTTCTCGTTTACAACACTAGCATTCTGCTGGACATTAGTTGTTTTTAAACTAATTCCAATTGGAATTTGTGAAGAAGATTGTGATTTGGTCAAAGTTTTGTTATGGTCACCGGAGGGGCCTTGAAAAGGAGAAGACCTTTTGAATACAACGTGATCCATTGTCTGCATTTTGTGTTTTTTGGCATTGTCCATGAGTTTGCAATTTTTTCCTGTTGCACTGTAGATGAGGAACTAACTAGTTTTGGAAGAACAGACACAAATTTATGTTTCTCTGCACCAGTTTGACTTTGAGACCAATTAAGAAGTGGAACATAATGGTTCTTTCTGTCAGGAATTTACCTGTTTCAAGGAAGCCTAAAGGTTGTGCAGCACATCTGAAGAGATGAATTTTCTCAAGATCTAAATTAGAGCTTGATTGTGCCATTAAAAAAATCTCTGCTCCATTCTTTTTCTCCACTTTCTTCCCTATGTCCCCATCTGCATTTCTGACAGGAAAGTAAACAATGGACCTACCAATGACTGATGTCAAAGCGAGCAAACATAGAAAAGAAAAATATGAAATGTCCTTTGCAATATTACAGGCCTCAGCTTTAACTGACTTTTTGTGATAATTTTGCTCTGAGAAAAACCTTAGCTGCATCTAGAGACAAGGCAATATTAAAAGCATTTTTCTCAGGGTGAATCCTCCATCATTGGGCTTTGAAGTGATGAAAGGATGACCAGCATAGTAATTCACATTCAGACACATTTCAATAGTTGTGAGACACCTCAAACAGCTTGATAAAGTTCCATTGCCAATAAGAGCCAAGGAACAGGCACAGAGTAAGCAGTTTCCATTGCCATTTGTTCTAAAAGAAACAACAGAAACAAAAACAGAGGGCACAATGAAGCAGACTTGGCATTAGGAGTCACATCAATAACCTGAAGACTTCAAATAATAAGCAAAGTTCTATGTATACATAGATTGAATCAAAATAACAAACAATGATGCCAGTGATGTATGTCTGCTTAACAAAATGACAAAAGCAGATGAGCTTGTACGCACACATATAAGTGCAAGCCCTGTTTAGACTCTAAAGATGCTATGAGCTTTTCTCGTTTTAAACTATTGACTGGAAACATATATTTACCAAAACCGCAACTTTTAATTTATCAACTACTTAACTATAAAAGTTTGAGCTAGAACATTGTATTATAGAGTAGTTTGTTTCTAGCATGAACTCATATTTTATTCCAGAAAACTGACATAAAAAGGAAAATTCTTGAAAAGACAACATCAGAAATATCAAACTCTCGATAGACCCTAAAGAAAGTAAGTTTTGACTGCCAAAAAATCAACTTTAAGCAAATCTTGCCATCCTATACAGCATTGCAAATGCACAAAAGAGAAAATGATACCATTCTGCAACATTTTATTGCTTTCTAGAAAGTAAAAGTCTTGATTTGCAAATACAGATTAATACCAATTATTGCCTTGTTGGTGCTGTTCTTTATTAGTCCTAAAACTCAGATCAATTAAGCTATTTTTTACATAGGGTGACATTATTTTGTTCTTGTAATTGAACTTTTGTAGTTGCTTTTAGCTGGAATTTGTATTTAGTTGGAATTTTAAAAATTAGAATGAACTAGAACCCTCAATTACCGTCCAAAGACAGGATTTCCTTTGGAAAGGGTTTCCACTGGAGGGTAGTTGCCTCACTTAAATCAATACTTGTAAGAATTTTTTGATAAAAATTGATTGTTTACTAAGTGCATTGAAGTACAAAGTGTTTGGTGTCATCTGCATTTGGCGTGAAATATTCTGTTAAAATGTTTTGCATTAAGGAAACTACCAACCTGAAAGGCTGAAAGTCCGAACTTCCACTGGACAGTACTTGAACCTTTGGCAATTGCAGTTCAGCAAATTCATCTCCAGAAATTCCGACCAGTGCTCAAGCACCTGTAGCACCCCCTAGATCTGCCTCTGCAATCCTGATGTCATGAATGAGAATGATGATGCAACATGCTACTTGACTGGTCTCTCCTGGAATGTTTATAAGGTTTTAGCTGATTCCTTGGTGCGTCATATCAAGATGTCAAGAAAGAACCTGCCCCCCTGAAAGTCAGCTGTTCATGGTTCCAGTCCGTCTGAAACTAAATTTGCCATTTTTCTACCTTAGCTATCAGACAGGCTTCTCAGTTGGCAGTTTGAATAAACATTTAAAAACATCATAAAAATGGTGTACCAGAAGTTTCTAGTGCAATGGCCTGACAGATCACACATGCGTGAGACTTTGCCACAAGTATTTAAAGAGAATTTTCCAAGGCTGACATCCATTATTGACTGTTTCAAGATTTTTATAGAGCGTCCAAGCAAACTCAAAGCAAGGATCGAAGTGTATCCAAACTACAAAAACACAGCACTGTAAAATTCCTGTTGTGCTGTAGCCTTCTTGGTGTGGTGACGTTTCTCTCTAAGGCATGGAGAGGAAGGGCCTCAGGTGTACAAATAGTTAGAGCATCTGGATTTATCAGCCCAAAATATCATTTTCCAGGTGCAACCAATCTATTTATAAACATTTAGTAGTGTTTTTCTTTTGAATGAAAAAGCTCTATGACAATAGACCTTTCCGCAGATTATGCCGACTTGTTGAAGAGTGGGCAAGTTGAGCTTTGACCCGCCTCGTATTTCAATGGTTGCCAGTCAGGGTTGCCATACTGGCCTTTTTAAGGCCAAATTTCTCAATTTTGGCCTTTTTTCATGTTGATTTGCCTGAAAAAATAACATTTGACCTGAGACTAAAATTTGGCCTTTTTTGGCCTTTTTTGGCCTGTTTTCTCGAATTTATCCTAATAATTTTTTTACTTTGTTTTTGGCCTTTGAAAAGTTTTATTCAAACAGTGTATTCTCGCAGTTTCATGACATGGGCTTTGTATTGTTAGTGTGATGTAATTCATCACTTGCCACTTAACATAACGTTAAGCTGTGAATAACCAGCTACAGGGGTCACTGCGCTATAAATATTCAATTGACATTCACGAGTTAGTTTTCTACAATAACAGAATGTCTCGATGTGAGGCATAACAAAACATCGGCTGTTATCGGATATACCACTTCCAACAAGCCTTGCGGACCCTAAAAACTTGATTCATATAACCCTAAACATCAGAAACCTTTCATTTAGATTCACGCGATTGCAATACTCACTGCTCTGTTAAATTTCAATTCGATTTCAATAATGAGTTTAAGCAAGGAACCCAAAGGTACTAAGTGGAAAGTCTACTATGAAAGTGCTCGAAAGTATAAGCCGCAATGGCAAAGAAAGCATCCTTGGGTAACAAAAGCTGTGGATGGAACAGTTGAAGCATACTGCTCTTTATGTAAAGTCAATGTTAACCCAAAGCTTTGTCATCTTCAACAACACGAGGCTTCTACTAAACATAAAAAAGCTTCCACTGCAGTTTCTTCGAACAGAAAAATTGTTACTCTTTTGAAGAAAGATGATGAGGTCCTGAAGAAGATCGAGCTTGAGCTTGCTGTTGCTATAACGTGTCATTGTGCAATTCGGGCAGTTGACCATTTTGGTGAAATAATTGTGAAACACGGAGATAAGAGCAAACTGGGAGAACTGAAGCTTCATCGAACAAAATGCAGCCAATTAATCAAACGCGTAATCTCCCCTGCCCTATACGACGAGTTACGTAGCGATGTTTCTGGCAAGAAGTTCTCCGTTCTCATAGATGAGTCAACAGATGTATCATGCAAGAAATATTTGTGTGTAACAGTGCGATAATTCAGCGAAAAGCAAGAGAAAATTTGCACAGCATTTATCAGTTTAGTTTCCCTCGTAAGCGCCACTGGAGAAGATATATTCAATGCCTTAAAACTAAGTCTTGAAGATGCTGGATTAAACTTAGAAGTTGTGTTGGCTTGGCATGCGATGGAGCATCTGTAATGGTCTGAAAGCATGACTCTGTTTATTCCAGGATGAAGATAGTGTCTCCAAATTGCATCCTTATGAAATGTATCTGCCATTCACTCTCCCTATGCATAAAACATGCTTTCGAAAAACTCCCTGCTAATCTTGGATTTTTGCTGAGCGAGATCCCAAAATGGTTTTCAAAAAGCACACTAAGACGTGAAGCATACAAAGATCTCTTCAAGATCATCAATGGCGATGATGAAACCGTGAAAGTAAGTGGCGCCTTTCAGAAGAATTCCACAACAAGATGGCTTGTCAGAGGCAAATTGCTGTACAGCATCTTAGTAAGTTGGGAAGAGCTAAAAACCTACTTCTCAATTGCCGAAATAGAAGCTGATGCTTCTAGAAGATACAAAGCACGTTTAATTGCAGAAATGATGAAAGACAATGTGAATAAATTGTATTTTCACTTCGTTACACCCATAGTAAACGAATTTGAAAGGATAAATGCATTTTTCCAAGCAACAGACCTAGATCCAGACTGTATGATTAAAGAACTGAATTTGTTCCATAACAGCCTGACCAGTCGAGTTTATCTCCCTGATGGCAGCCACGTAGCATCAGATAAAGTTGGTTATGGTGCTAAGTACATATTTGAATGCAACGAAATGATGGGGAGGAAGCAACTTACTGCTCAACAAGGAAGGGAAATTGATGCAAGATGCCATCACTTGTTACTGGAGGCTGCAGCTCAAGTAGCAAAGCGCTTACCAGATTCCAATGCGATTTTTCAATCCATTGCATATCTTAGCCCCTCGAGTGTACTCAGTCAAGTGGAATGTATGCCATTGGCAAAGTTGCCCATGCAGCACCTTATTCAAGGCGATGTTCTGTCAACTATTGATGAACAGTATCGAAAGATAAAATTTATTGACTGGGCCAAAGAGATGAAGGAAGGAATACCACAAGATTCCTCAAAATTTTGGGCTGCAGTATTCTTATACAAAAACGCCCTGAGCGAGAGGCCATTTAAAGAACTCGCAAGCTATGCACTGTCATGCCTCACAACACCAACCAGCAATGCTGTTGTCGAAATAATATTTTCTTACGTTACTGCAGTCAAAACAAAGCCAAGGAACAAGATGTCTCCTGTCATGCTTGAGGCAATCGTGCGCATCAAAACGAATTTGCATTTCGAAAATAAATGTTGCAAAGACTTTCTGTCATTCCAAGGATGTTAGAGCTGTTCAATTCGTCCATGTATGCAACAGAAGCAATAAATGAAGATGATGATGATGATGTGATGATGCAAGATGAATAGCTTGTGTGAAACTTTATTATTTTTGCTTCATGCTTTGTTTGTTATTAACTTTAAATTTGTTCTTGTTTATCTTTTATAATTGTTCAGTTGCTTTCAGCTCTCGAGGTTCATGATGTGTTTTCCTAATGTATATCTACACATGCGCATAGCGATGCTTCATGACGTCATTTTAGTTTGGCCTATTTTTGACCAATTTGGCCACTTTTTTAAGCTGGTTTGGCCTGCTCGTTTCCAGACCATCTGGCAACCCTGTTGCCAGTACTATCATCTACCATTTTGTTGTCAGGGGTTTCTTGTGGATCTGTGATTCCAATATCACTTATGAGTTTCCCATACTCAACCTTAAGTGAACGCAGATGCTCCTCACTTGTGGCTATAACAGGCAGGCTTAGTTCCCCTGCTGCAAATGGTCTCGCAACCAGCTCTACATGTGTACCAGATGTTTTAAAGCCTTGTACAGCTAGAAAATTTGACATTCTGAGAGCAAGGAATTTGTCATATCCAACTTTTTGCTCTGCTTCTTCACCCATTTCCAAACCTTTTTCTTCCACCAAAAAGCTGATTGATAAAGGGTATTTTGTAATTATTTAACAACAAATTAATTTCAAATTATGACGAATGAAAAGGAAAAGCCTTGGGAAACGAAGAATTTGGCCTAGGAATTCAAATTGGCCTAAATCAAACAGTTAACTTTTTGAGTTTTTTTCACTTTGCGACAACTGAAGATATCGTTAAAGGTGGCTATGATAAAATAATGAATAAATGCACTTACTGGGTTTGATTAAAGGACTTGTAACAAATTGAACGATTTCTTTCGCAACTAATAAAAACAACGCAGCAAGGAAGTACTAGCAGCCATTACAATACGAGGCAGGGTCAAAGTCCAACTTGTCCTCTCTTCAACATGACGACATAATCTCTGAAAAGGTTTATCCAGTTTGGTAACATATAAGTAAACATTATGTTTTTCTTAGTTTGTAGAATTGTCTCAATTTTAAAGCTCTATTTAGCGATAGGCATAAAACTTTATTGCTTATATTGAAGTTGGCAAAAGGCAATTAAGATTTTATCATGTGACACTTGAAGTAGCAGATACCAATATAACTTGGTTTCATTTTCCAATCAAAGCTTCTATCACATCCCAACACATTTTTTGTCTTATTCAAAATACTTTGTCTTTTATCTAGGTGACCAAATTTTAACAGACAGGAGATTTACCCTTGTTGATGACTTTGCTGTGGTATGCAGTGCCGAACTTATCATTCCACAGTTCACAAAGGGAAAGAGGCAACTTGATGCAAAATCAGTTGACACAACAATAAAGATTGCCAATGTAAGGATCCCTGTAGAGCGGGTTGTAGGTCTCCTACAGAACCGATATGGGATTTGGTCCCAAGGACCAAGGCCCTTAAACCTAGTTAAATGAAAGAAAGAAGAAGCTTGAAGAGGAATACTACATTTCAAAAAATTAGTGACAGTCTGCTCAAGTTTAATTAATTTATCACCTGGTATTGTGAACAAGGAAACATAATGAAAAAATTAGGAAGCTCTGATATGGTTAAACAGTTATTTCTTTTTCTTGCAAACCTCACAATACCATGCACCTTTTGTTGGTCGCTTCAGAGCTGGTTTGATGCATTTATAATGCATCCTTTAAATTTGCATTGTGGATTATCACATTCAATCATGTCTTCTTCGCTCTCATGTTGCTTGCAATAGCAAAAAACTTCTTTTTCAACTTCTTCTTGCCCTTTCATGAATGTTTCACTTTTCTCTAGTGAAACTAGTTCATGCGAAATTATTTTCTTGTGGTAATCAATCAAAAAAATCTCATTGAATTCTTGAATTCTTCTTTGTATGCAATTACAAGTCCTTTGCAAAAATTATGACCCCAAACAACAAAGTGAGAAATCTTGATCATGTAAATTTGCATTTGCATTTGGACTTGCGTCTAGTACCTATGGGTACTTTTCAATTCCAAATCATTTTCCAGACAAAAACTTTTTGTCATCAAGACACTGCATAATATTGGTTTTATTTCGCTGTGCCTATGGACATTTGATTTTAATCAAAGAGTCACCATGGCAATCGCAATGACAGATGGCATCAGCTGAGGCCCCCAGAAGGGATGCTCTCAATTCAGCATCAATCCACACCTTGATGCTGTTACATTTGTGTCAAGTGCTTTTAGGTGTTCCTCATACTCTTGGGGGGCTTTTGATTAATTTTCCTGTCCCCAAAGTACTGCAGGGACATTAAGGGGCTGAGATTTGCCACATCTTTAATATCAAAGACTTTGCTTGCTTATCTATTTTAGTATGCAGGATATAATGTGCTAAAGAGGCAGTTATCCTTTCCACCATGATTTCATCCCAAACCAGTGACTTGCTTTGACCTCTTGTAGCAGACTTCTAGAGCAGACCTCTTGTAGCTCTGCCCGTTTCTCGTCATATTTATGCAGATCTTCTGTAAATAAGCTCCTTAGCGATTTTGGCAAAATCGATCTTCTCTCACATTAGTTTCATGATAGAATGTTTGAGAAAAGTTTTCAAAAATACTTTCTTCGACAGGTTGCTCCTTTGGTTCCTGGTTATGCAGTCTCTGTAAAAAATCCTTCTGTTCATCCTTTGTGAAAGGAGCATTCTGGGGAGTTTTTTCAATTGAGGCAGGGTTGTCCTTTTTTATAAAAAAAGTAATCTCCTCTATGGGTACTCCTTTTGTTTTTTTTTTAAATTCACTGTTCCATTCACATGGCTTTGAAGCTAAAGAGGTATACCCCAGGCGCACAGCTGATTTAACATTAAACAGAAGTGCACCAATGTGTAAACATGATTCTCTATGCCTAATAAGAATAATAATAATAATAATAATAATAATGGAACAATCGAGCATATCCACTAATTTAATTAAAAGCAAAGGTCAAATTACAGGTTCAAAAGTTAACAACAGCTACATACTTATAAAAAAGAGGAAAAAATATTTTTTAGTCCAATTTCTTGCTCGTTTTTTCAAATAAATGCTTCTTTAAGTTGGAACAAAATGTCGAAAGCTAGACTGAGATTTTATTGATCCAGGTAAGGCATTAAAGCACTTTGCAGCGGCATCTTCAAAAGTATCTGCTATTAGTGATGGCCTTATACGAGATACGTTACTACTTCGCAGTACTCTGTTACAAGTTTGCAGCTCGAGTTTATTAATTATAGGCCAGTTAGTGTTGTGAATTGCCTTGAAAGTCAAGAAAGTTGAATTCCCGTCTTTCTGCAATTGGTAGCCAACCAAGTTTCAAGATATCTTTTTTATGAGCATAACATTTGTCAGTTCTCACTAGATCTGTTTGATCACAAATCTAAAAGGAATAACATGAGTCGAACGTAGATATATTCAAGCCAAAGCGAAAAAAATTGATTTTCATTTATATGTTAAATTTAAGAAAGCATCAAATATAAAATAGTCGCTATAAAATAATAAGGCTCATTTTAACTCAAAATGAACAACTTGGCTCAAAACAAACAATGTTGCTCAAAACAAACCTGAAAGTGGTCTCCCACCTTCGTATAGTCAATCTTTTCTGTAAGGATTTCATCCAGTTGCCGATTGTCACCTCAAAGTTCTCAATCTCTCTCGCTACATCTACAACCAACTCATATTCTTTTAAAAATTTGCAGATGATCCGGGGCGAATTCAAGTAGGATTTAACTGTCCCTGGTTGTTTCTCGTTTAGAAATGAATTGAGCCAGTGCTCCTTTACTTTTGCAGCATCAAACAAGTTCCTTATATAATTTGGGTGATCCATTCCTGTTTCAACTGCCCTGTTAATATGGATGACATGAGAAACGTGCATCTGCGCTACCTTTTCATTTTTCAAAGTTCTGTCAATAGACATCAACCATTCTTTCAAACCAGTAAAAAGTTGCTTCTCTGAAACAGATGTTGTAAGGATAGGTGATTCTTCATCGCCCTCCATGTCCTCAGATTCTGAGTAACTATCTGTGCCTTGGACTTTGTCTGTGTTTTCACTTGCTTCAAAAGTTCTCATTTCGATAGTGAATTGAGCTTGAGTTGACTCTATGTATTTTTTCTTCATACGAGGCATTTTGTTTGGAGCAGTCAGTGCATCTGGAACAGCATTGTCCATGGGTCGTTTTGCATCATTAACATAGCTTCGATAATGTGCCTATTTGTCATCTTGTGAACTTGTCGAAGATGGTTGTTCAGCCTGTTGACATAAGGGTTGCATGTTCTGATAGACATATCTTTGTTAAGAATCTTTGCTTCTGTTTTCCATCTTTTGGCACACAGACTTTTCGAAGTTGATATTTGCCTCTTGCTGCATGGGCATCCTTCTTGCTAAGTTTGTGCTTTTGGATCAAAAGCCATACCAAATTCACAATACTTTCCTCGAAAAAAGGGAATTTTTTAGATAGTTTGTGTTGCTATCCCTTTTATGAAACCATCCCTTTTATACCTTTTACAAAGACGAACAATAGTAATGATGTGATTCACAAATAAACACCCCTTACAATTGTCGATGGGATCACAATGTGGTGATGTAATTGACACCTGTGCAGTGACTCGCTTACATCCAATAAGCACCTCGCTTCATGTAGCAATCGTGAATAATAAAATGGCAACTTCGTCTTGATAAATGAAGCAAACAATGAATTGTTGATTCCAAAAACAACCATTATGCATGAGAGAGATGAATCTGTCGAATTGTGGTTGAGGTGCAGGCAGGAAATTCTCACAAAAATAAATATGCTATTGGAAATCGGTTCTTGCTGTGTATCCTTCTCAATTATGGCGATTTTTGTTTTAAAATTAGTGTGTCTAGAAAGCAGGAAAACCTTTTCAAATCAACTATATACAAATCAACGTGATATATACAAACAGCAAGTACAACGACAAAATTTGTTTTTTCTTGGTTGAGAAACTTCTCGAAAAGGATAAAGGCTGGCCATTTAGCTAAATGGGCATAGACCATAGGACTGTGAAACAAACAAACATGGAGAAAAGTACCAAGGAACAATCTACACTTTTAATCGCAAAGGAATTGATTAGTGAACCGAAATTTCCCTGCATGCTGTTGAGAGGAAAGAGCAAGACTGATAGCAATACTGAATTGATTGTCAGAGTAGTAGTATAGAGTGTATTACAAAGTGACCGTACTTAATTAATTTTCCAGTTAAGGGTAAAAAAATCCACGCTAAAAGAGAAGAAAGTTGAGACAAATTATGCATCATCTACTGTAGATGATCTATTTAAACCAGAGGTGCAGTGTTTTGCAAAGAACGTGTGGCAGGACAAACTAAAAAACTCTCTCAAATATACTAACAATTAGTAATTGCTTACTTTGTGTAAAAGAAGCTCATCCCCTTGAGCACCCTAGCACAATAATACTATGCTAAACTGATTCTTGATAATTTTCAATGCTTTGATGTATTTTTCCTGTGGGCACTTGGTGTTTTTTTGCAAATTGCCTTACTTCATGTGAAGATAAAACAGTTAAATTGTAAATTCTTGGTTGAAAATTTCCTGTGAAAAAAATTTTCTACCTGTGATTTCCTGTGACCAATGTCACACGGTAACAGAGAAAGTAATGCCCTGCAACTGACTATCTTTGTAAAGTGCTTTTGTACTGCGGTTCCAAGCAAATGTTCCTGCTTGTTTTCATCAAATATCCAAGTGATCCTGTTCCTGCTTGTTTTCAAAAAGTATCCAAGTGATCCAAAGAGAATTGTGATGACTTTAGTGAATGGCTTGCAACACCAAGGATACCAGCTGACAACAGATAACTGGTACACTTCATTGGAACTATCCAAACAATTGAAAGAAATTGGGATTTGGGCCATCAGAAGAAACCAGTAAGCTGGCTTTCCAAAATAAGTGGTGAATGCAAAGTCGAAAGTTTGAGAGAAGCTTGCATATCGCATGGATGATAATGATACAAGAAAATATTACAATAAGAGACAAGAAGAGTCAGACAAAGCCACTCTTGATGACCTCAACAAAATATTCTGCTTTTAATGCTGATGGGGATGGTCAGAAAGTCAGAGAGGAAAACCATATAGCTGACAAAAAGTACAAATGTCAGCTAATTTGGGCTTACAATCATTCTAAATTTGCTTATTCACAGTTTATTCTTATGAGATGGAGAAGAGAACCAGACGCTGGCCTGTCAAATGATGCTAAGACTGATGCAGAAGGCACTGCTAAATTCATGTTTTATTTAAGGTATTAGCAGAAAAGTCAATGAAGCGCTTATGCTTGTATGTGAAGATATTTGACAGACTGATGAATCCAGCTAGAAACAGACGAATCAGGCCTCAGTATTTGAGACCAGACATTAAGGGCAAAATTTGTCCGATGGAACAATTGCCAGGAGGAAAAAGAAAAGACTGTATTGTTTGTTCCAGCAGGCAAGAGGGTAAAAGGAAAAGAATGTTAAGAACTCATTATTAGTATTTGTTATGGTGATCACTCTCTAGACATTAACCACTGCGTAGTAGCCTTGCGTAATCATATTATATGGCTTGATTGTAGCATGGTAGCTAACTGTTGTTGTTGTTAACTCATTCTTGTTATGTTCTGTTCAACTGAAGCGGTTTAGCCCTTTTTAATTCATGCTTATTATACTCAACATTTCTAACAGGTTATGGGCCTAGGACATTATGAAACATGAAATAGCCATACGAAAAGTTTTTTAAGTGTTTCTTTCTCTGAAAGCTTCCTCATCTGAAGACACAATGAACAGCACACTGAAGTTTCCAAAGCTGAACAGGTCAAAATACCGAACATGGGCGTTCCACATGCGGTTATATTTAGAGAGCATGGATCTCTTTGAACATACTAAACGCAACATACTAAAACCGCCTCACCAAGGCTTGTTGAAAAAAAGATGATCAAATTTGTTGCAAAAGTATCAATAGTTTTTTGAGAGGAGAAACGTTTTGCTGACATCAGCAAACTGTTTTACTTTTTGCACTATAACTTACAATCTTTCTATAGATTAACCTCTTTCTATTAAAACTACTATTTTTATGTTTCTGCTAATTCTAGAAGCAAAAATTGGTACTTCAAAAGTCGATGACATCATCATCAGAAAATGCTGATGTCAGCAAATGTTCATTGTTTGTATACCCACCCTCTAAATTTTCTTAGATCCCAGTCCTACCGCGTGAGTGTATTCGCCATTTTCATCACATAAAATTAGTAATAATGGTCAATTGTCTTTGGACAATCATGATTGAAATTACTTTGGGCTATTTCTGAAATTTTTTCACTTTTATGAAATCAATTTTGATTCCAGAGGAAAAAGATACATTTATTGATTTTGAGGGTGAATATGAAAGCCTTCGTGCCGTTGTAATAATTACATTGGCGATCACTGCAAATCTAAGGCTGAACAGTGAGTGCATCTTTGACAGGATTATGAACCATTCCTAGATTTAAGGTAAGTATATAATTGATTTTGTCTAAATGTGAAATTTCTAAAGCGTTTTGGGTGGGGAGAGGTAAAAACGTAATTTACCTGAATCTTGACACGAAATTTATCGTTCATTTGCGAGGTGTTTTTTATATTATTCTTTGCGATCGAACAGTGGCGCCAATATAGGTTAAATAGCAACGCATGATGATGAACTGGACAAAAAATAAAGTGGAAATTCGCTTTGTAGAGGCGTGCAATGTTTTTTGTAGACAATGTGGTAAAAACACGCTGAAATGGCGAAAATGGGCCTAATTCTATCTGCGAAGCGATTTTGTTGTGAAAATCCTGTGTGCTGATTGGCTTTGAACATGGTAGCGAACAGAGCTCTCAGCCAATCAAAGATTTGACCGCTATGCTCTTCTTAACAAGATTGTTTAGAGCTTAGTAAATAGACCACTCAAATCTTGATAAACGATCATATTAATTCACGCAGACATAATTAACTGGTTTATTAACTCAAAATTCTGGACTATTTCAATTCCTATTCTTAATTCATTATTCATCAAACAACTGAAGTTCTTCCTTTAATTACAACTGCAATCAGTATTTGTTTGCTTCGGTTTTCCAAGTTAATTGTTGAGTTTCAACCATTGTAAAACCTATAAGAATATGTAACCTTTCTTGCAGTTAATAATAAAGAAGTTTTCTTTAATGGATTGTTGCATCTTCAGTTGATTCAAATGTATAATAATAAGCTTGAAATAAAAGCATTTTATTTGTCAGGCAGTTGTCAATCAGCATACAATCTGTTACAATAATCTATAAAAACAAAACAAAATTCTCAAAAAAGATGAAAAGATTCATTTAAATTCTAAAATTCACAACTTAAAATGAAAGCAAATGATAACTTAGAATATTAAAGAAGGAATTGATCCCAATTATCAGCTTTAATGTTTGGATTTTTTTACCTTAGTAAAGAAAGGACCTCTTTGTCTGAATTTCTTTAGACGGAAGGAAATTTCCATTAATATTTAGGACTGGATGTAGATGATATTAAACAAAATCAATCTTTGAAAAAAGGGGGTTGCATTGCTTTTCCTGAATTTTGATGGGGGGAGGGGTTTGTTAAAAATTGAAATAGCTTGCAATATTGAAGATATCATTAAAACATCTGCAGATATTATGAGTTGATTTATAAAAATGTAAGATAATATATGGATGATACAGGCTCTACGTAAAGATTTAAAAAAAATTTACTTTTCAACTTTGTTTGCAAATCCACCAAAGCTGCACAGACTTGCACAAATTTGTCTGCAAATTAGGCACCAATATACTGAAGGATCTTGTAGTTTTGCAACCTTTCAGTGAAGCATTACTTATTTGAAAACCAGCACACTGGCTTCATTTGTTTGTTTATCGGCATTATCATCTGCTTTTTCTACCAAAATCTATTCCCATTACCCTAAAGGCAACAATGCAACTAATCATTTTTTAAACAGAGAAATATTGCAACGCTTTGTTACAGATGTTAAGGGTCAGGAATTTGTTCAAATTCTTTGGACAAGGTGTGGCTATTCCAGCACAGCTTCACATATTAATTTTAATCCAAACCATTTTGTCTCAATCTTTCTTATTGGTGAAGATTCTCATGGCAAAACATGTAAATCCCATGTTTCTGTATCAGCACCTGAACTTGTTAAAACAAAGTTGAATCTGCCTCCCAGAAAACTCTCTAAAGAAAGCATTGCCTCATTGGAAAAAAAATATTTCTGAGGGAGCAAAGCGAAAACAAGAGTTTGATTGTATCAGTGGTGACTCAGCAACCCCTGAAAAGAAACCTTGGTTTCCTCTTTTTTCTGGAAGTGTCAGTTCTTTTGATATTGGCCACTTTGTCTTTTCTGGAAAACAGTGAGATGATTCTGAGCTAGCAGATTTTTTGAAGAATATCTGAATCCCTCCACAAGATTTTGAATTTCCTCCTGAATGATTTTCATTGGCTTGCTTGTTCAAAATTTTCAAATTGGTGTTTTTGTGTTCCATGTCTATTCTTTGCAAAGAAAATTGGTCATTCTGAAGCAAGAATAAAGGTGCTGCTCAAAGAGCCGTTATGTTATTGGACAAGTGCAGGAGAGAAATTAAAGCAACATTCCTCAAAGTCTTTGACCCACAAGGACTCTGTTTTAATGATGGAAGGCTTCAAAAGAAGGATGGAAGACTCTGGTGAAAATGAGGTGCATGTTTTAGCTGACAGTGCTTTAAAAAAAGAATAGAAAATAATATATCAATTTTAGCCTCAGTTATTGATTGTATTGTTTTTTGCAGGCAGGAATGTTTTGGATTAAGTGCTCATAGAGATGATGCAAAGTATTTGGCAATTCCAGGGGATAATCCAGGAAATTTTCAGGCTCTTTTGAATTTCCGAATTCCTAGTGGTGATAAAGTACTTGAAGAGCATTTTAAGAACTGCCCTAAAAATGCTACTTATAGAAGCAAAGGGATCCAAAATGATCTAATTTCTTGCATTGGTGCATATTTATTGGCCCAGTTAATTTTGGAGATTGAAGCTGCAAAGTTTTTTAAATATTAGCTGATGAGGTTTCAGATGTTGGTGGACAAGAGCAGATGCCATTGGTCCTCAGATTTGTTGATGCAAGTGGAGAAATTCGTAAAGTTTTTCTAAAGTTTGTTTTTTTACTAGCACGATAGGTAAGGCAATTGCTGATAATATCAGGGAAGAAATAAAGGAGATGGGTCTAGATATTTCATACTGCAGCGGCCAAAGCTATGATGGTGCAGGAAATATGTTAGGCAAATGCATTGGAGCTGCAAATTTAATCCTTGATGATAATAGCAAGGCATTGTTTGTTCACTGTGCATCACATCGTTTAAATCTTTGAGTTGCCAGATCCTGCGATATTCCAACCATAAAGAGACTGTTTGGGTTTATTTCTAAAAGGCTTTCTTTTCCTACCCATAAAGGCTAAATTTGTTGCAGAGTTTTATCGAAGATACCTTTCCAAATTAAAAAAGATCAAAGTTGGTCAATGTTTGTGCAACCAGGTGGGTTGAAACGATTGACGCTTTGGAGGTATTTGAAGATCTTTTTGAGTCACTGATGATTTCATTGATGACCATATTGCTAATAACATTGATGGAACCTGGAATGGAAGTTGAAATTCCATGGCTGATGCAGAAGGTCTTTGTAAGTCTCTTTACTTTTTTGACAGCATTATAGCATTCGATATCAGTTGTCGCTTGCTTTCTTTTACAAGACCCACCACAGTTCTTCTTCAAACAAGGCAAATGGATTTTGCACAATGCAACAACAGTGTTTGTCTCTTAAAAGGAAGTTTCAGTTAAGTCAGAAAAGATGTAAATAAATATTCAACAGAGTTGTTTGAAAAGGCAGTTCAGTTAGCCTCAAAAGTCTTCATAACACCATGTATCCCAAGAACCTGTGGCATTCAGAGACGTACAGAAAATTTTCCTAATTGCTAACTTAGAATCTAATGTTCCTGCCGATGACCCAGACGATTATTACAAAAGATCTTTGCTGGTTTTTTTCTTGACCATATGGTTACCCAAATTGAAACAAGATTTTCTAATTACAATGTAAACTTGATGAGAGGTTTACCTATTATTCCCAAAACAGTGGTAGAAAGGTTGAACAACAAAGCTCTTGTGCCATGGAAAGATAATTTTAAACAGTTTTAAAATTCCTATGAAGATGATATGCCAGTTTTTAATAACCTTGAAACAGAGATGGATATGTGGGAGACGTACTGCAGAAGAAAATCAGAAAATGACCTCCCTGAAGATCTTTCAACAACATTGAGAGATGTCAATCTTATGAAAGACACCTCCCCCATTTGTGCAGCACTCAATATATTGGGAACTGTACCAGTAACTACTTGCGAGTGTAAAAGATCGAATTCAACCCTGAAACAGATGAAAGATTACAAAAGAAGTACAATAGGCAAAGAGCGACTTAATGGACTGGCACTTATGTGCATTCATCGATCAGTACCACTCAACTTTGACAGAATAATCAGCGTGTTTGCTGCAAAAAATCCTAGACGAATGCAACTTAGAATGTGATGATATTTTTGACAGTGATGATATCAAAGAGATTAATTAAGATCTTAGAAACTCTCTTTCAAATTTAGCTATTTTAAAGAACTGTTGCTGATCTTTGATATTTGCCTTGCCCTGTCCATTATTACGTTTTATAATAGAAGGGGGGACGCAATACCTGCATATTTTGGCCGCACATAACAAATGGGATAAGCGAATGTTAGGGAAAAAAGTTCTGGCATTGTGAATTCAGCGAAGAAACAAAAAATGAAGGTAATGTTTGTTCTAATGGTATATTTACAACAATTGATAGTACTCTGTGACTTAGCAGTGACAGAAAGTGCACTGTGAGATCATAAAAGGCATACCTTTTAAAGAATTGGACAATTTTACTTGTAGAAAAGATGTAAGCCAAAAAAAGTTACAACTACTTAGAAAGTGGCTATTGTATTCATTTTAATTCATTCATGCCTTGATATGCGTACATAAAATAAAAAACAAAGTTGATAGAGTGGAGTCACTTGGTGCAAACCTTGTGCTAATAGGGGTAAAATCATGAAACTTTGCTCAAAGAAAGTTTTTGTAACAACGAAAAGATTTAGCCTTGGACCCATCCAAAAGTCACGTGCTAGTGTATTTTACGGTCCAGAATGCCACACGCATTAACAAAAATTAATTATGTCAAAATACATTTTTATCTACATAATTTGAAAGATCACGCAAAGTGGAGCTAAAAATACCAAAACACTACATTTGTAAAGTTGAATGGTAAAAGTTGAGAAACATAGCCTGAAGTACACAACCTATGTAAGTGATAGTGACCCATCATCCTATGGAGTTGTGTCAGAAGCATTGTCAAAGGAATATAGTTCATCCTATTTTATTTATAAATAGGACTGTGTTGGCCATATCCAGAAGTGGATGGGGACAAATCTTTGTCGCCTTAAACTTAGCGCAAAAGGAAAGACACTTGCTGATGGTGGAACCATTGGAGGAAGGGGGAGATTAACAGACTGAGTAATTGACTCATTTCAAAATTACTTTGGTTATGCCATACGTAACAGTTCAAACAATTTAACAGCCATGTACAATGCAATTTGGGCTATATTTTTTCACTGCATTTGTGAAGGACAAAAGTTGAAAGTTGTATCAAATATTTATTGCAAGGAGTATACGAGAGCAAACTCATGATACAAGTGGGTGGAACTTTTTAAAAAACATACTCGTCCTGTAATATAATAAACAAGAGAGAGTACTTGATCACTTTTTGTATGAGATTCAGTTGATTTAGGCACGAAAACATGTAAAAGTTGTAATCAAGTCGCTTCCACTACCAGATCGAATCATTCTTGCGTCTTACTGACCTCATTGGGCCCTAACAATTTGGAAGCAGAGGGTAGTTGCTATTTAAAGGCATTGAGTCATGGTAAATAGGTTTCTCTATAGGGGGTCATTTGGTTTCAGCGTGATCGCTGCTGTTTCATGTGATATTGGCATTCGTTGTTGACAACTTGCTATTGATGGAAACTGTTATGTTTATCAGTACGAGGTGGGTTCATGTGACCAGTTCAAGGTCAACCAATAGCATCGCAGTCATGGAAATCATGACTGAGCAGATTTTGGCACTTAGGGTATACCCAGTCTACTTATCATGACTCAATGCCTTTGAGCAGCCTCGCATCGCTTAGCGGCAGTTAGACTATAGTTTCGGACTGGATGTTATTTGATGTCTTCAATGTTTGATTTGAAATTTTCAAGATTTGCTTGTCTTCGGATTTGTCTTGGACAACCTGAGAGATTTGTCTAGACTATTGGCAAAGGGTTGAGCTCAAGATGGCCAGCTACAATAGGGCAGAGGAGCTACAATTTAAACAACACTCTACAAGATATTGGAGGTACAACTTCTACATTTGGAGAAAAAGAAGACGATGGAGGAAAGATTTTAAGACAACTGTGGGATATTATTGCATTAATACATGGAGAGAAAACAGTAGGCAAAGACAGTGACGAGGAAAGAGAAGAGTTGGTGTAAAAAGCAAAGGATGACAGCGATGATGCAGAAAGATTTAATGAAAGTGCTAAGAGACCAGGAAAATAAAATCAAGGAAGCAAAACAACGAATCCAAAGGCTGAGTAGTATGGACGCAAGTAAGTGCCCCTTTTTTGTCAAGGTCACCTCAAACTCCAACAAAATCTGAAGAAATAAATAAATCTCTCTTTGTTGAAGATAGTAATATGCAAATGACAGATTTAGTCAGATTTAAAGATCTCAAAATTCAAGGCGTAATTTCTAATGAGAAGAATTGTATTTCTCATACAAGCCTAAATAAACAAATCAAAAGTACTGTGAACAAGGGTTGGTCAGAAAAGAAAATTTCAGATGTTGTGATTCTGTTTCGCCAAGCCTTCTTATTCGATCTTATTTAGAAAGTATCAAAAATTTGAGCTAGACTGAGTTGTGTCAAATATTACATAGTGACTACTGTTGAAAATGAGAAAGTGAAGCTAATCAGGAACTCATTAAGAAGTTCTTGCTTCAGTTCAAGAAGCAAGTTAGTCTCCACTAACTTTCTTGTTATTGCAGTAAGAGTTATCAAAACAATCATTGGCAGGAACCTAAGGTACTACGCAACGTGATGCATACTTTCGCTAGTACAAGATGGGAAGGATATGAACACGAAACAAGAATCAATTCTCATTTAACACCTAAAGAACATAATAGAATTTCTCAACTTGTTGGAAAAAAATGGACTATTGACTTTAAATTAAACGGAAACAAAACAAGTGTACTGTGGGACACTGGATCTCAAATTTGTCTTTTGTCATCTGAATTCCTGCAAGTCAATTTTCCTGATTTGAAAGTTAAAAGTTACTCAAAATCGTCTTTAGTTTGGAATTATTAACTGCAAACGACACCTCTGTGCTGTACCATGGTTTCGCCTAATTAGACTTTGAATTATTTGACGATATAAATGGTCCATCCATTTTGAAAGTGCCATTCTTGGTGTCAGATGGCAATATTGCTTAGCCGATTATAGGGTTTAAAGTAATCAAAGAATCCGTAAAATTGAGAGCTCAGATAAAAGACGATTCCTTCAGTCTTTTCAAACTGCATTTCAACAAAAATGTAAAGAAACCACTGAAGCTTTGATAAATGCGATTTTGGAAGTAAAAGACACACATTTAGCATTGATAAGTTCTCAAAGATCAAATATCACAATCCAGCCAAAACAACATATAAAAGTTTCATGGCAGTGCAACGCTGAAATAACTAACAGTAAGACCCCAGTGTTATTTGTACCTGATGAAAATGGGTTTTGGCCACCAGGTATCGAAATCAACAACGCTTTGATTGTGTTGCTGAGGAGTAGGTCTTTCAAAGTCAAAGTTTACAATGATACAGAGAATCCAATTATGTTGCAAAAAATGATAATAATAAACGAATATTTGTATAAGATAAACACTTCAACATTTACAACATTGCTGTTATCACTGTGTGCCCTAAAAACTTAAATGAAATTGAAAGAAAATGTATAAAAGGCGTTGAAAAAATCTTACAAGAATAAAATCTATAAAACCTTATGTCACATTGAGATGAAGTAATGCTTGTTACACCATTAATATCATGTCACAAAAAGTGCATTCTAAGTTTTCCAACAAATTCCTTATATGTCTCTGTCTGACATATGGCTAGAGGTAGCTCATTGTACACTTAAGCACCCATGTACAGATATGACTTTCGTGCACAATATTTTTTAATACTCGGTAATTGCAGTGTAGAGCTGTTATTCTTGTTTCCTTTTCATGCTCTCTCAGAGTAAAATAATTCTGAAAATGTTCACAGATATCTTTGTCAAGGCATTTTCGCACAAGTTTACAAGCTCTCATTTTATTCGCATTTATAACTGACACAAGTCCTTCGTCTGCTGATTCATCACAATAAACAATTTTCAGTGGTCGAGAGTGGAATGAGGAAAGTCTGCTTATTTACGTGTTTGTGAGCTTTAGTTGTAATTAACAATAAGTAAATGTTGGAAGAATCATAGTAGGATACATTGTACTTGCTGTAGCATTGTTCATGCATGATTTTATTTTTGCCAGTAGTCGCAGTCTACCAGATGCATGCTTGAAAAATTTGTCTAAATGGGAGTTCAAGTTTAGTATGGTATCCAGTTGGATGCCGAAATATTTATCAAGTGTTGTATTCTTAATAACTGTTGAGGTTGGCTGTGACTGTAAGTGGCTTGTTTCGCTGTTGTGCAATTTGTTGTGCTGTTCCAAAATGAATCAACTTTGTCATGCCTTTCTTCAGATTCAATATAAGCTCATTGCATCTCAGCCACTGATCTCAAAAAAGACTGGATCGAGTATCTTAGTTACAGGAGTGAATCAATTTCCAGACAACCGTCACCATCTTGGCTGGACCGGAGACTTGACAGCGAGTACAATATGAAGAGATAGCTGTGATATCCATTTATACGTCTGTTTTCATTACATAACAGGAGTAAGTACAATACGAAGAGATAGCTGTGATATCCATTTATACGTCTGTTTTCATTACATAACAGGAGTATTCAAAGCAATCATCGTTTTACAAGGGTTTTTGAAGAAAGCAACTTTGGTCTGTTCTCAGCGCGGCGGGTGAATATTCTCTCTATTTTCAATCAAAATCATAAATTCATGCTGAAATCACTACACAGTCAAATTTACTTTTACTTACATAGGCCTGTAATGGCATGTTTAATTGCTAAATAAGATAATGCTTAGTTTGGTGATTTACTTGAGTGTTGTAAAATGAATTTCTTGCTATTTTTATTTATATGAAAGGGCCTAAATTTCGTAAAGATCATTGTCCTAAATTTCATCTCAACTAAAACACCTTTACGTGACAAAAATACCAAATGGATATGAATCAGAATTTGGTCAACGCAAAAGAAAATAAGTTCTAGCTTCAACAAATTCTCAAAGGAAGCAAAGTAGTGGGTATATACGTAATACAGTTCAACAGCCACATGAAATAAAATGATGAATTTCATTTGACCCCAAGATTCTCTCTCAAAAATAGAAGATAACAGATATTACAAATCCAATGCCTAAAACAATCAATGCAGAGAGCTGTGTTCCATAGTGCACATCCTGTATGTCCTTTTTAATCATGTAATTACTGATGTTTAAATAATACAAGTTTATTTAATTTTTTTCGGACTTTGTCCCCTGAAATTTGATTGGTTGTCTCTTTGGCAAGGTGACGAAAGCGAACTTTACAGTAACAACTAGAAATTGTCTTTATCAAATGGAAGATGTGGTTGTCAGTTGCTGCAGAATCAAACATGTGATCATTGAGGGTTGTGATAACTCTAGAAATGTTCAAGTCCTGCAGCACAGATAAAAGTATTGGATTGCAAAATTCCTTTCCCTTGTGGTAGCTTTCCATCAAAAAACGTGGTAGCTAATCCTCTTCACACCAGCATCTTTCCCTCCCCAAATATGGTATCTCTTTAATGTCACTGGTGTCCAATTTGAAAGACCAGCAAAAATAGTTTTTGAAAAGACTCATTTTAATTGTCTTTTGTAGCTATATAAGGTTAAGAAAGTTGTTGCTGTCTAAAACCGAAACGGGTTTTTTTCTTGTCGTAAAGGGACACTTCTATGAGTGAACTCGGCAAACAAGGGAGCATCAACTGTCATGGTCGATCCCATAGCAACATTCTCCTTAGTAATTTTGACCATTACGCAAGCTGCATGACAGAATTTTGCTACTTTAACATGGCATTTTGGTTGTTTGAGAGCTTCCATTTGCCTCTCTTTTCTTTATAATTTTTTTCAAGCTTATCATTCATGGAAGCCTTTGCCCTTGGAGTTTCCTCAATTTTTATGGTAGTGCCACTATTTCTTCTTCTTTCTCTAACAGTTCTTCCATGAGCTGTTTGTTCTGCAAATTAAATTACTAGATATCATCCACTGTATTTCCCCCCTGGTTTGGCTGTGCTTGGAAAATGAACCAGTTCTTAAACAATCGTCTTTTCACTTTCAAAAACATAACGATCAAAAACTCAATCATGGAGTCAGCATACGAGAAGTTTTGCGGTATTTGTTCCTCCAGCAAGAAATATTGCTTTTTTTCTTGAAAAGTTTCTTGTGCATAGATGCTCTATTCATGTGGGTCACCAAGTGCAAGGTGTGGCTACATATTATTTTGAATTTGATATTTCAACATTTTACCTTTTCAATTGTTGATGTTATGAAAATGCTGGACTGTAACATTGCCCAATAATACAGAGCAACTGGGGAGTCAAGTTTATCTCTCTCCCTGCCATCCCCCCACCCCCTCTTCAATGTTGACAGAAATTTCCCAGTTCATTTTGAACAATTTATGAATTTCAACTACCAGCCATACTAACCTCATATTGTACAGAATAACAGAATATATTACAGCACAATGACTTGATGATAAATTATTTGCTCATAAGGTTTTGAAACGAATAAGTACCGACAAGAGATTGAACTGAAACATAAACATTTGTGAATGCTGTGCAGAGTCAAAATCTTTTCAGTGACCTGGAATGTTCAAACTGCAAATTATGATTGTTGTGTTTGGTTGTATAAATTGTGGTCTGGTAGAATAATTGCAAGTAGTTTCTTTCAAATAGATGGGTTTAGTCTCCAGACACCTAGGTACTATCAGTCTTTGTAATATGAGCCATGCGATCGGCCTCCACACACGCGCAAATTGTCCAAGGCGTGCTAATCATTGCACGCGCAAAACAAAGAATTTGCCACAAAATTTTTTTAAAATTGCTCAACTCAAAGTCGGTTCTATTGTTGTCCAAGGTGTTGTTAAAGTATTCCCGTAAGGGATTTAACAACAGCGTCAAAAAGATCGCTTAACAGTTGACCCAAGGGGGATTAATCTGCAATCAATACCTGGTGCTTACTGTCAAAACCCGGTAATTTAAATTTTCGATCCTAGAGATGTTTTTACTGTTCGATTGATTATTCTGTTCTTCGGTAATCATGGCGAAAAGAAACAAAGTGGAGCTGGCAACATTCATTGGTTGGGGAAAGAACGAAATTTTTGGTTTCAAGTCGGAAAAGAATGATGCTACTTTGATGATGCTGATGGAGTATTTAGTACGATGAAGTGGTTTGATCAAAAGCAATGGAACGACAACAATGATTACGGGGTTCCAGAGATCACTGCTTTTGCAGCTATTTTCAAAACCCCCCTCAGCAAGACGAAGTTTGATGTTTCGAAAGCTCTCAAGGAATGGAAGTCATTCAAAAAATACGTACAATATAATGCTTGTGGGATTGAAGCAAGAAAGCTGTGGAAAAATACACTTTCTCACAGGGCAGACGAGTACCCCAACCTGTGCATTCTGGCAAAGATAATGGTTGCAATATCTGGCTCCAATTCATCGGTAGAGAGAGCATTCAGTATTCTCAGCATATTATTGTCAGATAATGTCACACAGGGTTATGGAGATGAGACTTCGCATCGCAGTCAATGACATTATATGGACTGACGAAGAAAGGGAGAATATTTTGAAAAGGGCAACAAAGATCTATCTTTTGAAATGCAGAAAGCAAAAGCTGGATAATTACAACAGTTTATCGAAGAAACCAAAGCTAGATAAGGAGGAGGAAGCTGAAGAAAGCTCTGATGAAGAAGAAATTGAGGGTGACTCTACTTATTTTTAAATTATTTTAAACTTGTTTTTGTGCCCAAAGAAAGTGTGTTAATTTCGACGTTTGTGTCATTTCTCTACCCATTCCTTCTCATTTGATTGTTAGCTCAATTCCAAAACAAAAAAATAAAGCTAACGGTAAGATATTTTTTATGAATATCCGCTAAGATATTCACGGGTAATAGAATTTTTGAGTAGGGTCTACGGGTAATAGAATTTTTTTTTCAATCCAGATTTTTTTGAGTGACTAATTAAATTTAACATCTTTGAGAAAGAACAAGAACAGTTTCCCTGTCAATTACCTTGGTTTCCGTTCAGTAACTTGGTAACACAAAAGGTCTCCTTAAAAGCAGCACCCAGTTCTTGACAACAGGGATGAGAAACAACCGATAAAAAGGAGTTCGCATCGCATGTGCAAAGTAACCAAGGCGTGCGAAATGCCGCACGCGGCCTATTTTCATATTACAAAGACTCCACTATTCTCAAAGTTTTGTCTTACCTTTTTCAGCAGACATTGTTCACCATCTCCATCATCTGCTGCAAACTATTACAATGGCAAAAGCCAACATGACAACTTTCAAGATGAGGAAGACTCTGACAAGGATCAAGATACTGATGAATTACTGAACAAATTCACAAAGAAAAATGGAAAGAAGAACAAGAGTTGAAGGAAAGCTCAGTGGGCTGATAGCCTTTTGTCTGATATGATAGACATTGTTGTAACTAGTGAATATTACAAAAGGAAACTGATATTTGCGATAACAAAGAATAAAAAAAATGGTAATGCCCTATCAGGAGCTCAGATAGTTCCTTTTACAGCAGTGCAGCTACATGATTAAAATAGATGGGAAAGTGTACTTGGCATGCACAACGTAACCACAGGGCACCGAGAGAAACTAACGCAGGGACTTTGTTTAAAGAGGATAACGCAGGGATAATTAACACAGTAGAGTGCGAACGAGGCTTCTGCAAACTGATGTTTTGTGTGATATGTGCAGTACCATTTTGCAAGAGGTAATAAAAACGGCTCAAGGACGGTGGTTAAGTATGAAAGACTACGAAGTTGCTCTGGAAATAAAGTTTGTATTTGCAAACTTTCAAGTCAATTCGGGTGAATATCAAAATGATGGCAAGATGTAAAGATACTTCTACTATCTGAGTGTCCTTATCTATAAATTTTGGCAACTTTTCGTCCGTACGAAGTAAAATGCTGCGGCAGTCGGTATGTACGAAGGAACGACAGCGCGCAACCCAAAAACCTAGAGTGTAGCCACAGATGAAAATTCTTGTGGTTTTTACGAATTTTGAAACTGGAAGTGGTAGATTTTTTTCTTTAAATTTTCTCGAGAAGTAATCGATTGATATGTATTTCACTTACTTAGATATAAAGAATGGCGATCATTTTTGTCTTCGAATCATAGCTTTTTTCTGGTTCTTTCCGTTACATTGCAGTTGGTATTTCCTACACTATTGACAAACATTGTTTAAGATATCTTTTTAAATGAGAGCCATTCATATTTTCTTCGATTAGTTTAAACTCCAAGTTGAGAGCTGCCTTACGCGTGTTTCACCGATCTAAAGAAAACATATCAGAAATATTTTAGTTATTATAGACAGGACCAGTGGTGTTGTGCAATACAATAGCAATATGCCATACAATAGCAATAGCAATAGCAATTAGAAATATAAACAGGACCAGCGGTGTTGTGCCATACAATAGCAAGGGACTCTTGAAGACATAGCAATGGTGAAAACATGTCTCAGGAAACAATGAAAAAAAGCCAAAAATTTATCATCTAAATGGAGGCTGAGCCCTTGAGCCACCAAAGCACTACACCTCATTCATGCGAGATTGTGCTAAAAACAATTCATGCACTGGTGGAACAAGGTATTCTTAAAGAAAGTAAACATGCATCAATCAACAATCAATCAAAAAATTGTCAAAATCTAAAAATTTAGGGTCTAAATTTTTTTCTCAGGAATTTGTTGTATACTATGTTTTCCCTAAAAATAAAGGAAAACCATTAAACTTGAGCTAAACTACCTCTACTGGTTTTTAAAAATAACAGTCTTGGTCAGCTTGTGTCCTATTGAGGCTTGCCCTTTATTCACAACATACCTATTGTAGTGTCGAGCATAGGTTTGAAGGCGCATTGTCAGATATCTTTTTGAAAGTTCTTTTATAATTTGTGCTTCATGATTGTCTCCATAACCTGGATCAGGAAACAGTGAGGCAGCCTTTGGTGACATTGTGTGGCAACAAGCAGTGATCATTTTTGCAAATGCCCCCCTCTGTTGTGATCTTAATTTTCTTATCTAAAAAATTGAGTGAAAAAAGCCTTTCACATAGCTTCAGTATTTCAAACACCCCCTTGCTCGCGTTAATAAATCCACCTCTATTTTCCTTTTTGTTAGAGAAATGGAGGAATGACCTTGATCATCAACTGAGACTGGAGCAGAATTGATTATTGAAAGAAGCAAGTCTTTGCAAGTAATAGAAGCCTTGATTCTTTCTGCAATTCTGCAAATGAATCCTGAGATGTAGTAAATAATATTATCCTTAAATGGGTTCAGACAGTTAGGAAGATCAGGTTCATCAGAGATGGAACTTTCGTCACCTAGGGATATCAATGTCTTTCAAGGGAGAAATTCGTTTAGACCATTTAAGTGTGAATATTGCTGTCTTTGCTGCATGCTCCTACTGTACACAATTTGCATTTAATGAAGCTTTGATTGAATGATTAAAGAGCATACTCCTTAAGGCAGACTGAAACTGGCTTGAGTTTGGATTGTTGTTCCAACCATGTTTTGCTCGAATACAGGGGAAAAAAACTTCAAGGTGATCTTGTGAAAACCTGTATGTTAGTAAATATGATAGTGGATTGACTGGTTGTGTTAGCAGATCTTTTGATATGGATATTATTGACTTTATTGACACTACCATACCAATAAATCCAGTCTTCTTCCGTGAACTGATCATTTTTTGGTCAGTGCCTCTTTTAAGTATTAAGAGTTACAAAATGTTTTAGCAAAAGTTGTTACAAACTGTTTAAGCGTGCATTAGTCTAACTAAACCTTTTAATGCCCTCTCTATTCTACATAGATTTTACTAGAAAATGGTTAGAAATTTTTTAAACGTTGAGTGATAAGTCTTGAAATTCACTGCATACCTCTTCTCAGAACCAAGGTTTTTGTAACGTGTGTGCTTTGAAGTTTTAAATTGGTCAACTATTATTTGAAGTGTTCACTCATTTAAGCAAACTGGACTAAAACCAGGGTATTCTATGAAACATTGCGGTGTTACTCCAAGTTGCTGAACAACCCTAGGTTCATGAAGGGCAATTGGGCAGTTTTCAACCTATCTACAGCAATGGCATGCTTTTGGGTTTTCCTAAAAAAGATCTCAAAGAGATAGGAGAAGAGCCAAGGTGTTCTGAAAGTTATATAATTGATTCAAAATATTTTTTCAATATCGGAGATTTTTTGCTAAAAGCTATGATATATTCCTAACTGGGCCAAGATTTGAACACTTAAGGCTTTTATAAATCTTTTTCTCTACTTAATCAAAATTTTGAAAGTTATAAGATACTAACTGCGTTTTGATCTCTGACTGCCATCTATCATATCTAGACCTTGGGGCCGACCTAGGCCTGCGGGGCCTATAAGCTTTTTTACTTGCTGGGGGTTGTATAATAAGCAAAAGAAAATCTCGTTAATGTCATCAGTGGTTCTGTTCCATTTAAGTGTCTGTTCAGCTTTTCAATTTGTTGCTTTTCCTCTTTTCGCTCCTGATTATAATTTTCAGTCCACTCATCGTCTGCTAGGGGTTCGTCCATGTATGGGCCAAGGGAATCAACTCCACCAACAGCAGCAGCGAGTGCGTTTTCGTTGGCCAGGGTCCTCAACGTTGAGAGAAAACTGTGACAATGTTTTGCTGAGCTGTTGCTCTTCGCATATATCAGACAGACTGTCAATGTCTGACATCTTGCATAAAGGTAAAATGAAGTTTTGAATGTATGCGAGTGAATTGCGAGTTATGTCTTAGGGCACTTTTCAGTTGGGGGCACTGTTCTAAAAACCCTGTAATCAAGTCTATTTTACCCGGATCCAAGAAAAACTGCAACCAACACATTTCTGATAAGTTATTCTAAATAGTAGTTCAAAGTTAGAAAATTCTAAATTTCACATTTGCCTTCTATGACCTTTAACTAATTAGTGCCTAAACTATTAGTGCAGGATGCTACGATAGTGCTACCGGTAGAGGTTCCTTCAAAAAGAGGAGATGGGGGTCTTAAAGGGCTAGGATTCTTTCTTATGGTTAAATCCTTGGGATAATTACACAACGATGCGTGATGTTTACCATTGCACTTCTTACACATAATTTTAGATGTACATTCTACAGCTTAAAACCCTTTCCTAATGAAAATAAAACAACAACCATATTTTCTATTCCTTACTCTTTCCATAGCTATGGCGATTGTTCTTGTAACATACGCTCTGTGTGCTTCTCTTGCTTTCCGTAGTTTCTTCGATTCTTGCTTTGTTTCCGTGGCCATTTAATGCACTACACCTCCATCAGTTTCCCTCGTCATCATTCGATCCCTGTAACGTGGCGGTGTCTCCAATTATGTTGGGACCACTTTTTCTAGAGGCGCCCATATGTTAAAATATATTAATGAACGAAGTGTAAGTTGCAAATTCAGAGAAAAATCACCATTCTGTACAAACTGTTTAGTATCAAATCTATAAGCGTTTCATTTTATATATTCGCTCACAATTGTTACTTCAACTCCAACTCCAACCAACTCCTCAACTAATTTGGTGCTACAATATACATAATCATGATCACTGTTACTTGTCGATTGACATTAACCATGTGTATGTCCTTATTGGGTATGGTGAATCAAAACATGTAAGCTAGTACTGTTTTAAATCAAAGATTGAATCAAAATTCAAATTATAACGCTATATGATACCATGTACATTGGCACCTATTACACTAATGAAGGTAATAATAATAACTTTGTGGGGTTTTACAAAGATATCAAGGAGGGTCTTGGTCCCAACAACAACTGGCTGCATATTGCTACAAAGCCAGTTGTTTCTAGCTATGCAGATATTCCTGCAACAGCAAGAAATTAAGGAAAAATTAACAGCTGCCGCTGAAGATAGAAATCATGCCATTTGCCGATACAGAGCCATGAGAAATAGATTTTTAATGACAAAAAGCAACAATAGAAAAAGCATGGTTACACAAGTGCGTGGTGGTTAAATGTTTGTAATGGAATTTAAGCGACAGAGAATGGCATATTAACTTGATAATGTCAAGAAAAATCCTTTCAGACCTGTTGTCAGAAGTTACGCCACACATTTCACCAAATCCGAAATCATTCAGGCATGCTACAGTTACTGCTGAAGTTAATTAGCCGTGACGTTCTATCAATGACTAATGATCACCCAGAATGATGAGTAACATATTTATTGTTTCACCCTGTACACTGTCCGTAATTATTAAACAGGTTTGTCCAACTACTGTGAAATTGCTTGGGTTTAAATTGATAAAATTTCCAAAATCAGAGACTGAATTAAAGCAACTCGTGAATAGGTTTGAAGACAAATTTGACTTTTCCCAAGTTGTGGGATGTATTGTATTTTGTAGGAAAAATAGTCATGTGGGTTTCATTTTGCTGTTTAACCCATATTCCAATAAAACAACCAACTGAAAATCCACATGACTATTTTTGCTACAAAATGAAGAACTCATTAAATATACAAGCTGTATGTGATGAAAATGGGCTGTTTATGGACTTTGATTGTTCACGGCCTTGAAGTGTACATGATGCCAGAGTTTTTGCAAACAGTGCCATAAATAAGCTATTTGTTGAGAAAAATTGCCTAATATAGAGCGCGTATTAATTGAAGGTGATGTTGTGTTTCCTCCATTACTGATTAGTGACCCTGTTTATCCATTACAATGAAAGAGTTTGAAAGATGCAGCGACAAAAACCAAGTTTTATTTAATGAAATGCTAAGGCCAGTTAGAAACCAAATCGAGTGTGCTTTGAAAGCAAGCAAGATGGAGAATATTCAACAGACTTATTGATATTGCATTGGAGCATGCACTAACACTGATTTATACATGTTTCATCTTCCACAATTTCTGTGAAGTTAAAGAAGCACAGTAAAGTCTTGACGGTTTCCATGACCAAGTCATGGAAGAAAATGAAAATCAGGCCTGTTAACACCATACATCTGCTGACAGATCAAACACACACAATAGTGAAGAAGGAAGCAGAGTAAGAGAGAGCTTGACAAAATACTTTGGTAATTTTCTCCAACAATAGGCAATATTGACTAAATATGAACTATATTTAGAAAGAAAAACATTTTTTATGTTGTGTTATTCACAGTCCCAAAAATCTTTGCACCCACATTCTTTAAAATAGCTTTCAATACTCTTCAAAGTAGAAACCTTGTTTGAAGAAAATTTTAGGCTGTTGCTCCAAGTCTCCCCATTCTTAACATCAATTGCTTCAAAAGCTATTTTTTTACAAGACAAGAACACTCTTGCACTCCTGGCCAACCTTTTAAAAGGCAAAACAAGCATTGGGCTGCCATGCCCACCCTTCAGCATCCATGTCCATTCAAATACCTGTAGAGTTACCTAACAACAAGTAGCTTTCATTTCAGAATATATAATGAAATCTGTAAACATGTTGCTAGGACACCAATACAAAAATATATTGTTACTTAACTCTTACATTAAGACAGTTCTTTTAGTTATATTGCATAAAGACAAGCTCTCTTATCAACAATTGTCTTCATTTAAAAGAGTCATATATGTGGGTGCTTGGGTATGTGGAGAGCATTGATTAGAAATCAGGATGATGCAGATTAAAAACTGAAGTTGCAGGTGTTGGATATTGATTAGGAACTGCAACTGGAGATGCAGTAGATGCACAGAAACCATGGTTCAACATGTGTTGTGTATTGCTTTGCATTAGATAATTTTGGCCATTTGTTGTTTGTGCTAGAAAAGCAAGCCCATTGCCAAGTTTCTGCCCAAGACTAACAATTGACTGAGACTAACAATTCTCTCCATTGACTTGGCAGTATCTGCCAGAATTTCTATACCCTGTTTCTTTGTTTCAAGTTCCTTTATTGCAACATGCAACATTTCTTCACACTGCTATGCTGAAAGTCGATAGTGGAATATTTGCATATTCCACTATCGACTATGCAAATCCGCATAGTGGAATATTTTGCAAGTAAAAAGTTGATAATTGTAGTAGGCATAGATGATTGATATTAAGAATGGTGTGACTCTTTGTCTATAATAAGAATTTTGACAGATAACTCCTTCTTTGGCAAGAATTGAAGAAAAAGAATAATTCTCGTTTTCTCCATTTCTTAAAGAATTCAAATTTTAGAATTGTGAGTAATGTGATACCGCTGAAATTGAGTGAGTTGATCTAGTTTTGTTACAATTGAGTGACTTAACGTTACAACATGGTCAAGAGGCTAGGTCCCAGAATTCGTAATACACAAAGCTGAGCCACACTGCCAGGAACTTTGGGGGGCAATAACATGCGATAGGGGAGTTACATTGCCGAAAGAAAGTTATTTCCCATTATTTGGCTTCCAAATTAACCAAAATACACAATAAGAAAAATTGGTGTATTTCCACTTTAATTTGTGTTCCTCTGTACATAGAGGAAAAATAAAAACATACCTGAACTCATGCTCAGGCCTTGAAGAATTTCAATTATAGGCGATACTCAGCCTCACTGAACTCAAGCTTCATTGCAACTAGTGTCCGTGACAACTTTTGAACAGTGCCCCTGTCATATTAATACAAGCAAACACTCTCTCTCTGGACCATTTATTGGTGTCTTTTATCTGTTGTGACATTTTGAACATCTTTGTTGCAAATGCCCGCCTTTCCCACTAATTAGATCATGCAATTCGATTCACTTCAGTTTTCATTTAAAGGGGCCTATCAGATAGAGTTTATGGGAGAAGCCATGCAGAAATATTGAAACAGAAGGTACTTCTAGTAATGCATAGCAAAAGCCAGAATCATTTTATGTATGTTCAAAGGCAGAAATTCATTTTTCAGGTGGGGGAGGTGGGAGGCAAAACCCACAAAATGAGCAAATTTGCCATGGTAAACATATTTTTAACTAATTAGTTTAAAAAGCCCTGTAGCGACAGGAAAGAATATTTATATTAATTCTATTCGGTTTTGAATCGTATTTGTGTTAGAAAAATTTTAATTTGATTGCAAGTTGTTTAAATTTGATCGCCAAAGCTTTAACAGCAAAATCTCAATGATGAAAAAAGCTCATAGTAAGCTGTTCATGTCACCATACAATGAATGAAAATATGACATTCTAAGTTGTGAGGGTGGAAATGACTTTTGAAAGAATATGTCGACATGAAAACTTCAAGCTAAACTGAGATGAAGTTGTTGATTGTCTTTTATAGTAATGTAATGAAAACAATAGGTACTTGAAAGTTGCTTACTTGAAAGTTCAAGATCGAGTCAGGTTAAGTAACACCTGCAAAGTTAAATCTGCAGAGTATGGAAGGTCTCCACAAGTTCTTGTGTATGCAAGAACAAATAGAAATATGTGGGCAACTGTGCAGAAACAGTGTACTATTTTGTGTACGAGTGTGGGAAACTCTGCAGAAGAACTTACACAACCTTGAATTGTGCCAGGTTTTCAGCTTGACTATTGTACTTTTTGGTATTCTAAGCACTAGTCTTCATTGATTAAGATCTTTGGCTCAGATTTTTTCTCTTTTTCATTATGCTAGCATGCCATGACACAGTTCTGACTTGACTTTGACATGTCTTTAGCATGAGTTTCACATTGGGTGCACATTAGCATCAAAACTGAAGATAGGTTTTTTGCAGCACCAAATCAACAAAATCAACATGGAACTCACATGGTATATAGATTCTTGCAGAAGTGAACCTGCCGTATACAGACCACATTGAATTAAGGTTGTATTCTGTTATGAGAGTTAGTTTGGCCGCACAGGTTTTGAGTTCCTCAATGGGTAGTGTTTTAAAGAGCTTTGGTCCAACTGATGCAGCTGCAACCGCAGAATTCTGTGAGAAAATGGACCATTTTTTTGACTGCTTTAATGTCCACAGCATGTCAAAAGGTGAAAGAAGAAGGAAAACTTTCTTGCTGCCCTATAAAGACAAATCTGATCACAGATTTTCATGGCTCACTGACGTTTTCTTTGGGTATTTGTTGGCATGGAAAGAGAGTACAAACAACAGGCCAGGTGATTCTGATGATAATGCACGAGCACGCATGTTCATATCACATCAAACACATGAAGGAATTTGCATAAGCATTCATTCATTGCTTGCCCTTGTGAAATGTTTGCTTGATTCCTGGATGGAATATGTATTTTCCAACAGATTTTGCAAAGATACAGCTTAATATGCAGAAAACTGTCATCAAGTGCCCATTGTCAACCTCATCATCACCCTCGCCATTGTCCTTTTCCAAATCACTTTCACTTGTCATCAGAAAAACTTTATTTTCCCTTGCATCATACGTCATTGGCAACTCTACTGCTCTACAACACTAAATCAACTTTTGCAGCTGTCAGATCGCATTATTGTTTGTGGTGATGGGCGGGTTGATTCAATGGGCCATTCTGCAAAATATGGCAGCTATACTTTTTTGGCGAGAAAATAATAAAGATAGTTCACTTTGAGCTTGTGCAGTTATGTCAAATAAGCTTATAAAGATAGATATGTATCTACATATGTGCACAATTTATGCAATTCTCTCCAAAAGATGATTTTAAATGAAAATTTTGGAATTAACCATACATTTAATAAGGTCTTCATTTTTTGGTCAAATTGTTTCTTTGTTTGATGAATGTAAGGATGATCATTTCTGTATGCTGTTGAATCGTCATCTGATTTGAATTACTTTTTCTTTCTTTGTAGGCAAATGAATGCAAAAGTAGTACCAGTATGAAGTTGGTAGGGTGCCATAGAGGAATGAAGTTTCTTAGAAATAGGAGGTACCGATTTCAGTTTTTGTTTCTGATCGCCACACTGGTATTGGAAAATGGAAACGGGATTCAGAGAAGCAAATAAAGCATTAATTTGACATCTGCCATGTTGCAAGAACAATGAAAAAATATTACTGAAGGCAGGTAAAGAGAAGGATTGAAGTGAATGGATTGAAGTGAATGGATTGAAGTGAAGAAGTGAATGGGCATCTTCCATTCGAAATCATTTATACTGGTGTCTAACATAAACAAAGGATGATTTTCATGAGCTAATTGAAGCAAAATGGAAGTCAGTTATTCCCCATATTGCAAATGAGCATGAGAATCATCCAGACCCCTTATTCAAAACTATAAGCAAGAAAAATTAAGGAAGAGGCATTGGATCAAAAATGATAAGTCATATAAACCAACAATGAATGATAGAAAACTTAAAATAAAATAAAATATATCATACAACCTTATTGAGCAGTGCAGTCATTGTAGATTTTAACAAAGATGCATCTTCATTACAAGGTATTGTCGCCTACAACAAACTCAAGGCATTATTGTTGGACAAGAAACTTTTAAATGGTATTTGACAATTATCTCTGATTGTGCAAACAAGTTGTTGTGAGGGATACCATTCAACACTGAATCAATGGCATCCAAAAATGCTACACTTTCAAGGGATTGGGACGTTCTGCAGGTGTATATTATAACTACAATATTAATTCTGAGATTGACAATACATTCTAATAAGTAAAATTTTGTTATCAAATCATAGTAACTGGTAACAAATTCATTGCAACTGGCATTTGAAAACTTGCATTCACTCTTTCTGTAACTGCAATTTAAATTTATTTGCAGGCATATTCTTGCAATTTTTCATTTTAATGAAAACTTAAAAAGGGACATCCAGAAGAAAGCCGACGGTACTGAAGTCATGCAGATATATTGGCTCAATTGCAAACTGGGGAAGAATTAGTCTGTAAAGTTCCATTTGCTCCAACTGATGGTAGTTACTTCTAATATATATTTTACACATTGGCCTTTCGTATTTTAAGTACAAACGTTTTAATGTTTTTGAGATGCGAGAAGAGAAATGTGAAGTGGAATTTCGCTTCAAAAAGGATTAAAATTTTAGACTTGCAGCTGCTTTGCGCCTCCCGGAAATATTCAAGTGTCAGAATGGTATGGTGGTAGACGAAATCGAAGCCTTGTGCATCGCCCTAAAAAGATTTGCTTACCCATGCAGACTTGCTGATCTCATCCCTCGTTTTGGTATGCCTGTATCACAACTCTGTATGGTCGTAAATCTCTTGATTGACCATTTCTTCGACAGATTTGGATACCTCCTTGCCAACCTTGATCAGCCATTATTGTCACGCCATAAACTGAAGGTATATGCAGATGCCATTCATCAGAAAGGTACTGCATTAGACAACTGTTGGGGTTTCGTGGATGGGACAGTCAGGCCCATTTGCAGACCAAACCAGGATCAAAGGGCTGTTTATAACGGCCATAAAAGAGTGCACGCAATCAAGTTCCAATCAGTAGTGGTACCTAATGGACTTATTGCCAACCTCTTTGGTCCAGTTGAAGGAAGAAGGCATGACAGTGGCATCCTGGCAATGTCAGGTCTTTTAAATCAGTTGGAGCAACATTACTTTACACCTGATGGCCAGCCATTGTGCATCTATGGAGATCCTGCATATCCTCATAGTTTTCTCCAATGCACCTTAGCAAGAAGACCAAACCCCACTGTTCAAGAGCAAGCTTTCAATCAATCCATGAGCAGGGTTCATATTTCTGTTGAGTGGGTGTTTGGTGATATTGTGAATTATTTTAAATTCACAGACTTCAAGAAAGATCTGAAGATTGGCCTCAGTGCAGTTGGAAAGACGTTGGAAAGATGTTGTTTGTGCCCTACTACGCAATGCACTTACTTGCCTGTATGGGAACAACACATCTGCTTTTTTCAATCTGCAGCCACCACTTCTTGAAGACTACTACAGATAAAAACAGCTTTTTTAAAAGCTCCCAAACAGCTTTTTTAAAGGCTACCAAAGCTACCAAGTTTAGATTTATCTGTAGGCATGGTCCTTCAAGCTCTGTATTAGGTCAGGCTTTATAACAAAAATTGTCAACATGTTTATCTTCTAAAATTTGTTTTTACTTTATAATATAGTCATAAAGTTCTTACTTGAAAAGAAGGAATGTTTGGATATGAATTTTATCTGGCATTTATGAGTTTTATAAACAGAGGATCTGTTGGTACTAATAATACCAGCATTTTCACTTGGAGGTTCCATTATTTTTACTATGAGTCCTAACCTGGTCACCCCTTCTTTTCCAGGCTACTTTGGTAAAGGGACAGTAGCAATTTGTTTTGCTGCTGTACCTCTTCCAAAATAGCCTGTTGCTGCTGCAGCTGTTGTCTTAAAATATTTATAATTTCATCATCTTTCTTCAGCCTTGCCTCCAATTCCCTCTCCCTCATAAGTTGTTCCCTCTCTTTTATTTCTTGCTCTTTCCTTCTCATCTTTATCTCTTCTTCCTGCATCTTTTCCTTTAACTCAAGATCTCGCTTCTTCAACTCAAATTCTTTCTCACTCTTTTTGACTTCCTGCGCTCTCTTTTCCTTTAAATACTCCACTGTATCCCCCCATACCTTTTCTTTTTCCTCTCTCTTTCTAAATTCTCCCTCTCCCTTGTCTCCCCCATTATCTCCATTGCCCTCTTCCTCACTGCCTCTGCTGTTTCTTTTTCTTTCTCAATGTCATTTTTCTTCTTTACCTCTCCCCTCAACAACTGTTCTTGCTGCTCCCTTGCAGTATCCTCAAGAGCCTGATACAGCTCATCGGGCTCTTCTGGACTGATACCACTGGCTCTTTCCTCGCTGGCCTTTTTCCTTTTAAAATATTTTTCGAGTTTGGTGAAGCGATCTCTCACTGACCTCTGGTCAACTATGAAGTGAGGATGCTCCAAATTATTGGCAATTTGCTCCCAGCACTGCCTTCGATCATGGGAGCCATGCCTAAATTGAAATGGCTGGACAACCAGCACTTCTCTACAAAGTAGCACATCATGCTGCTTGGTCCATGTCATTTTGTGCCTGTTTGAAAAGGTTTAAGAAGGGTTGAAGGCAAAAAAAACCTTTTCACTCAAAAATTATGTATGAAACATAAATGATTACAGATGTTCTAGATATAATTATGTTAATCCCAGTCTGCAGAGTGTGGCAGTTCTAAATAAAATCTCACATGCTCAAAGTCATTTCAGGTTGGTTTTCTGTGTGTAAACCTCATGGCAGTAAATGTTATGTGTAGTTTCTAATATCAGCATATAGCACTACATTGACCTGGTGCATAAATCTGCCATGCTCTTCAGACTGGTGTAAATGTTACAGGATACATTCAACATTTTACAAGAACACAACTGTTTATTTAAGAACAGAAAATGTAGAAAGCTGCGTTTTGACATGCATAATAAGAATTTGGCAAAAAGTCTTAGCAGTTTGATTGCAATTTGGACGAACACTCATTTTTATAAGAAACAAAGGTCAACATTTAGTAGCGAAGTGGCTTAGTGCTGCTGCATTTTTCAGCACTTGCTTTTGTCAACTTTCTTAATTTCATGCAATTAATTCATAATTGAAATATTTTAACTTATAACTGAAACCTGAAGGGGACTTGAGTTACTTATAACTGAAGATAAGTTGGCTTTGAAGAACAGGTAGATGTTTGTAATAGCTTTTGTTACTTGTCCTACTCTCAGCTTTCTTCAAGCTCTATTTGTTTCTTAACTTTTCTGAAATGTCCCAAGCAAGTTTTCTATATCAAATTTGTTGAAAAATAGATAAGTGTATAGTGTTTTTGTGAAGGGCAAAAACTAGCTTGAAAGGCTGAAATGCAAATAAAAGCTTCCTGAAATGAGCTGTTTTTACTTTGAAGAGATAGATTAATGTCTCGATGAATCAAAATTATATCGATTTTAAAGGTGAACTGACACGCAAAACTATTTTTTGATATAATGTAGAAAACGATGCATGGAATCTTAATTTCAAGTTTTCGGTTAATTATTATTGTCCGTTCTGACGCAATTCCGCTCTAAATGTCATGAAATTATCGTCGAGTGCTCGACCATTGTCGGCATTTCATGTGACCCAGTGCGTGTGACGTCACAAACACCATGTTTTTATTCCTTGAATGGAAATCACGCACGGACTGGACAGTTCAGTTCATCTTGTTCAGTTACTATTCGGGGATCTTTCATGTGATTGAATAAAAAATATGCCAAAAATGAGTGACTTAAATTCGAAATCTTTACTGCAAATATTGAAGTTAACCTGGATCAAAGACCGAAATTAACTTTGGGGGGGGGGGGTGATGGGGTGATAGCTGATAAATTAGTCTAACAGCAGCCGTATTTAACAAAATAAAAGTATTTTACTTAGGTTTCCAGAAAATGAAAATCCTGTCGATATATTTATCGCTATCATTATACGATATGTTGGCCCGCCACACACTGGGTCCTCCAAGACGGAGGAAGGGCCTCAAACGCGTTGGATAATACGATATTCTGGCAAATCTTATTATGAAAGGTTTGTAAAGGAGTCATAATCTGTTTTCCAATTAGGTTGTCGAAATGGAGCCAAAATCTACTCAATTAACGTATCGGTGCTCATCCGAAAAGTCATAAAAGTATGCCCTTTCAGACTGTCGTGTTGATCAAGTGATGTGAACATGGTGTTTGTGACGTCACGATTATGCGGAAGGCTCGGGCGAACTCGTCCGTGCTCGGAAAATGCTCGGTGGCTAACTTTGACGCTCAATAACTCGAAAACTGTGTTAAATATTTAAAAAATAATAATGTATCAGGTATTTATGCTCGATATGCCTTCATTTGAGGTCAAGTTATTTTTGCGTGTCAGTTCACCTTTAAACTATTACATCAAAAACATTTAACTCTTACCTTAAAAATTCTGCGTTCTTCCTCCAACGGAAATTTTCGAATTTAGGGTTGTAGGCCGGACGAGAAGTAATCACCGGAGTATGCAATTTTTTTATGACTGCGCTATTTCCAGGCCTCGCAAACGTCCCGGTCGTAGCTGCGTCGGCGAGCGGAAACTCTCTAATACCAGTTACTGAAATGCCTGGATATTCTTTTGGCTACATGTACAGGGTCAGAAAGAAGTTCACAAATTGCAAGAAGTCACCAAGTTCTCCTGTTTTTTTTTTGCATTAACTGTTCTTGAGCCCCACTATTTTTGCTCTCTGAGTCAATGCACGTTGCAATCACTGACAATCTTGTGCATTTTTTCTTCATATTTATGCAAAGGTTTAAATTTCTTGCTGCACCTTTTACATCTTTTGCAGACTTTTTAACAGGGTTGCCCCTGTATGAAAGCCAGATATACCTACATCGCATGCGTTTTCTCCCTTCTTTCCCCTTGAGCATTTTCCCTCAATTGTCCCTACAAATCCTTACAATTTCGGAATTATACCCACGAAAAAAAACCCACATAATCATAAAAAACTCAATCCGCTTTGCAACCTGTCTACTTTAATGAAGCTGTTATAACTTTAGAATGAAATCATATAATAAAATGATGTAAGTAGCAGTTTAAAAAAATATAAACCAAAGAAAAGGCAATCAATCTACCCAATTAACACAACAAAAAAGGAAAGTTGCTTCAGTAGTCAATCAAACTGTTCAATGTTCTCAACGTCTTCCCGGTCATTATTATTGTTTCTTTCCATATATGATCCTCTGGCACTAGAATAGAGTGACGATAGCCTAGCACTAACTTCAAAACATCCAAGGAACCCTTCACCAACTCGGATTACAGCCTCAATCTTGCGGACTGGCAATCTGTTTCTCAATTTTGTTTTGTTACAATTTATTTTAGAGAATGTGTTGGATCAACCTTGAATGCGAGATGCATACCAGGGACAGGGAATTTCATTATTTAATCTTGATTATACCTACAACTTGAGCGATTTATACGTACATTTTGCATTTTATCACGTAGGTTTATCCCAACAACCTACAAAAGGCAAAAAATCCCTACTTTAGGTAGAAATCCCTACAAGTGGCAACCCTGCTTGTTTATCTGAAAAGCATCAATACATTCATATGCATATTCACCAATCGATAATTCCACACCTTGTAACAAAAGATCCTCAAATTTCTTTTCATAACTGGATGCTTTTTCTAAGTAACTGTAGAGTTGGGTCATCCAGAAGCAAAATATCATTATTTTGCGCATTAGACAAAAGCTTCAGAGCAGCATTTATCTTCTCGTTGATTATAAAACCATTAATTTCTTGGCAATGTTGTCAGCTCCCCTGTGTTGGCTAAAACGAGATTGAATGAAGCGAGCTTCTCCGACAAGTTCATCAAAGCTTCCACTTTTCCATTAACCAAGCCTTTTTCTCAATTTCTCCACATGACCTTTGCTTTTTGATTTTGCAAAAGTGATGTCATAATCATCATTGCTTTTAATGCAATCAGATGTAATGGACCGTCATCAACACACTCATTTACTAGTCTACAGCATTCTTCAACAAAGATCTTGCCAACTTTACCAGATGGTAACATTAAAAGATTTTATTTCCAGAAAACAACTTCTTCATGAATAGCATTTAATTCCTCAAGTGTTTCAATTATTTTATTTAGTACTTGAAAACCAGACAGTAAACTCTCACAACACTACTAGATGTGGTAATTATAACATAAGTAGAAACCTATCTATACTTTGTTCTCTATAGGTTTGATCCTCGAATCATTTACATCGTCTGTTAATAACTGAGTTGCTTGTTTGCGGAATGACAAGATAATGGCATCAAAAAAAATCGTTGTTGGTTTACTTCTGCATTCAGAACAGCCAAATCCTTCAGAAAATGATATATCTAGTAGATGCAGGTAGCTATACCATGCAGCTGGGACATTTTCATATGTTAAGAGGGAAAGCAATGAGGAAAGCCGTCAGTAAATTGCTTCCTTTTTTGTAACGGTAAAAAATGTGTGCATTGGCATTCTAAAACAATGGACAATGGACAGGGACATTTTAATTACACCTAGCACAACAACTTTAATAACAGTACGAAAGTCTACAATCCTGGCCAAAACTCGTGAGACTGCTTCCCAAATGCAATTGGGTTCTTATTCAACGTGACCCCCTACCCCCTACATCAATGTTGGGGTGTTTGTTTGTATGGGCTAAAATCGAATGCTGGGAGATTTAGCTCTTAAACGATATAGGGGGGAGGGGAGAAATTGATATGTCCTAATTTTTCTTGGGAACAATTGATAGCATGCCGAATTTTTATTCAGTGTCCAGGAGTTTTGGCCACGATTGTCTGTGGGTTGAAATGAATGGCTATGCTACTATCATTATCTTCTAATGACGTATTGACTCCAGTTATGGCTTGGCTTTCGGATTGAAAAGGAGGCTTGAGTCTCAATTTCAATTTGGATGATTAAGATTTAACACGATAAATTTTGACGTTTAATGTATGAGGGTTTATTTGTTGTTAATTTCATCATTTTGATATGAAAGATTGCAGCTAGATTTAGTTGAAATGACACGAAATACTTTAGTTTGTCCAGAAACAAGGGCATATATAAAACTCAAACAGCATACCGACATAAAGAAATTAATATGTGAAACTGGAGTATCAAGATCTACCATCTATCGTATATGGAAGAAGCTGATATTGAAATGCAATGCAAAGAAAACACGCAAAGGTGTTGGGGGAAGGCCACAGAAAATGTCAAAAAGAGATAAGAGAAAACTAATAAGAACAATAAAGATTTTGAGAAAAGAAGATGCAACTAGACCGTTAAAAGACTGATGGCAAGAGCAGATGTGCAAGATGTTTTGCAACGTAGTGTCTCAAGATTCCTAAACCTGTCCGGGTACAACTATTTGCAAGCAAGGAAAAAAGGACTGCTCAGTAAAAAGGACGACAAAAAAAGCGCACAAAATTTGCGGAATTCATGCTCAAAAAATATCATGAAGATATTTGGATTAAATGAGTGGCATTCTACTCAGATGGGGTTGGTTTTGTGTACAAGAGAAATCCTGAAGATCAAGAGCTAGCACCCATTGGGAGAGTGTGGAGGGCTAAACACAAAGGGTTAATCGGGGGATGTACTTCCAAAGGGCGATCATGTGGAATTGGTGGCAAGTATGTCAAGCTGATAGTGGCAATTTCTTATGATAAAGGCGTGGTCTGCTGCCAAAGATACGACAAGATGAATGGGAAATTTTTCAAAAACTTTTTGCTTGATAATTTTGACAAAATGGTAGCTGCAGCAGGAAAAGACTCTAGATGTTGGATTAAGGATGGAGACCCTTCACAGCACAGCGTTTTGGCTTTAAATGCTATGAGAGAACTAAACTCAGAATTGTTATCAATTCCTCCTAGGAGTCCGGACACAAATCCGATAGAAAATCTCTTCGGCATTGCAAAAAGAATGCTTGGTCAAGATGTCATTGACAATAACATTACTGTTGAAAGCATTGAAGCTTGTGAGAACAGAATTAGGCGAATCCTGAATGAAATACCAGTCTCCACAATAGACAGTATAATAGAAAGTATGAACTAAAGAATGCAGCTAATAGTAGATTGCAAAGGTGAATGCCTGAATTTCTGAGCATAAATTGTTTTTATATTTGTAAAGTGTATGTATTTATGTATATCATCTCTGTAACTTATTAAGAGAAAACTGAATACTTTGAAATCGTTGTTTTTCCGTTCTCAAATCTAACTAAATAGGCTAAGAAAAATGACGGCGCCAATGAGAAGACATGTATTCGATAGTTCAGTCCTATCTAAACATTTATAAAATATCTGCGAACAAAATACATGAAAAATCTAGACACTCTACTATAAACAAAAGGCAAGTCTATGAATAATTAGTCGACCAATAGAAAAAAACTGCATCATATAATAATTTGAAAACCAACTAAGAATTACTAATAACAATTTACAACAACATTATTGCACATAAATCACAGCGTATTTTAATGTTTTGTTAAGATGATGATTCAACATATACCAAACAAATCTGAAAAAGTAGTACTTTTTGGGAGGTATCATGGTTAACCCTATGGTTAACCCCATGGTTAACCACATAAACAATAGCTTTTAAAACACATATCAACGAACCACAGTTAACCCTTTGACTTTAAAATGAGTTAATATATTTTTATTCTGAGAGGGGTTAACCGACATTATTTAGGCATGGCCTGTTATTCTCAAGAGGGTTAACCGTGGGGTGAACCGTAGGGTTAACCGTAAATACAAGGGGTTAAATGTGATTTTAAATTTTTAAAAGTTCTCTCCAAGTAAAACAAGTTCACTGAAACAGTGTTCACATGGTGACATCTCCTTTTGCTCTGCCTGAGGGTATTTAATAGTTTAATGAAAATACCTTCCAACAGGCAGTCATCATTTCTGTCTTGCTATCGTCTACAGAGTTGTACTTTCCAACGTAGGTGATGGGAGCTTTGCTGGTTTCAAAAATTGGCGTATCTTGCTCCAAATAAATGTCCTTTGCATAGGTCATTTTCGGAGTGGGTAAGTGTATTGGATGACCTCCCAAAAGTGAAAGGAAATCTTTCAGGAAAATTACCACGGCATCTTCCACTCCTAGCCAAGCATAACTGGTTGTCGCGGGATTTTGCAACGTTTTGAATATCTTGTTTATCGGAGTGAGAAGGAATATTTTGCCACAATTTGCAGGTTCCACAAGCAATACGTTGCAAAATTTGCCACTTCCTTTCTCCAACAGCTCCCTAATTGCTGCAGCAAATACAAAGGGGTGCACATTATTTTGTCTCAAAACTTCCAGTGCACATTTTAGCTAGTTACCACCGCATCCCTCTACACACATTCGAAAGTTTTTGACTAATGTCATTTGTGGCATTTTCTCTCGCTGGAAATTGCTAGAGGCAGTGTGCATTTTCCATGTCCAGCAGATCAGCTCTTTAACCGATTTCTCTGATCTGCCCAACACAAATTCCGCCAGATCGTTCTTGCTCTCGTTTTTTTGCTCATTAGCTAGAGCCAGGAGTTCCATGTCTCATTTCATACCATATTTCAAAACGATTTCTGAAACTTCTAAGTTTCATAGGCGCTGTCTTTTTCTAGAATTGCCCGATGTTCCGCATGCACCTCCAGACTCCATAGTCTGCCTTGACCTGCTATGATGGCGAACAGCTCTCATCGAAGCTTTTGTCCTTGGAGATCCAGTGGCCCCTAAGTCAGGGTGATCCTTGCTATGTAAGGCGTGTGTGTCCTCCTTCGTAACATACTTGTATGCAGTGTAATAGCTATCATGATTACACGAGAAATTAAAGACAATACCATGCTTTTCTTGAATGGAATTCTTTGCAGCTTTCTATCGCTTCTGCACATTAAGCTTCATAGCCATATGATAGTGATTACCGCCATCACGGTGTTCCTCTTTGCTGCACACCCAATGTTGAATAAAATTTTTGTTCTCTTTGCTTTGGAAAGCCTGAACAACGCAGTCAGCAAATGATTCTCGGCTTGGAAATTCCAGATTCGCCTGACTGTATGTGATCACGTACGTGCTTCGCACAGTTCTGAAATGCAATTCAGCATTGAGATAACAATTGATGATAGTATTGCCTACAGTATATCTGTTTTTGGTTGGCTGTTACGAGATGACCATACACTTTATCTAGGTAATAAAAGGTCGGTCTAGAATGTAACTCTTTCTAATCTCGTAGGCCAACTAGCGTCATTCCAGCCTAGTGTTGGTATTTCTGTCTCTGACAGATTAAGCAACGTTGTCAACCATGTTGTTCCTAAACAACATGATCCACTTTTTGCAGAAGAAGGAAACCCATTTCCATCACTTGAATACCATAGAGCAATATACTTTGAAATCCTTATAGCAATCAATAAATGCAGCTCTTGTTGTAAACAGGACACTTTTGGCAAAGCATCCAGGGTTGTAAAAGACAAGCGTATGTCAAGGCACCAATCTCTAGTTCATCAACAGAGTGGATAAAATTGACTTTGGATCAACAACATCTGAAATCTGCTGAACTTCAAGAAAGGATAACTGAAATGGAAATTGAATCGGAGAAATCTTCAGTTGAAATTGACGCAGAGTTGAGCAGTGACTTTTTTCACATATTTGATCGTGCAGAAATGACACCATTCATGAAATTATTTTGAAAGGAACAAAAGAAAATGATTGGCAAGTCAAAATCAGCTGTTAGACTTCACCCAATAATGATAAGATTTTGCCTTTCGCAAGCACAAAAATCTGCTTCAAGCTATGACGAATTTCGTGACACATTTGGAGAAGTATTGCATTTGCCAAGTGGTAGTGTTCTAAGAAATTACAAGAATTGGGTTCAACCAAAAGCAGGTTTCAATGAAGAGGTTTTTTTGGAATTGAAAAGAAAGAAATAAATCTGTATGCCAGGTACTGATTAATTGGTTTTTTATCGAATGCTCCACATCTCATAAAGACAGCAAAGAACTGTCTTTATCATTCAGGAGATGGAAAATGCACTAGGTATATGTAGAACAGTGGATCATACATTATTTGGAAACATATCAGAACCATATATATGGAAGATTTAGACTGATGCCTTGATTGACTGCTGATCATGTCAACTTAACATCATACTCAGTAATGTGAGTAAATCTTGCAGCGCAAGTTTTGAATTCCACCCTAGCTGCAGTATTGAAGAATTATGGTCCACCAGAAGCTGCTGGAACTGCAAAATACTGTGAAATGATGGACCAGTTCTTTGACTGTTTAAAAAGAACAGAAAAGGATATCAGCAGAAGCGCAAGCCATTTCTAGCCCCATACACCAATGCAAATGATGAACGTTTTAATTGGCTGGAAAATGAATTCCTCTCTTATCTCTTCACATTTAAAGAGAGCATAGAGAAAAGGGATGGAAATTTCACTCAAAATGCTAGAATTAGAATGTTTATTTCCAACCAGACAATGGAGGGGTTACAAATAACAGCTTTTGCAGTAATTGAAGCTGTGAAATATTTGCTGTCGCAGGGAATGGATTATGTTTTAACTGAGAAATTTTGACAAGACCCTGCTGAGGAGTATTTTGGGGGTCAGAGGAAAATGAATCGCAGGTCAGATAATCCAGACATGTACCAGTTTGGGTATAGTAATAATGCTCTTCATGTTCAGAGAAAACAGAGAAATTCAAAGCGATCAGCATGAATAGAAGTGGACAATGAACCAATTCCGAATCGCAAATAACATTGAACATAATTTTAGATTTATAATACAACATTAACCATTGCTGAGATGATAAATGTAACATGACAGTATAGCTTCTTTAAAATGTTTTGTTTAAAACAGATTGTCATTCCTGAATCTAAGGGTTACTGCTGGACCTTTTAATTTCTTTTCGTAAGGCCCTAGACTTGCTAAGTCTATCCCTTACCTTGAATCTTTGTATAACATCCTTTGCATATGAAAAAGAACGGACCCTAACATGCAATTTAATAATACTTGTCAACAGATCAAACAGCAATGTTTTGTTGTAACAATCTACTTCGGAATCCTCTAAAACTGCTTGATAATGTGAAATTGTTTCTTGGCTTTTTTACACATTTCTCCACAATTAAGGCTGTGTCAATCTTCCTTTGGCCAGATACAGTAGCATGTTGTCTGAAAATGCTTTCAGCTACTTGAAATATTCTTTATGGGGAAGCCTTAAGTTCCCATAGGCCACCACAGTTTAGAATGGTCACTAAATTCGAGGTTGTTGGTTTTGCAATCATGCTTTCTTCAGCCTGGGTGATGAAAGATGTTATTTTTCCACTTTTAAGAATTTGCATACAGTCCTGGTTTCCTTTTGTCATATAAATTTTTGTTTTATTAAACTTTTTATACAAGTTGTAAAAAACATATCTACCTAGATAGCCAAGGTCATCTTTCTCTTTTTGGCTAAGCTCCATCTGGTTTGGGTTAATGTAGCCTCTACATCTAATGACTTTTTGTAATAAATCAACAAGCCATCAGCAACTTTTGTGGCCAAAAATGTGGCAGCATGTGTTGTTAAAGGTGGAAAATAATCCACTGAGTGCAAAACAATTTTGGCATAAAAATCTGCTTGGGCACAATGCTGCATAAAAATCTTCAATGTCACCTTGCTTTTGCAACTTCCCATAAATCCTCTGTATATCTTTGTGCAGATTAGACTGTTAGCAAGACAGGAAACCTTTTGACTTCATCAATAAAACTTAAAGGAAAGCACTTATTTTTTTAAGCTGTGGTAACTGCATTCATGACAACATCATACGGTGTACCTGCAGAATTTTTTCTTCTTGTCCAGTATCATCTTCTTGTCGTTGTTTCTTTGGTTATGTTGTGCTTTGCAGTTTTGTGCCTGTTTAAACCACCTTTGCTTATGTATTCTTTCTTGCACACAGAACAAGTGAACTGACCGAATTGAACCTAAGTTAAGAAATATTTTAAACAATAAAAATGTCTTCCCTCTCTTGACCTTTATTAGCAGGGTGCGTGGCCCCAAAGTTCTCTTTTTACGAAATTCCCCCTGACATTGAATGGCCTTTTTAATTGCAAGGAAATTTTAACTCCAATGAGCTTTGCATGAAGTGCCTTTTTAATCAATTTCCTTGAGTCTTCATATAGACTGTTTATAAAATGTTTTTTACATCAACTTTTTAAAGAGAAAAATAATATAGAGAGCCACGAGAAAATGCTATAAAAATGCAGCGACGAATTGTGAAAGGGCATACATAATATACCTGTCTTGTGTTTCGGTTTTGATGTAAAAAATTAAGAAAATGATGGCTCCTGAACTAGAGTCATGGAAACAATGGATTTTCAGGAAAGGTTTGCCCTGAAAATCGAATTCAAGCAGCACAAAACTAAGCCCGTTTTGTTAGGGCTTCATACAACTCTGAAAACTAAGGTATCCTAGTGTTCCCTTTTTTCACTCACCTCTTCACTTTCTTCTCCAAAAAGCCATTGGATATTTTCTTCTTCATCTAATGCATCTAAGTTTCGCCATAAATGACAGGTGAATAAAAAATATCAGGCTTATTGCTTTCCCAGTCCTTCTTTCCTTTTCGCCCTCTGCCAGTGGCTCGTACTGATATGGCACTGTTATCGTGTTAACATGCACGACTCAATTGTTCCTGGTGTAACTTTCATTGCTTGGAACTACCTGCCTCTCGTTACTCTCACTTGAAGACAATTTGTGTCATGAGAAAGAATGAATTTTGTTAAAATAAACCCTCTTCGAATTCTTCTAACAGGGTTGCTTGGATTGTCTTTGAGAATGAAATGAGTGGAAGTGCGGGCCTCTACTCGCACTGTGCAAACCAGAGGACATAATGGAATTTTCTTCTTTGTTTGCAAACGGCTCTCAGACCCCATTCTATCAAAATTTACAGCTTATTACTTAGTTCATGATATCTCAGAAAGATAGAATTAGCATTTTGGAACAAAAAACGAATTTGAAAAACTCATTCCATAGGCACTTTGAAATAAAATCAAAAGTTTGTACCTGAAGGTTCTTTTCGATCATGTTGATGTGATTGAACTTTTAACTTCACATGTGAATCTCTATTCTGGCAGCATGGGCAGCATTGGCAGCTTGGAAGGCACAAATGATGTCAAACACTTGGGTGTCCTAGTTGTATTGTTGTTTCAGATATTTAAACCATATTTGGCAGAGAAACCAGAAGAGGAAAACATCCTAGTGAGTTGTTTGGCAAAACGATCAAGGTTTCCACGCCTGTGAATTCAGGGAGAGTAAGCTGTGGTAAACAAAGTGGTGAGCTTGTAGATTCTTTGTTGCGAAGAGATTGCGATAATTCATTGACATTGAGAGAGAGGTCTGAAATCTGCTGCTGAGTTTGGGTGGAAACATCTTTGGCGGTGATCTACTGTTCTTTGACAAGGAAGGTGACACCACTGACAGGTCCAAGGATTCATATGACATTGAAAGGATCGATGGTAAGGACGAGCAGGTCCTGCAGGTAATTTGACCTGCTGAATCGAATAAGATACAACTCTAACTTTAAAACATCACAAAAAACTGTTTTTAGACTTTGGTACTTGTGCCCCAGCTGCTGTTGGCTATCGCAGTATAACCTTACAACTATGCACTTTGTTTAACTGAAACTTTGTTTTTGAAGGACAGTTTGTATACATTCTTTTTAATAAGAACTAGTTTATTTCAGTTCGGGCTGACTGTTCTTATTTCTTTTTCGAAAACCGGAGGCTTGATTGTTCTTAAATTGTCCTTATATTAACAGTGTGTAAACACTGTAAACAGAAACAGTGTGATTGCTAGTTACAGCTCTAGGGAGGTTTTTGGGCATCGTTTGCCAACAAAGTGAGTGAGACAACTATCATTTGCCGAAAAGTTGGAATATTCACCGAAAAAGCACCCTCGCATGGCCACAAATTCTTGCTTTTGAGATAAAACGTTGTTCCAAATTGCATTGGGTTATTTTCCCCACTCTCTACTAATTATCTTTAAAAAGCCTGTAAAATTGCATTGTGTAGAGGCTCAGTCTCAGCTTAACTTCTTCTTAAATTCTGACCAATTTGAGGCTGTGTTCTTATGAAATTGTTCTTATAAAAAGAAATCAGTGTAATTGAGATTTGTCTTCTGATGTTTCGTTGTTTTTTGGCAATGTGTTTATTTTCTGCAACAATATGGAATATATCAGCAACAAAACGACGAAAGATTGGTGTCCAGTTGCATGAAAAGTCGAGGCATGCTATTCAAACCAACAAGCATGTATTTTGGTTGTCAAGGTACATCCTTGCCCCGTTAAAATAATGCCTGATCAGCCATGATATTGTCTCCATTTTTAAAAGTTGCAAAACACTATACTTTTGGGTAATTTCTTGATCTGACATTCTTGAAGCATAGTTCCTTGATTCAATGTCTAATATGTTTTGTTATTCGATTTTGCAAAAGCATGGTTGTACCCAACTATTTCTTAGTTTTGAAATCGGTATGGTAGTACCCAACCACTAATAAATTTTGACAGTATGGTTGTACCCAACCACATATAAATTTTTCATCAGTATGGTTGTACCCAACCACTTATTAGTTCTGGCATTTGCATGGTTCTTCCCAACCACTTACTAGTTCTTGCATTGGAATGGTTGTACCCAACTACTGACAAGTGATCTTCTGCAGGTCTGTCATTTAGTGAGCAACGTTTGATTAGACATCAGTTAGACGTTCATGTATACATTCAGACTTTGATTGCTTCTTACAAAAAACTTAAAAAGATGATAAAAAGATACTTGATACTGGTCAACTTGGCTGGATTCTCTGTCTATTCAAGTATCTTGTTTATAATAAACGTGCTATGCTTCCAAACATGAGCAAAAACATGAAAAAATGTTTGAAAGTCCTAAATTTTAACATAAATTAGACATTCAAGGTGAAACAGCATATGTCGGTTTTAACATATCTCCAACACTAGGGTAGAAACAAGTCAGCTAATTCAAATCAAAACTACTGAAAACCTACCTTTCTTTGGTTGTTCACAAATTGAGAGCATAAAACTGCAAAATTCGAACTTTCAAAATGCACACAAGCTCCAGGGAAACATCACCAAAAATGTCCCTAAATAGCTTTTGTAAATATGTTGGGATCTGGGTAAAATATGTTGGGATCTTGATATGCTTCCTAAATTCTTTATACTTGACATGTATTCGGGGTCTTGTTGTTGACATTTTGTTATTACTAGGTTATTGGGTTGTATTGATGGATGGTAATCAGCTGATGCTAGTAGGACCTAATTGAAGAAAATTGCAAAGATGTCCTTCAGAATACGTCTTTGAATATTGGCACCACTGCGATTTGATGGCAAACGCTAAAACAAGTCATTGCAGATTTAAATGACTATTTGCACTGTTAAGCACCAAGTTCAAAATTTTTGAAATCCACTTAGACGGTGACTCTAATAAATGCAAGAAAGTTTTAGATGTATAAAGCCAATAATTTTGACTATGATTTTGGCTCTTTTTTCAAATGCTGACCAGTTAAGCATTGATCAAAAATATGATGTTGTCCATAACATCTGAGCACCTGATCTCAAGTTCCAGTTATCTACCCAAATAGTGCCAGGAAGAAAAATGTCCACAAATGTCTAGAAAGCTTTGCTTGGCTGTGCTATTCTAAGGGTTTTGATAGTGTTTTTTGTCTTCCTTGCGTTTCGTTTGGTAGGCAAATTGGACAAAATTGAACAAAATCTGGAAAAGTCCCTTTACTGATTGGTCTTGTGCCTCTAGAGTTTTCCAAGAGCATGCAAGCAAGTCAGAAGTTCACAAGACAACCCTGTTGACACAGGAACATTTTTTAAGGAGACTTAGAAAATAAACAAAAACCCATAAGCTTTATTCATCAGGTCTTAGGTAAATCAGTGTCTGCTAACAGAGCCAAGCTAGTTACAATAGTTGAGACATCGGTTTTATTTGGGAGACGAAATTTTTCGTTAAGAGGTCGCAGAGATGATTATTTGACCCCAAACTGTTTTCAATCTACATAAAAACGAAAAAGCCGCCATTGTGTAGACAAAAGGAGTTCGTTTTCTCTCTTGGACTCCATTGGTAATTTTTCTTTAGGCTCGCAGCACTGATTGGTCAACTATACTGGTCTTGTGCTTGCGTTTTTCAGATGATTATTTACATTACGACTCAAAAGACTGTGGGAATTTCCAAGCAGTTCTAGATTTCAGGGTCTTTAGTGGGGATTAAGTCTAAGAAAAACACTTCAAATCTGCCCCACACAGTGCCACTTACTGCTCTAAGACAATGCAAAATGAAATCATTGTTTGTTGTGCTGATGATATTGATTCCCAAATCATTAATGCAATAAAAAAGAATAAATTTTTCTCAACTATGGCAGACAATGATGGTTCAAACAAAGAACAAATGCCTCTTGTTTTAGGATATGTTGATAATAAAGGAGAAATTTGTGAAAGATTCATCAAATTTATTCATTGTGATGAAGGCATCAAAGGCAAGGCTCTGGCAAATAAGACAGCTAATTGTGTAGAGAACGAGTTGTGCTGTCGAGAGCAATGCTATGGTGGAGCTGCCTTTATGGCTGGAGTTCATTCTGGTGTAGCAGCAAATGTTCTTAAACATAATTATTTGGCTTTGTATACCCATTGTGCCTCCCACAGGCTAAACCTCTGTGTGGCTTCAGCTTGCCAGCTGCAAACTGTTAAAAACAAGATTTTTAACAATTTAACAAGATTTGGCAAATTTTTTATCACACCCAAAAGGGAAGCTCTTCTGAAAGAAATTGTGCCAGAGTATCTTCCTGCAAGCTGCCGCTTTACCCTTCTTGACTTTTGTAGAACAAGGTGAATTCAGTGAATTGATGGCCTAGAGAGGTTTCTTGAATTGTATGAGCCCATCTCAGCAGCTCTGAAAATAATGTCAGAAAATGTTGATAGAAACTGGAATTTCTCATCCACTGATGCCTTTGCTCTTCCATCAATTATGCAACATTTTGTTTTTCCTTATGACATTAGTTGTGGTCAGACACTGCCTTGAATATACTACAACAGCTACTTACCAACTTCAAGGTTCCCAAATTGACATTCTAGGGGGTTTGAATCAAGTAAGAGCTTTGATGTTATCATTGGCACATATCATAGCTGCTGGTTCAAAGAGGAATGTAACATTGCAGGACTATTTGATGCAACAGTATAACACCTACGGCTTTGTGGAAGGCAGATCTACAGGGATAATAATCCAACAAATGATATGTCAGATTATTTTAAAGTTTATGTCTCCATTCCTTTTTAGATCATTAATTACAAGAATATTCCTTTCGATTCCCAAATAGAAATTCAGTAGTCATTAAAGGTTTATCACTCATTGCAAAGCTAATGATTAATATGCAAAATATGCATCAACCAGCATTGTGGATAAAAGAAGTAATCTAGATGAATTCTTAGAGAAAATACACTGTTTTTCAAAATAAACAAAGAGGATCAATTTGCAGCCAATTGAATCAGAATATCATGTAGATGGAAAAGCTCAGCATGTAGCAATCCAAAAATTGTTAAGGAATGGAAGAAAGATTCCCAAATAGCCCCCTTTCACATTCCAATGTCATTGCCAGGAGTGACCTCGAAAACGAGGCTAACGTTGTTCCCCACAACAATCGCAGACCTTAGTTACGGCCAAACACTGTGTTTGTCAATATTTCCTGATATTATTTTCAAATCTGTTGAAAAATCTTCAGTAGCAATATGGCTGAGAATATTGAGAAACCGGTAGCTAATATTCAAATAAAGAAGAAGAAATCGCTGGGGAGACAATCGACTGCTTTTGGTTGTTATAATTCTTCCTTTAACACAGATGGTACGCCCAATGGCCTACATAATTTTAAGTTTCTGCAGAAGAATCCAGAGGAGAGAGTGTGGTCTAATTTGACCAAAAGAGTTGATGGGTTGGATGGTTTTAAAGTTACTGCATGTACAGTGTTTTACCAAGAACATTTCAAAGATGAAGATTTAAAGCGAAACCCTCAGCGATGGAAGTTACATCATGACGCAGTTCCTTTATTGAAGCTA